AAACAAGTCACGGCCGTATTTTTTCAAAACAATGTCAATCGCATTACTTGCCACAAGCAATGCATCGTGTGCAAACATTGCACTCATCTGCAAGTACCACAACCTTAACAATACTTCGACTTATTAAACTCCACGTTCTCTTAAAATTTTATTGCAATTTATTTTAACTTGCCCAATAATTACTCAGATAAGAAATAAAAACAGTTAAAGATTATTTACTTAATTCAACTTTATAAATCAACCAAGACTGAATTTCTTTTAATCATATAGTAAGTAAATGAGGGCAGATAAATTGACAAACTTACTGGTATTGACACATCATCCATGATGGAACGATTGCCGTAGTGATGCACGAACATTTTTCTTTCTTTGCTAAAATAGGAGCGCAATTATTCTAAATGAAATCAAAGTCTAGAACAGCTTAATGCTTATTTCATGTATTAAGGAAATATTTCATAACGAGATTTTAAACTTTCTTATGTTATTTCTTATTACAACTGACAAATCGGTAAGGAAACTTAAGATAAACTCTACTATCATCATTTTTCTAGTGATATTCAAACTGCAAATATAATAATTGATGGATTTTTAAATTTAAGGTAGGTCTCACTTAGTTCTATTTATTGCTACTGTTGTATAATTTTTTTTTTTTTTTATAAGATTAACTTAACACTAGTTTAAAGTGATGCTAAAACTTTTATGAAACTTACTTTAAACGTTGATTATATCTGTCACACATTAAAAAAGCTGTAATATTGATAAGAGTATAGTGGAAAGCATCCAGATCATTTTCATCCAGTTCCTGTTAAAATTTGTAGACTTAAGATTTATTTCTCTGAAACGAAGTAGTAGAACATTCAGATCTATCTAAATTTATTGTACTTACGAAGTTAGCAAACACATAATTATATTGTTTTTTGACAAGTATGCTTTCTTTTAGTGACTGCAAAAATGCTCGGATACGATAACTATTCGAAATATCCACCACAACATTTAAGGATCTGAAATAATTAAACAGAGTCGGCAGTGATGTTAATTTTGTTTCCATCTCATGCTATGAATTGAACATTATCTAATCTTTCCAGATGGATCAATATCAAACAAGCTTTCCACTTTCTTTCTTTTATACCAAGTGCTTTTTTTAGGAATACAATACGAAAGAACTGTTGAAAATTATGCACAGCCATATCAATGTCTTGCTTTTAATAATTTCATATGTGCTACGACTTGAAATTTTTGGTTCATACCTTGAATCAAGGAAGTTAAAATTTTGCATATGAAAATTATTGAGAAATTCTCGAAAGTACTCTTCATCTTCAGGAATGCGATAGCTATTGATCTGTAGCGTATAGATAGGATTATTTTTTTCCAAATATTTATATATTGCGGTAAGGCTTCGTTCTGCTGAAACGACTATTCATTTACAATTCAAACAATACTTCCGTTTCTAAATTTCAGAAATTGAAGATGCGATTCAAATTTAAAGCACTGTATTCCAAAGTGGGGTAAAAACTAAGTCACTCATCTTCAGGAATACAGTAAGTCAGAATATAGTACTTCAGGAATAAAGTGGTTTGAATTTAAATTCAAATTCACACTTAAATAAGTTAACTATAGTTTACCATTAGCACCATCGTGTAAATAGATAATTTCATGCCATTGTTTAATTTTGATGTAATCCACTAATAGTTCATCAGCAGGAGGCCTTACCGATGCTGTAAAAGCCGGAGACGAGTCAGAGCTCAAATCGGAAGTTTCCCAGTCAATCAACGGTATCTGAATAAAAGTAAATTTTTAACAGGTGAGAAATAATGAGCCCAGGATATCTAACCACACTCTTATTTCAGCAAGTGTTATGTATTAGAATGTTAGTATGCACTTGGTAAAGTAATTTAAATGGGATATCTCAAGTAGTAACAACTGGAAATGCTTAATTTAAATTTGATAGGAACCAACTTTGACTCGTTTCGCCAATGAACTGTAAAGACCAAATGATATGGGCGAACTACCCGCTAACATGATCATAAAGCCAATCTTAAGTTCATCGCATACTAAAATTAGAAGAGTAAAGTACTACATAATATTGGCAAAAAATCTTTAAAGAAATGAATTGTAATCTGAGTGTTTTCAAGTTATCTGTAAAATATAACCATAAAGGTGGTATGATGAGCAATTAAAGGATAAACAGAAACAAGAAACCAAAATCGGCTAAGTGCCAAAGAAGCGTTGTGGAATGCATCGCTGGTAGGTAACGTACACCAAGCGCCACATCTATCGTATTTTTTTCCTCCATATTAAACCAAAATTCGGCCAATCGAAGCATTTCTTGAATTATCGCTGCAGTTGTGTTGTCCAACTCACTGGTGTTTATAAAGGCACCTCAAGTTTTTTAAAAATTTCAATGTTTTTCCAGAAATGTTGCAATTTGAAGCTGATAAACCTGTCTGTTCAATTCGAATTCCATGCATATTTTTAAAAGTTATAAAGGATAATTTGTAGGTAAAAGTTGTCATTAAAGATAACTCTTCGATCATTTTTCTTAACAAGTATCGGTAATAGAAATTTAAAAAAAAGTTTACGAGCACTACTTTAGGCTTTTACTATTTTAACCGACTCGCTCTTCGACAATTTTTAATGAACTCTATTATGAATCACAATATAATGAATGTAATATTATCAGAAAGAATTTTAATAGGTTTCAAATAATGGTCTGAAACTTACGTAGTGGCACCTTTCGGACTAAAGAATACGTCTGCTGTAGCCAAAAAATAAGAAATATGAATAGAATACTTTTTTTACATATAGAGGTCATTGGAATTTTGTGAGATGTAATTTCGAAAACCAGAGCAAATTACAAATGGGAGGAAAGCAGCTGAAAAACAAGAAGTAAGCTCACTTCACCGTGAAATGATTCTTCCAGCTCACTTCACCATAAAATTAAACTCTTAAAGAACATAGAGAAGCCAAATGAAGTCTTCCGATATTCACTGTGCCCAGCAAAATTTACTGCGTTTAAAAAAGTGCAGTACGAAGATGAAGCTTCCGTTGCAAAATGATAATTTGTTGACACTGAATTATTCCGCATCCAGTAATCCTTCATTCTTTCTCGTACAAATGGGCGGAAAATTGGAAATTTCTGAAGTGTTGTAGTTTGTGAGAAGACCGAATGAAGCGAGAGATGTATTGTTCGTGTTTATGTGCGCCCCTTGCCTTCTTTGCTGCCTCCATGTCCCTTCATATAAGGGATGTTGTCATTAAAAATGCAAATCCAATTTGCTTCAGGGCCTTTTTCCAACCAAGTAAGATGACAGAAGACCCAAGACCGCACCCCTCCCCCCACCGCTACATGCAACCCGATATTTCATGTTCCCCAGCAAAAACACCGTTTACTTATTTCATAATGTTTGCCGGTTTTGTTCACGTTTGCATTTATCTAGACTAGCAGCACTCTTCAGTTGCGGAGAGAGTGCTACAAAGCGATTAGCGAACTTTCGATATATATCTAATAACATGTTGAAGTGACCACTTAGTTGAAGTTTCACGAAAATTGGCCTTGCTGGCTCCATTGTTAGATAATACACAGCTCTATCCATACACTCGTAAAGGAAGCTTTCTAATTTACTAACAATTCCCAAGGGACGAATCCAATGAATAAACTTCCACGTTGAATAAACTTAGACTTCATTCCTAATGTAATCCAGTTCCACACAGCTGAATCAGCTAACATATAAATTTACCATGTCAGAAGATGTGCATTAGTCAACACAATTATATATCCCTTTTTTAATTTGTTTCCCTCCCAACAAAAAGAAAAAATCTTTTTCGACCTGAGATCTTTAGTGGTGACCACGAATACTAACAGTCCTATTTCTATATCGATCCATGAATATTTGCACCGGCTAAGAGTAAATTTCCTTCATTCCTTCCTAAGGGTATTTGGAAGGTATTACTACCTGAACATTATTAATTTTTTCAAATCAATTGCCTCTCCTTGACTCTCTCGACCATCCTTTTCTACAAGTTTCACCAAATCATTTCCATCTTTCTCATTTATTCATACTGTTCCTCCAAGGGTTACACTTTTAATTTCTTTATAACTTACACAGCATTACCCATAACTTGCTTTTTATTCCTTCAGATAGTTTGAAATATCGTAGCACCGTGAAATTTTCACTCTTGCTAAACAAATCCGACATAACCATAATGTTCAATTATCATGTCACAAGCATTTCCTGAATATCATTTTCATATAAATATCTCACTTATGCTCCGTTTATCTACTGGAAATACTTAGTTGGACTAGAGGAGCCATAACTTTAGACGGGAATAAACATAGTGCTAACCGATCAGAGAATCCACAGTGGCCAATAAGAGTGGGCCCGTCCACTTCTTGGGTCCACACCTAACACTCACAGAACGGTGTGCCGCTCACAGACTTGATCTGTCGCCTTCCAGGCATTACTCAGACTGTCATCGGGATTTGTCATTCGTTGGAAGTTCCTTTGAGAAACCTGCGACATCACTGCAGCTACATTGCCTGCATCTTACAGGTGAGCCAAGTTGGCAAAACTCAGCGCAGTCCCACCGAGTTTGATTTTCTTAGGTCTCATTGAAATAGCGAATTACTTATCGTGTTGTCCATCGCTTTTCATACTGCAATTTATGTTCGTGCTATTGAATTCTAAAGATTCTTTTCAAAATGCAGTAAAGCGATAGGCTCACAATTTTCCAGATTTCCAGACTTGCGTCACCATTCCGATTTGTTGTTGACATCTAGGTTGAACTGGTGGAGTGTGGAGTACTACATCATAGTAAGTCTTATTACGTAATCCAGTAATTCATGCCTTTAATGAGGCAGAAGATAAGAGTGGAAAGTTAGCAAAACCAGCAATATGCTAATATGTCATTGTTGGATTAGTGTGTCGAGAATCAAGGCATTTCTTGATCGTATTCAATTTTCATTCAAACTTAACAAGTCTTCCTAGCTTTCATTACAGGTAATGCTACAAAAAACATATAGTTGCCTGCAGCGAGTAATTTGTTCTATTTTCATCGTTCCAACCAGTCCAGTGTTGGTCCATTCATGTTATGTCCACCATCACAAAGAACGTCACAATCTGCGACTTTTTCTCGGTATTCAACGCTCAAACAAGCATAAAGCCAACCGGAATACACACATCAATGAACGAAAATTTTCTCGGGTAGTTCTTTTTGAATAGGATTCAACAATAAGTACAGCGGAGGAGATAGGAAAAAGGCAAATTTTGGTATATTATTTTCATATGATGTAGGGAAACATAATCGGTTAGAAATTAACGAACTGGAATAAGATATCATTAGCATCTCTAATAGTACCATCATGCCATCGCTCCATTATTATGATATGATAGATTGTAGCTTCGCGCTAAGAAGAATTTCAATATCGAATTGCCCGATGACGATATAAAAACAAAGAGACAGAAGATGAGCCCACTGGATTTGCGACTCATTTTGTTGAAAAAAGGAATCAATCCATATAGAGATGTTACACCCCAGACATGGAAAGAATTCCAAGTGACTTTCAACTCTTGTTGTTAGTTTTTTTCAAGGATTTTTTTATGAGGGAATGCTACTGTACTTCGTCTTTGTGTGATTAAGATGGAATTGATTATAAAAAATTGAAGCCTCTTTTCAAGCCTGATGTTTCTCCAGAATTTTCCCCAAGCTTGAATCATTTCAGATCAAGTAATGGATCCTTTTGTTCCGAGAGAAGAATCTTCACCTAATGATCCCTACACTATTTTTCGTAAAAATCCGTTGAAACTGTTAGGTTTTCCTTTCCTACTACCTCCAGAATTTCACGAAAAGAAAGAATCTTTGGAATACGCTCTATTGAGAGCAGAAGAAGGACGATTCACGGCATATCAACATAAGTTTGCTATTTTTTATTACTAGCCACCAGTAAGAGAGATTGATGAGTTTTAATATTGTTTTACTGCTTATCAGCTTCAAATGCTTCTTAACTAACTCGTTTTCTTATCATTTTTTCTAATTTCAGATATTTTAACCGCAAACACGGCATAAAAAGAATACGTAAAAGAAAAGGATTTGAAAACTTCAGTATTAAGGTAAGCCGAATTCAGATGTCTGAATCGTGAAGATTTATTTGTAGCATATCTAATTCCAATGAACAGTGTTTAAGGTTGAGCAAATGCTTCTTTGGTTTCGAAATTTATTTTTTAGACTTTTCCGGCTACTGCTGACGAAATCTATGTTGAGGCTCATAAAGCTTTGATGACTCGTGATAAGATTGCATTACAAAAATATATAACAGAAACCGCGTTTGGGGTGAGCTATTTTGTACTTTTCTGATTTCTTTCTATTTGCCTTTCACGTCATTTATCATTACTTATACCTCTGTGTTGCACATTTTATCAGTGTCATATGTTTTGTTTTCGACTCTTCTTCTATACTCAGGCAACTACTCCTTTTCCACTATCGTTGATCGATCTTGTTCTCGTCCATTTCCAGTATCTAACCATGACAATTTATAATTCTGATCATGTTTATTTTGCTCGCTTTTTTTGTACTCTGTCCTCTCAATATTCAACTTCCTTTTCATCAGTATATGAGTGGTCCATTTTTATATAAAAGATCTCAGCAAAAAGATGTATACAATCATGCATAGGTGCACTTTTGTTCTAGAAAATGTGGCCAGACGTGGAAAATGGTTCAGTAGTATGGGAATTAATGAAACATATAGAACTGTCACGCGTTGTATCTGTTCGTTGTGCTGATTTCCCACACCAATCTGGAAATGATATCGCTCAAATCATCGTTCGGATGCATACAATGCAGGTATTGTATTTGCTTATTGTTACTTACTTATATCTTAGTTCACATTGTCATATGCAAAGCATTGTAATTTATTTTTGCTTTTTTTTAAGAAGGAAGAAGGAATGAATCCTTTCAGTTGAAAACTGTTGAATAGAAATGGTGTTGCAGAAAATTGCGCTTTACGACCGTTTTGGTAGATTGATTCTGGGGACAGAACATGAGGCGAAACCAGTATTGGAATATGTAGTATTCGAGAATCACATTGCTAGCTTTGATGGTGTTTGGAGGCTACATGATAAAGTTTATCCAGAATGGATCAAACCTAAACGGGATGTGCCTAGGTCAGCTGTCGTATTTGTAGGCAATTGGGTAATTATTATAAGTGGGATGGTTGAAATATTTCTTTTTGCATGAAAAAGAAAACAGTAGATATTATTTACAGACAAACTAAGATATCTCAGGAGCATCTACGAATCCAGATCAGACGACCGCTCAAATTAGGTGGTGGTCGAGAACTGTCGATAACTGAAGAGAAGCGATAGGCTTCGTATCTGATTTGTCTTAATATCTCTAGAGACTTAAAGTATCTGGAAGGGACTTCTGCTTGTATTTGTTTTTATTCTCAGACTTGTTGTACAAAAAAGATGAAGATTAATATGTTTTCATCTTTAATGAATGGAATAAAATTTTTAATTTACTTTGTGAAGTTTATTCCTTGTGAGATTCAATGTAATATTCACTTCATTCATTGTTACTACTTCTTAAGCTTATTTTTGTTATGTATATTCCACTTCTTTACTTTTTTTTAAATAGCAGATGTGTTTTCTACCACGGGATATGAAAAGGAGACTGCACGCAGTGTACATTTCCAGCACTAAAGTGACCTAGCACTTCATTTATTCCTTTTTTATTCCCGCAAGCTTTGCCAATAAAATTTTATAAATGGAGTGTGGTCTCTATGTAATGTATTGTGGGGATTCAAGTCTAGATATTCAGTACGTTTATTCCCAACTGTGTGATATGATTTACTAGAAGTTTCATCTTTGAAATTGTTTTATAGAACTGGAACTGAATTGTAAAATTACAACTGCGAAGGATTTCACAATGACAGAAGGCAAAAACAAAAGTAAGCCGGAAGGTAATCAGCAGAAAATGGAAACACATATTGAAGAGGATGACGAATTTGAAGAATTTCCCCAACAAGATTGGCAAGCTAAGGAGGGCGCTGAAGATGAAGAGGTTCAGGCTAGTTGCATGTTTTAGATGTCTGCCCAATAACCAATAATCCAATACTCTATTCATGTCGGTTGTCCGTCAACGTCCTGGAGGAAGTGTTTCTCTTACAATATGAAGTACGGAAACATGTTTATCGGTTATGATATAGAATTCCTGTGTAGAAATTTTATGTATTAGAAAAAATTTTTGGGAATTTCTATCGCATTTCCTATATTTTTCGCTTTGGGTGAAATTCAAATGATTTTCCAATAAATCATACTTAGTTATAGGAATTAAATGTATGGGAAGACAACTGGGATGATGAAGCGAATGAGAATGATTTCGCCAAACAGCTGAGGTTTATTTTTTGTAACATTCTGGTTTTTTCAACATTTCATCGGTTTATGAAGGCACTGTAGGTATAAGTGTGATGTAGAGAATTTCTTCCTGTCATTTGGGATTCTTCATTTGTTTTGTTTCAGAGATGAACTTGCTAAACACGGTCACGGCACTGCAACATGACTGACTGATGCTGTAATATCAATATCTCATTAATTTTCGAATTTGATTACATGAATCTTAAAGCATAAATCGTTTTCTAAGTCACAAAATAGATGCAGGATAATTTCTACTAAAAATGCAACTAAGAAACTTCATTGGCCGCAATATATTCAGTACAGTCTTATGATTGAAGCGATTTAAAATAAACTTACTTTTTTCTCTTCACGTTTTACTCAATGTTATCTTCACGAGTATGTTGTATTTCATAACCGTCATAAGTTAATTCAGGATCAACTTCAAAAGTGTGAGGGGTGGGCTGAGGTTCTCCGAATTTAATTCCACTTTCTATTAAAGCACCAAAAAATGCAGATGCCTGTAAACCTTAATAATGAAAGAATGGTGCGAAATATTTTATCACTGCGTTAAAAAGAACTTAGGCGATCTTTCATACAACAACTTACGTGTGCACTCCTTTCGATATGTTTCATATCAATACCTTGTAAGAAATGTATTCCAGCCATGGCACACCGTAAGCCGAGTACGCGGCCGATGTTTGCACTGGCAGAAATATCAGAAGGACTGAAATAATTCTAAGCCATATGTAAATTTTCCAAAGACCAATTATTAAAACAAATAAAGATGGAAGCGTTGGTTAATGAAAGTTAGATCGGACTGCGTTGTAGGATATGCCCGCTACCATTTTCAGGCCTCAGATGACCTGGTCAGAATTGTTGAGAACAAAAGCCTCTAGGAAAAGCCAGTTTTTGGTGAGTTAGGCTTCATATTTATAAATTAATAGACCTGCACAGTTGTGCTAATATTTGTTTTTCGCGTGAAGATGCTGTTAATACAGTGCCTTCCTTGTAATGTTCGATGTGACCTTCAACATACTGTCGATGTCGCTCAAAATTCGCCCTGGAAACTTTTAGAATTCAGGAAATTGCTCATTCCCAATGCTTATTAGATTAGAAACTTGTCATTTTATACATTTTCTGTTCATAGCGTATTTGAGGAAATACAATCAAAAACATAAAATTCACCGATATATAAATGAATGCTTGTGTCGATCAACATCCAATCCATAGCCTGCCGGATAAGTTTGGAGGCCCAATTGCTCAATGTTTCGTGGGTTCCGATTGATGAATCTTGCCAACAATCGTAAACGTGTCATTCTGAAAGATTTCAAGACAATAAATGGAATTTCTACCAGAAGCATAATACTCCATCAAATTTCAAATATACGAATTAAAAGAAAGTCTTGAAACCTTTCAACCTATTTATTCCGGAGTATCCTAAAGAAACATTTGAATAAGAAGTATATCGAATTCCACAAAGTCATATCTTTACAGCGTTGAATGAAGTTTGCGAAGCAAACGTCAAACGACTGGTTACAAGAAGAGGTGATAATTACTACACATATAATCGTAGTTTCTAAAATAACGTCATATATAAGTAACCGGTAGTTCATGTAGCCGTAGCTATCCACAAAAACAGTTCCAATTAATGCATCTGTTTATCATAATCGAAAAGTTGAATAACTTGAACAATTATTATAGAAACAAATGACCCATCATTAAGAAGGAACGAAAACAAAGCAACCATATCATAAAAATACCGTATTTAAAGGATCCGTATTTTGAGCATAGACTAGAAATCTAATGAAATATGAAAAAGCATGCTTTACATAAACTGAAATCGAAACCAATATTACAATGAAATCTCCTATCCTACCAGCATTTTTGGCAAACAAGGCGCAATATTTTCTCAGCACTTAGGTACGACAGATTAGAACGGTTCAATAGTTCCCAAACAATGTGCTCCATAGCACTGAACTGATCTCAAAGACCACTAAAATATAAAAAATGCAATCAAATTATAGGCAAAACTTCCTCCTTCACACTTAAAGTATAAAAGGTTTAGAACCTTTTATACTTTAAACCTGAAACCTGAAAAACAATGCCCAAATCGGAAGGAAAACGTTACCTTGAAGCAAGAAATTTATTAAAGATATCTCACTTAGAAAACTTAAGTGAAAAAATGTAAGCTGAACCGATCTCAAATAAATTACAGTTGTCTATGATTGTCATGCATATTATCACCTTCTTATTCTTACGTTATCCCTCGAATCAAACAAATTACAAAGAACTGATATTTTTTGTGAATAAACGTCCTAATATTACCAGCTTATGTGTAATATGATTATTCCTCTTTTTTGGCACCAAAATTTTAATATTACGAAATTCAGCATTGAGACCATAAAGTTCTCTCAACTACAGGAAAGATAACGGAGCAATAAAGGACGCCAAAAAATTAGCATGTTTTCAAATAGAAACGAAAAATACTAATTCGTGCGGCTATTGAAAATAAAAGAATACAAAAATTAATTTAAAGAAATATTGATGATAATAAGAGGGCAACAAGAAAGTAATATAACAATGGAACTACAGATTGATCTATACATTTGTACATTAACAGTTCTAGTGATATTCACATGTTCTCTTGAAACTAATTCCCCACTACTCATATATTATAATATTAATTGTTAATAATTAAAAATTTCAGGTACTGGATAATTTAAAACTTTTGAAACATTTTCGGTTCTTTGTTGCTGCGGTAGAACCGTTAACTTGTCGCACTTCAGTAATTTGCAGCATTCTTCTAGCAGGCAGAAACGAATAATCCAAATGGGAATAAAAAAGAAGCTAGCTGCAATGATCCCTAAAAGTCAGAAAGTGCCAATCACTTTGAAACATTTTCGTTCTCTGTTACCGTGGTAGAACTTTCAAACATGGGCCCACTTTTCGCAATTCTAATTGCATCCATAAGATTCGCTTGTTGTATATCATTACATTCATAACTTGAAATAGGGTAGTGCGTAATTGAAACCGGATAAGTACCTTGTACAGCTGCTACATTCGGAACTGTAATAATGAAATTATTAAAATCATATGGAATAGTGTGATAATTCAATAGCTGGCCAGACAAGTTCTACATCGTTTCTCAAATAGAACTGATCCCCTGAGAAATTGATATGCGATTATTTGGTTTTCATTTATCAATATGTATTTCTACTTCGATATCATCTAACCACTGCTATCTCCCCCACTTCAATTTTGAAACAAATAATGAGAAAAAAAATCAAAAACCAATGTGCGAAAAAATAAAAAATACCACAGTCGCTCTGCAAAACTGGTAGAAAATAAGGCTGCGGTGAATAAACAGTGCTGACTTGAGATGAAACCAGGAACTGCAAGGGATTGTCACGAATGCATTAAATTACTTAAAAGAGAATGACGACAATGGGATTTTCATCATCAATTTAATTATACAACATGATTTAAATTATATTACAGCACCAGTGGCAGCGAAAAAACAGCACTATCGAAAAGCATCATAATGACTGAGTGGAATGCCAGATGACCTTGATGGTTTCATCTATTATAAGTAAAAAATGTTTTTGAACAAAATGATCACTTATAAAATTTAATAAAGAATGAAAAGAAACACCTGCTGTGGATATATACTATGTGCTGGTAGAGGTGACACTAAATAAGACTGCGGAGAAGCTGGAACTACTTCTGGATGACCTGCTGTGTTCAAGGATTCTATCTGATGCGTTAATTTTTGCTAAAAGCAAAACGTTAGGACAATATGGTTTAATATTAAAACGAGAACTGAAAAAGAAAATAACAATTTATCACACATTTCTATAACTAATCCTTTTTCCTTCTTTACGAGAGCTAACATCTAAGTGATTCTGAAATAAATTACTACAATTAGGAAACTTACGAGTGATAAAGTCGGTGCAGCATAACGAAGATATGGTGGAACAACAGCATACGTTGATTGCTCTGTAAAGTTGTAGTCAGAAAAAAAATTAACTGAACAGTGACAGCCAGAATTCACAAAAAAAGCCAGTCAGTGAAGTCTATACTCAGGTAACAGTAACATGAGTTTTATAAAGAGACTCGCCGTAGGAACCATAAAGCAATTCCATTTAATCCCTTACATACTAAGATGTCGGTGATTTTTATCCTATCTTTACCGTAGGTTAGTTGCTAATACACGGCCTTCAGTTTCTTGAAATTAGCAAAAATATAAGTATTTAGATTAAAATTAATATAAGTATTTAAAATCTTCTATTCCCAGATAGGGCTAAGGGCAAGCCAAGTTGTGTGGATAAAAAGCTTCAATGAATATTACTTTATAATAATCATAATCACACCTGGCATCGGATTGACGACATATTGATTTGAAGTGAAATCAGCAGGTACAGGAGGAACTGCATACACAGGCAGTGTTTGATGCTGCGAAGTAGCGATTTCCACTCCATATTCATCGGCAAAATATACATTCTCTGGAAAGAGATTTTCCGATAATGAAGCTTCTCTCGAATGAATTGCTTCCCACTGATGGCAATCTGTGAAAGCCATAAACAGTTATCCATAGATTTCCAGTTACTGCAATAATCATCAACAAAAAAAATTTCAGTAAGTTAAACTGTTGCTGCTGAAAAATCTAGTAATTCATTCTAACAATCATCTAAGAATCATACCTGTACTAGTATGCCTGTTTACGGATGTTCGCTGCTCCGGAAAAGACAAATGAGTGCTGAGATTTCTATGCAGTGGTGCACTTGTATCGATGTTTACTTCCCTCTGTAAATAATCAAGAAAACACTGTAAACAGTCAAAGCAGAGAGTAAAGAGTAAAAAATGTATCAAAACTGCCAGCCACATCGACTAATTAACTTAGTATGTGATGTTATGTACTGCTAAAGAAAGAGTCTTTAGAAATGAATCATCGGTAGCAAAACCCTTCCGTCCAAGTTATCCTATTCACTTAACTATCTATTGTAGGTTGAAAGAATATCAATGCCTTCATCTGTCTCATACACTTGAGGATAATCGGTCTATGGCCAAAAATGTCCTACTACTATCAACTTAAAACTGAGTTTTCAAAAAACAAGAAACTAATTCCTAAATAACAATCCATTAAAATGTTGTTAATCTGCAATGCAGAATGAACGCCGAATTTTCCATCAGTTGTAATGTAAATTAATCTTCGTATTATGAGAAAAGATGTTCCAGATCTACATACCATTAATACTGGAGGTCGAGAGTGATTATGCATCATAGGAGAGATTAAACTCGAAGGATAATCAGCTGACAGGCTTGTATAGCTTTCTGAGCTGCTGCTCCATGGGAACATATGTGTGGTATTGTTAAATGATGGGCTGCTTTCAGATGCTGAATAGACACCCATGACCGGTATGTCACCGTAGGAATAACAGCTTCCAGGTGATTCAAAGAGCTAAAAAAATTGAGTCGAAATACAAAAAAGAAGTCATCACACAATCAACAAACATTTAGATTGCTATTTCTAAAATATTTCCTTACTTAAAATAAAGAATGACTTAAGAAACTAGACTACGCTGATTAATACCATTGAAGTTATTCTCCCAAAAAAAAAAAAAAATTTATCACAAGAACAAACATGAGTACTGCTGGCATCAGTAGATGTTGATCCTTGCTGATGCAATAAATGCATGTGAAGAGATGCGGTAGCTGGAAGAGAATAGCCAACAGTAACACTTGTTGAGTCAGTTGGTAGGTAATCACCCACTTCGAAGGAACGTGCTCGACGCCCAAAAATTAAGCCTGCACCCAAAGACTGTCCAACCTGAATTGCAAGTTCGATGAGAGAATAGAGCTAACTTGAGTGAAGGATATAAAGATCTCCTTATTTTATCTTTTTTAGTTTTATGATCATAAAGAATTGCAGAACAGGAGTTACAAATCACAAGTTGCGGTTTATAATAATTTTCAGACAAAGTACTTCATAACTATGAAAAAAGTTATAACACTCAACAACAAGTTGAAACCAGAACATCTTGCCAAAAATGAGTGATTTTTCATTGGAATGATATGAAAAGGATAACAAACTTCTTCATAGCTTTGGACATCCCTTCTAAGAAGTCGACGAGGTTCATCAGTGTATACATCACCCTGTATCAGTGACGAAAAATCGATATCAGGCCTGAAACACTTTTTAAAAAGCAATCAAATGATAAAGTTACTAGAATTACAAGAGCGGAGTATTTAATTAAAATTTATCCTCATAAATGAATGAGCCAATAACCAGAAATAAAATTTACAGTCTAGTATGAGATGTTTTATTCACGACAACCGCAGTACCATTCTGATCAACATTGTGATCTAAACCGAAAAAAGCAGCTACTCGATGTACCAGCATACGATTGTATGAACTCATAGCTGGGAATTTTTGAGAATTACGTCTGAAATGAACATTTCAATTTTACTAAACCGAAATAAAATGTCAGAAAACAAATATTTTTGTTTTTTAATCTTACTTCCAGAACAAGTGCGAATGCAAGCTGTACACAACCATCTATCAGCCAATCATCACGGAGATACCCTTCGCAATTAATGTAACTAATATTTTCCACAGAAATACTTCACTAGTCATTTCTCAAATTGGAATGTAGATCAAACATAATTTTGTAAGAAGTAATTTACGCTCACTCACGTCGGATCTTTAATAAGCTTTGTCATATGCTGTTCAAGTTGTAACAACATATGCCGATCCTTCGAATTCTTGTGCAGTGTACATGTAATAAATGAAAGCAAATTAATGCCAGTCGAATCCGTGTAATCGTGACCGTGGCCAGAATCTAAAACTTAATTCACAAAAAAAATACAAGTTCAAAAATATTCATTAAAACAATATAAAACGAACCAAATGAAGCAGAAGAAAAAGTAGAACGTGAAGCAAGAAGGCGTGATGTTGGAGTATGTCTAGCAGAAACACCAGAATCATCATCACCCGAAAATGCCTGGCTACGAACAAGTACTTTGGGTTTTGTTGATACAGTTACATTCAGACTGATACGATGAGGTGACTGAAATTTATTGGAAAATTTATCATTTTTTCCTGTAGTAATAATTGTTAAACATGAACACACTTCTGTAGAGAGGTACAAATCTTCCAACACTTTCTTAAATTGGTTAAAGGCGTAATTTTTCATTTTTTTGAAGAGATCGCTTTCCCTTCGAGCTATGAATAGCAAACTGAAGCATGTAGAGAAATAATTAATTAAACAGGAGAATTATAAGACAAATGGAAAAGAAAAATTTTATCCACACCCTAATCAAAAACCTATCTAAAACCTATAATAAGTGTATTCGATGAACAAACACCTGACAGAAGAGTAATTTCTGAGCTATGAGGCTCATTGAAAATTCAGGCACATAGGAAAAAAATATGGCCATAAAAACAACTTCTTTCTGTGGACTAAGAATAAGAGATAGCTATGACCATCAAAACTGTCTCCTGCATGTTGCTGTTATCCATTTGCTGAACACACAAAGCTGTGGTCTTCTTAACTTCATTATCTGATTTCAACTTTTCATTGCATTTTTCAAAGTCCTGAAAACTTATATTATCATGCCTGAAGTCACTGTGCCGTTATATTGCAATATAGAGTTCAAAAGTGAAATAATATAGAAAACGTTAAAACTTTCATGGGATTACCTCCTCGTCTACTCCACTTTGTTTAGCAAGTTTAGCCGATTTATTTGATTGGACAACATTACGTTCGTCACGTAAGTTGCTTGCCGAGCTACCATTCTCACCAGTTGTCTTCTTTTCCGATGACATCACGCATCCTTAACAGTGTTTAAAGCGACTATATTGACGTTTGAATGTTTTTAGTTACCTTTTTGTTTTACAAAAAATTAGTCACAGAAATGTAGAATAACAGGTTCCCGAGTAATAAAAAAAAAAAAAAATGCATAAACATAAATGGAAACAAAACTGAATAAAGACTGGATTGGAATTCATGATCAGGGAAACATGAAAAGGTTAAATATTGAATTGTGAAACAAACTGCTGTATTTTTAACACCATCCTTTATCAAAAGATGAAAGCCGTGCTTAATTAAATAACAAATGTGATATAAAGGAACAGTATGAAAAGGACAACTGCGAACATAAGTAAACAAGTGAACATCATTAAATATAGCAAATCCACTTAAGCGCTATCTTTTTACTGTTGGTTAGTCTTCCCACTTAGCTTTCATAAATTAATTACTTAAGACCACTAGATATTTAAAAAAAATAACCATAAATATGGCGATGGTATCCGTATTAGGTCTCATGGACCAATACATTACTTTCTAATGACATAATGGTAACGATATGAATACAAACTGAATGCATGTAACTACGTTTAGCAAAGAGAAAAAATAGTAAATATAGTGAAACTTGTAAACGGAACCAAAAACATAATGGCTTCAGGACACAAGTAATTAAATCGCTGACGACTGCTGTGTGAAAACATAATATCGACTGGTAATGTTCAGAACTTTCAACAATTCTATAAATGAAGCATCTTGTACAATTAATTATAATTCTGATTTCGAAGCATCTGCGAAAGGCAGACTTCAAATTCTCAACTTTTAAATTATAAGCATTCTATTGCCTGTTACGTACTAAGTTCAGAACTTTGTAACTATTTCCTATTACACCGATATATTAATCAAGTACCTTAACATCTGGAAGAACTAAAAATTACTTCACTGGCGACAGTAGTCAAAAAAGACGAGGTTTTGAGACTTGCGCTCTGGCTTTCCTAAAACTGATCGAATTTTGCATTTATTCAGCGCTACATTTAAAGCCAAGTTACTTTTTAGAACACATTTTCGGAGAATAATACTTCTATAAAAACAGTTCCTCCATAATATGTCTAGTTTGACAACTCATGAGAATATTCTTTGTTGTTAATGATGCTTTAGAAATTATTTTATATAAGAAGAAGCGACACAGAAAAATGAACAACGGAAAAGCGAAAAAGGATATCTGCCAGAAATGGATTTTTTCTTTTATCAGTGTGTATATGTTTTGAAGGTAAGTGGTATGTAAGAAAGACATAACGACTGGAGAATACAACAGTAGCCAAACATTTCTGGTTACATAGTCATTTTCTACCAGAAACCCAGTGCCATCTCAACTAGCCAAACAAATAATTTAGCACGCCTACTTTAGCAGCTAAATTATTCATCGTTGTTAGTAGTACTATAAAGATTATTTTATATATATATAGCTCAGACTGAAGTAGTGCTAGAACTGTTAAATGTTGAGAATACATGTCATGCTGATTGCCTTTGCTAATATCTTACAGTTCGAAAATGCTAAATTCAATTACACCCTACACTCTAAACTTCAAAATCACAACTACACCAATAGACTCACTACGTACATCGCCCAAAATACTCTTAATTCACGGAAACCTTAAAATGCTGATTATACATTCGATTTGTTAAAATGTAGTAATGCATTCATGAACCATAAACATATGACAAAAATCAGATGAGATGAAGACATTTCATTACTAAGTTGCGAAATCGTAAATACTGCAATACCAAACTACGACAGGAAATGGCCAAGATGACTGCACTGAAGAGAATAAGGTGACCTAAGGACCTTCCAATCATACAGCTGGATATTGTGATGACACGAACTCCTTCACTGACATCACGTCACTCCCAAACAACAACGCTGCAACTTCCCTCACCCTCCCATCAGCAAAACAAGTTCTCACGAAAGAACACAACGAACAAAACGACTTCTCTATTCCGTGCAATAGCAATTATGTCAAACAAACTCGTCATTGACCGCTTTATGCAAATATTCATCTCTTACTATTTGGAAATCCAGTATTTGGAGGCATTACACTGCACGACTTGACAGGCGGCATGTGTATGATATATATCACATTTTTAACCAAACAAAAGTTACGCTTTAAAATTGATGGATTAACAAAATAAATAAAAACAGAAACTAGTTAAGAAGCAGAGTTTTCAGTAAAGAACAGAAGCATGATGAATGTATAGCACGATTGCAACTATACTAATCAGCAATTTAAAGGACTGCTTACATCAGGCTGTTACCTAGCAGTAAAAGTCAGGAAAAAGTGGATGAGTTAGGCGCATGAAAAGACATAGTTGAAACGCTCCGGCACTACGGCCGAAAACAATAGTAAGACAGAAAACTGTTATATTCTATTCTTTCTTTCAAAAGTTTCATTATCCTTTTAAAATCCTACAGATCTTACAACGCTAAATTCCTAAACGAAAAGATAAAACTTCATTCGCATAGTTGTTAAGTTTCATGCATTAATCGCCCACAATCAACTTGTTATTATCAGTGATTTGGTATGGCGGCACTTCAAGATTAGTTGGTGCGGGTCCCAAGCGTATACGACCAGATGTATCAAATGTGGAGCCATGACAAGGGCAATAATAACCGCCAAAATCTCCTTTTCCTGCTGCAAATTAAAAACGATGAGTTATATTCAGTGACAACTCACCTTTCGTGCTATTTACATATATTACTTGTCCTTACTTTAATTACAAACGACTCAGACTGAGCTAAATGTCACACTTACTAAGATAAACACCAATCTATCCACTGCAAATTCAGTCTGTTCCTACCTTATAAGACAAGACAATTATGCTATATTACAACTATATTTAATCTATCTCTGATAGCTGAATTCACTAAAACCTTTTTTTTTTTTTTTTTTTTTTTTTTTTTAAATTAAAATTAGTTGAAATATTGCTCAAACCTAGCGGAACACATCCAAGATGAGGGCAAACACCTATAGTTACAAGCCACTCATCTTTCTTTACTCGCTCATCATCAGTCTGTGGATCACGCAATTCGTTTAAGTTGACACTCTTCGCTTTTCCGATGTCATCTTGAGTACGATGGGCTACAAACAGTGGTTTTCCGCGCCAAGTATACGTTTTGCACTAAAAGATTTTGAAAAAAAATCCTGATAAGGACAAATATTTTAAAAAATTTACAAAAAAAGAATACTGTTGAATGCAGTAATTATCAGAATAAGCCATTACCAGAAAAATTAACTTTCAAGATTCGTAAATGAGGTCACAAATACAATAATGGTTATCATATTAATTCACATTTCAAAACTGAATGAACTATAAACTCGTTGCAAAATACAGTTTTCGAATCCGCTGTGATGGGTGCTATATAAAATAGATTTATTATGTAAAAGTTCATTCACGAAGTGCTGAGAACTTACCTGTCCCTCAGGAATTTCGTCCAAATCAATTTCTGTATTTGCCATAGCTAACTGGTCGGCTGGCATACTTTTGTAAGTGACAAGCGACTGTACAAACTTCGTAGCCATGTAGAGGTAAACTGCTCCGTTTACTGTAAATTATCACGAAATACCACCATAAAAATTTTATAAAGAAAAGAGATTTATGAAGCAGTGGAAAACTTTAATAAACTGGAAATGGTCTGACCTCCGAACAACAATCCTTGGGCCGTCACGCGGCGAAAATCTTCAGTATCTCTGGCTGCTTTTGTTGAGTCACTAGCTGCCTTCGATCGTTCATCGTCGTATTTCGGGAATCTTATATCGGTATGAATTAAACGACGTGATGTTGCTTCAAAAAACCGATTAAATATGTTGCTAGTAATCAAAACCTACGTCATTAATCAGAAATTCACAAAATTCCACACCATTTTATGCCGAAAAAATACGACCATACTTGCAAACAATCTTGGACTATAACCTGAATATTCCATACAATTCTAGTTGAATGGCACTTCATAATATCGGAAAAAAACCATAGATGAGGACTCTTTCTTCATGTTCAAATAAAATATAAGGAAAACTAATCAAGACTCCTTACTAACCTACAATTCGTTTAATAGACATCGCAGACAACATGCTGAGACCCAAAGATGGTGCATCTAACCATGAATTTCGGTTAGAGGACATTACCAGTGGGACAGTGTCTTTCTTATCCTTTGCGGGGACCGGTATTTGCAAATGTCCAGTTGGCTGACTTCCACACACCTGAGGAAAACCAAATACAAGAAAATGTGTCTTTTTTATACAAACTATTTTAATATGTTTCTTCCGTCAAATATTCATCGAACTGTTGTTGAAAACACTGAAAAATGTTCCTCTAAAAAACGCAGACTTTACTATCAGTCCCATCGCTGACAGCGAAAAACCAGTGTGAAGTGTATACCCAAACATTACCCTTTTTAAAGCAGCTTGATGAGTCCTCACTAAAGTTGCCATAATTCTTTTGGAGCACCTGGAAATGTAATTCAGACGATTATTACACAAATATTACTGACAAAAGTTTTAAACAACGTATTCGACAAATAAGGACTGTCGCAAAGAAATACAACCAAAGAAATTCTTCATAAACATTACACGGTTTTTGATAGAAAGTGAAGAATACGACACAGAACTTAACATTTCACTTGATAAAGTTATAAAGTTTATTCGCATTACAGCAACAAACAAGAAAAAAAATGTGGCATAATACAGAGTGATAATAACAAAAAGCAATACTACTGGACACTGAAATACTAGAACTCAAAAATTAACATTACTACTTTATAATCGCCAAGCACTCATGCCTATTCTCAGTTGATAGTAATCTGGCCAAGCTTCGGTGCGTCCTGTAAAAAAAGTAGGTTTAAAACCTTCAAAATGCAAAATTTACAGTAAGTAAATTTGGCAAATTTGTCCCTAGTGTTGACTCGCAAAGAAAAAAAAAAGTATTGCATACCAATTCCTGCAACTGCAAGGTCTCGATCATAGACGTGTTTGTTTATAGCTTCACTTATTGCCTTCTTATCTACATTTTCAATAGCATTTTCAAGATCGGACAATGATTGTACCGTATCAGAATAAAGGACCTATGTAGAATATACTGTTACGTAAAGACTCAAATTTATTGACAGTTAAATATATGAAAAAGGAAAAAAACGGTTACAAATAATGGTAACAATCAAATAAAACTTAACAAAAAATGGATTAACCAAATTTCACTTTTAAAGTAAGAGCATTAACAAATACTGGTAGAATTCTAAATTACGGATGATGCCAGCAGCTCAATATGGAAATACTTTACCTACCTGTTTAGCAATATCATCAACACGTGTAACGCTTGATTCCAAAGCCGAAAATGCTACTGTTTTATACATATTCTTGCCTCGCTCAATCTCTTCTTCAGATACTCCTATAGCCAATCTTTTCCTCAAAATTTCCTAGTAGAAACAATGATCAGCTACTAAGTGTACTCAGTTTGATACTTTATATTTTAAATTGAAACCATCACATTCATTACTACGGCGTAAACATCATTTCAAGTGATCGATGCATATTTAATGTTTCCGTTGTTTAAATATGTTTCTTTAAGAAAAATTTTATATTTTCCATTACAATCTTAACATTTAATTAGATTTTGACCAATTTAATCCCCTAAATATATCTAACCTAATCAGTAGTGCTGACCCGAAGTTAAATGACCACTTACCAACCCCGAATAACTTCCTTCATACCGAATGTGGTAGAAGCTACATCGCTACCATCCATAACGACGTAGAATCCAAACAAACCACAGTTCCCATAATTGATAGAAAATGACTTCAACTGATGCACTCCATAACCTGTAGAAATTTTCTGCGTAACAGCAGTGGCAGCATTGGTTGATGATAATTGTGTACAATCCCAATCGCCAATCATCTGAAAACCAATTTTCCATTCACATAGGCCTCTTATCAGCATGAAAACTTCATTCTGCATTTACAGCAAAATTTGCCTGTTAATGCTGATCAGTTTTACAATTCTAACCACTCTGACAGCAGAAAATCAATTACACATAACTTTAACTTACTGCACTTGCAACTTTTAATGGGATAGCATCGGGATGACTGAAACCAACGCCTTCAACTGCCAACGCGCCATACATAAAAGGCATATCATCATTCCGATATATGAACTGAAATAGCAGCATGAATTAAATCCAGATATAAGAAATGAAACAACAGCATTAATTAAATCAATGGAAACATATAAAGGCCAAAAAATATATAATTAACAAATAATATATGATAATATAGTTATGAAATCATCCAGGAGTTACGAAAATCCATGAACTAGAATATTCAAGCGCCACCCTAATATGTAAATTCAAAATACACATGAAATTCATTGCATATTTACTAAGGTAGAAATTACCTCGCTTCCCGTGAAACGAATTCCCTCCGAATCAAGAGTATTTCCTGACTGACCAGTTGAAAGATTATCAAAATATCGTTCAGCAAGGTTTACAATTTGAGAATGCTCAATATTACCAACTGCACCCAGCACCATCCGAGATGGTTTGTAGTAAGCATCTATATATTTGCGCAAATCATTTCGTGTCAAATTCCTACAAGTGTTACAAGTAACTTAAAAAGCGCATTTTTTTACTTTTATAAATTTCCAATATTATCCCTTTCCTTTTCAGATTTAAAACAAAACTTGTTCATCAATTAAAGAAGGCCCGAAAATTTTAGAAACAAAAGAAATACTTAAACATCAAATTTACCTCACTGTCTCCTCTGTACCGTAGACAGATTTAGCCATAGGTGTTCCCTGGAAAGCAGCATTATGAAGGTAGTCAAAAACCATTTCACTCGGATCTTCAGCTGCTTTATTTATTTCACACAGTATTCGAGTACGCTCAGTTTCCAAAGTCGCTTGCTCTAATTTACTGTTTTGTAGTACATCGGCCAGCAGTGCCACCACTGCAATAAGCAAAACATTCCTTTAACAGTTCGATAAACGTTCAATCCATTACATAACAAAGAATTATCTAATTTTTTCTATACAGAATACCATTCTCTACGTGTTTTGCGACGCACTGCACATAAAACGCATTATGATCTCTGGAAGTATATGAATCAAATCTTGCACCGATCTTCTCCAATTCTGTCTCCAATTCTGTTTGCGATCGTTTCTTTGTTCCCTTTAAAATATATTTAATTCAAAAAAAATTTTTTTTACCGAAGCAGTATTCACGAAATTTAAAGTTACACACACACGGTACATCATGTGTTCCAGGAAATTTGAAATTCCATTGTTTGCTTCATTTTCAAAACGACTTCCAGAATCGATCCAAACGCCAACCTGTAACTCTTTCTAAATTTTGTTTGATTATAAAAACCCATGAACAAAATATGTCTCGTATCAACATTGGGCAGATAGAAAGTGCAATCAGCTAAAGTATACGAAATATAGCCATATTTATAATATAGGCATTAAAAATTTGAGGAATAAAAACAGCGCTTACAGCGATGGTTGGTCGTTGGTTAGTTTCAGTGACAACACGAAACCCATTCTTCAAGGATGTAACTTCGGGCGCAGAAATACTACTCAATACATCACGTGCTGCATAAACTGCTGTAGCTCTGAGCTAAATGACAGTTACTGTTAAATTAATAGTGTCACACAACATAAAATAATTTGATTTTTCTGACGCATTTTTCTGCCGTTCGTTTTCGAGATAAATGGTATTTTCAATGAACAACGAATGAATATACTACTTGTGGAACAGAAAATGCTACTTGTAAAAGTTCCTCTGAATGAAGAACGAGTATTATATTACATTATATTGCATCACTATTTATAGGCCATGACATCTCTAATTTAGAATGCCACAAATTAAAACTGACATATACATATTGTCAGAGTATATAATTATGTCAAAACAACCCAAACAAAAAAAAATTAATGCAAATTTTTTAACGAATTACCGAAAGGTGTAAGCCATTGAAGGCGAACAGTGTTTTGGAAGTAGTGCACAACAGTGAACGCCATGACATCTCTGAAAACTGCCAAGTTAATACCGAAGTCTAACCCTTCACGTAACACTAGTGTCTCTTGCTCACAAAACACGTACGTCCACGCAAACCTAGCAAACAAACGAACTCATCGCTCATGGACACTACAGCTATCGTAGAGCTCAAATGCAACCAGTCATCCCACAGACTGATTTGTTCCCGTTAATCTTGATAAGGCATTTGGGATAAGGTTTCGAGATGGCTATACTTACACGACGATGTTTCGTCGATATAAGTAGTGGTGCTAAAGTTGGAGCGGTGAGGTAAGTACTTCGCCACGACTTACCTAGCACATATATTCACAGAAGTAAACGTATGATAATGAGCAGTGAAGAATGATGACACAGTGACAGTATGTGAGATTAGTTGTTAAACTGTGCCCAATTAAGTTTCATTATGTGAAATGAAATATGAAATTTAGTTTGCTTATAGAAACGACATGAAATCACTGAATTCTTTTTTAATTGAATTACTCGTTAAAAATAAACGTCTCTTTAAATGTCATTCATCTGACGAGATTGTATTTTGTACATGCATTGTAATCTATCGATAGACAGAGTCGTTCCGATCGTGATCATAATCATGATTTCAAGTACAATGATCGACGTATTTCCCACTCCTGCTTTCAGTCTCGTGTCATCTCACACACAATTCTTGAGTTTCCCGACCAGTCTTCTTTTTCCAATGATGGTTAATAATAATTACTAATGTATTCTAAAAATTTTTAATTCAAACCAATATTTTTCAAAGAATAAATCCTAAAATGACGGAAATCTGAATTTTTCTTCATAAGTGGTCTTTCTTATTTATCTCCGTTATTCCATTTTTTATCATATTACAAGAATTTTTATTTTATCTGTTGCTTTTTGCTAAAATAAAACTTTTGTTGTTTAGACTTTTTCAGATGCATAACCTTATCTGACAGTATTATTCTGCATTAGTAGTGATAGAATAATTTCCAATTTCTTACTAAAGTTAGCTAGCTTGTCAGTAGAGCAAAAAATAAAGCAAAAAACAAGCAGAAGTAGCAACACTAAGTTATGCAAACGATTAGTCGGTTTGCACAGAAATGCGACACACAGCTTTTTCTTCCCACTTTTCAACCATCTGTCTTTTTTCTTCATACTCTTCAGTAGAAGAGAAAATCTTCACTTTACTCAGTTATGTTTTAAACCTATTTCGAACATTCCAGTTATTCTTCATATATTTCCTCCTGATATTCGTTTGCTTTACACCTTCAAATTATTAATCTCGACCGCATTTTCTAGGAGAGATCTCTTGAGTGTATAATTTCTTTTACAACAAATTTCTTGACATACAGAAAGCGTGCAGTTGCTATAACTTCAGAGTTTTAATTCAGCCGGTTCCATTAAATAAGTAAACACCGATCCAGGTGTGTGTATGTATGTGTCTTTGTATTTGTATGTGTGTGTGTGTGTGTGTGTGTGTGTGTGTGTGTGTGTGTGTGTGTGTGTGTGTGTGTGTGTGTGTGTGTGTGTATGTATGTGTCTTTGTATTTGTGTGTGTGTGTGTGTGTGTGTGTGTGTGTGTGTGATTAATCAGCTTTCTGCTTAGTCAGCTGTGGAGTCAATCTTTCCACCGGGAAGTGGCTTAGTCCAAAGGTTCCCTATTAAATTTAATTAGCTAATTGTTTTCAAATGGAAGTAAATTTGCTACAGATATGGAAATGCAGTAAATGAGGATGGTATTATTTCCATGAGTTTTAAAAATTTATTATTAGTCAGTTGAATAAATTACTGAAAAGAGATGAAGTTTTTCTTAAAGAAAATGGTTAGCAGCTTTTCTGAATTTGCAAATGTGCACATTACATTTAAATGAATGCACTCGACACGTACTATCACCTGTAATATTTATTCATGTTTAACAGACTAATAGGTAAATAAGGGGAATACTTGGACAGATTAACTGGTGAGTCTCTTTGACAGCGTCCATATGAAAATAAGGTGTCTGACACATTACTGAGTAATCGGATCATTCAATGATTAGAACTATTATGATTTTCGCATTATACCATCTGACAAATGATTCAGATCAGATCACTGAAGGCTATCTTTTTTCCTTTTGCTTCATTACTTTGCTATGCAAGATTATCTGGTGACATCATACGGAGTTTTATGATTACTAGAAAATAAACATTTCTTGACAGAGCAATTATGTTAGCAAGCTTTCTTTATTTTTCTTAAAGTATGAACTAAAGATTTCTCGCAAAATAAAATAATGTAATTGGACTAATGGTCAACAATAAGGAAGAAGAAAAACAGAACAGAAATATTCTTTAATCTTCTAGAGATTGATTGGAACTGAAAAAGTTCAAATTTATCAATATCTCCATTCAATCCGCAATTTTATTGATATACCATTTCTATTTCCTTACTTATTTTCGATTAACCTAAATTTCACATCATCAAAGCCATATTTTTGTTATCATTTTCTGTACGTATTTCTACCTGGGGATAAGACAAAATGTTAACTAAAATTGGAAATGTTGAAACCTGGAATATTTGAGTTTTGATCAATCTTCAACATTTCAACAAAACAATCTTTGTTATCAGTATGAAATGTAGATAATGCCACGACTACTTTTACATTAGAGAGATAGCAGTTTTATCAGTTGCTCATATCAGAAATATAAAATATAAGGGCAGGTTGACTGTGTGCCTGTTTTTTTCCCTTTTTCTCTCTCTTTCAATTTATGAATTCACGCATCAATCATCCTTTCTTTTCCCCTCATTTTTCCTTCTCATTCATCATTGTTGCGGTATTGAACGGCTCTTTTTAATAGTGGTAAGATTATGATTATGTGTCACTCTGTCAATTCATTGATATTTAAATGATTATCAATGCTTGTTTAATTCTTACAATGTCTTTATAACAATAATTTCATATAAACAATGTCTCGCATTTACGATTCAAACGAGTACCAAAATGAAGCTGGAAATAGCTCGGTTAGTTTTACCTTTGATCAGTGATAAGTGAACAGTAGGCTACTTACTCTACTGGTTCAGTCCTATTTGTTGACAGCTGAAATGAAGTGCTTAATTAACGATTCATGCATCTCTTGGGGTCATCTTATGCGGATAGATGAACGGATCTGTACATAAGAAATTGATGGAATTTTGAAATGAATATTATATGTTATGAAGTATTTCATGAAGCATGTCCGCATTCTATCTTATGCGCATTAATTAGATGGCGGGCAATTGTTTATTCCATCTGATTGTGATATTTACCGCTTCGTCGGCTAATTCAGTTATGAGAGTTAAAAAAGTTAAGCTAAAGTTTCGAAAATGTTGTGAACAGCATTGTAGAAAGTATTATCAAAAGTTTGACATTCCTTCTTATCAGAAAAGTGTTCAACTAGATAATTACTTATTTCACTTTTCTTTTATCCATTCTACTTTAAGTGCACGAACAGCAAACAATAAAGATATTGGCCTTAGACATGCAAAAATTGTAGGAAAGAAATTGCTCAGAATGGAAGCGGAAAAAGAATGTGATTCAGAGGACTGCACAACAACAGCATGTCACATCCATGCCAGTCACATATATTGCTCGGCCTAGCTATTGTCCTATGTGAGTGACATTATCATTTTAATTATTCTAATCATTCAGTCTACGACACAATGACTCTGACCTTCTCAAAGAAAATATAAGTTCATCGATCTGAAATCATTTGAATTCTACTTCTTACTTAGGAACCAATCAATAGACATTACTATTTCTCCTAGTTTCAATAAGCGAGTAATCAAAAAACAAACAGTTGAAAACTTCTGCTTTCTAAAATCTAAACTACAAAAGCTTAATCAAAAGCACGAAAGGGAGTGTTTTCATATATTTTTCTAGTTATTCAATTAAATTTCTCGCTATTTTTAAATTTCAAGATTTAATAATTTGCTGTTACGGTTAGAAACTGAAATAAAAAAATGATTTCAACACAGATAAAAGCAATATTGGATTATTTATCATCAGATTGGTGATATTGAGTGATTATTCAGAATGGTTTACTTTCCAAGAATTTCTTAAGGAACAATGGGCGTCTTTTATTTTTTTATTAATTCATTACTTTCAATTTAGTGATAAGTTTAATATGCATTCTAGAAGTTGTGCTATAGGATTTACTCAAAAAAAAGTCTAAAAAGAACATAAAGGATGTATATTTAGACATATTATGCGACCTTTACTGGATAGTTTTAAATTAACTTCATTCTGTTATTTTTACACATTTATTCAATTAAATTCCTGAAAGTTAAGCCGAAAAATGTTCAAACAACTGAGTTTGCACAGACATCATAAATTATAAATTAGGAATAGCGAATTGTTCTCAGAGAAGAAAAAGATAAAAATGCAAAAAATTATTTCAAATATATTTTCAATTAATTTCAAATGAAATATACTTGCCTACCCATAACTTGAAGCAACTGATTGGTCATGTTAATAAAAACATTTAATATTTCAATAATGAAACCACTGTACAAATTCAGAGAAGACGGTTTATGGCAATCTAGGCGGCCGAAGCAAGAGTATAAGAATATGGCCAGTAGCTTGGGTCTGGGATATCGTAGTGTAAAATCGTTGAACACTATTAGTCAGACTCATAATTTGGTAAGTTAAGATTTCATCATAAAATTTATTGGCGAAGCGTTAATGAATCGGAAATCAAAATCTGTGAAATTTTAAGGAAAAAATATGAAAAAAATTTGTAGGAGAAATTGAGGCTTATTGTTCATGGATTTATAAATCGGCCTGAATTCTATAGACTAATAGCCGTTTTTTAAAGCAAATTAGTAGCAGGAACTTCGATTACGTGCTGGTTCACCACAGATTCCATCCAGTATTGGTGATATTATTAATACAGAACATGGTTTCACGATTCAACTAGACACAAGACATTTCCAACCGAGAGATATTCAGGTTTTTTCTAAATCCAACACACGTGGATGACAAAGGCCAAATTATCAGCAATAAATAAATATTCTTTCCAGGTAACTTTACATCAGAACACGCTTAGTGTAACTGGGGATCGCTTAGAAGATGATGGTACTGGTGCGCAAAGACTACATCGAAGTTTCACACGGAAGTATATAATCCCTTCTGATGTTCGACTTTCTTCCTTATCATCCTACACCACCAATAATGGCTATTTAATCATCAAGGTATTTATTTATATACATTTTTTTCCAGAGTATTTTCTAGAGGTAGTCATGATCCATTTCTGGGAAGATTCATATGAAACGATTATGTGCGCCTGCGCCTCTTCTAGTACAGGACTTCATCCGTTTTCTTATCCCAATAGTTTTTCTTGCAGGAATTATTCTTTGAAAGTGGAAGGTGATTTTTTCTTTCTTCAAAACAATTTTATTTGAATTGACATCCTCAGCTCTTTCCAGGGTAGCCGAAAAGGCTGGAAGGAAACCGACTTAACGAAGCATTTGGCATCTACATCAATATCCAACGAATCAATGACAAGTGCTGTTTGAGATATATGTAGGAAACGTTCTCGTAGTCGTGATTTTGTTGTTCAGATCTCTTATGCTATCAGTAAATAAGAGTCATTTTGGGACAAGTTTATCTGTCTCATAAATATTTCTCGTCATTTTTGGTGGATAAGTAATTATGTATTTAATATTTGAGAAATATAAAAGGGAATGATACCTTTATCATTATTGTATTGTTTGGAGGAAAAAGACGTGAGAACTGAGAAATTCCAATCAATAAAACAAGATAAGTTGAAAAGAAGAAAAATTACGGCAAGTTCAGCAGGAAGAAGTAAGTCTTGCACTGAGGATGCAGTGCATTGATTGTCAGAACAGAAAGCATGTCCGCCTGCAAATCTTCGGAAAAATGCTATAAACTAAATCCCCTGCACATCTTTGCTTTTGCATTCTCCCTTACTGCAAGTAAAAACCTGTCAGTTTAGTTGTTAATTATTTCGCAGGTTGAGGTTGACTTCCATCGCTACTTTTGTTATTGCATTCTTTCCGGCTATCCTGTCCGAAGATTCACAAATACCAATCAAGCCTTTTCTGGCTAGCTTCAATTCGATCTATCTCTTATCACTATCAGCATTTACGAACTAATAGTAAACACAACATTTGCTGCTTGTTAGCTGGAAAGACTTACAGATGATTAATAAATTTGGAAGAGATGAATTGAGGAAATATGTGAAAGTTTGGACATCTGCGCACCATCCTATTCCATTTCTTCCTTTGCTCTCAGAAAGAGATGGATGGAAGCAATTCATAAGCAATTCACAAGTGAGTTGAAAAATATCTTTTCCAGAAAGGATGATCCGAAATGTTCCCGGCACTCAAAGCTACACTAACTGAGTTTGAGCTGTTCCTCTACTAGCTCCATAATTAAACCCGCAGTCTGTTAAACATATTATCCTTCTGGCCTCCCCACATCAACAACTCTTAACTCACATCCCGTCTTACGATCACGTCATAACGAGCCTCGGTATGCAAAATAGATAATTAATTATGTGCAACCAACTACTCACTCACCGTCTGATCCCATTACTGAAAGCTCTGATTTCATCTCTGTAACTGCAATGCAAATCGCTCACAAAAGCTGCATTTATTGTTCTATAAGTCTATGCATATATATATATATGTCTGTGTGTATGTGTGTGTCTGTGTGTGTGGGTGGTTGGAACGTTCTTGACAAAAGTGAGTTATTCTTTATGGCGCAATGTAGCTGATATCCGGTTGAGATTTCTGATTTCTGAGTCACTGTCCGATGTGTAACAGACACAAATTGCTAACAAAGGAAGATGGAACCACAGCTGGCGCTGTGTTGCTAAATGCATATGGTGTCCGGGGGCACAGGAGAAGCTACTAGAGAGAAAGACTGGAAATTTGAGAGAGGAAACTGAGGTGATAAAGGGGAGGTGTAGACCGCCATGCACCAAGTGCACTCGGTTTCAACTTCAACTTCAACTTCAGCTCCAGCTTCTCAATCCTCAGCTTTTCGAGTGATTAGCTATCAGTCTGTCCTACCCAACACAATGTTCTACTCTCTACAAGCCAGTTCTTATTGGTGGTTATATGTATGGAAATTCACAAAACTTTTCTCAAATTTCACCAGTAAACTATACTGTATTTATTACTTTATCAATATGATAAGCATAGGTAGCAAGGGTAGAATTATATATGTTCTAGGTATTATTGAGGAGGAGATGAATTGAAATAAATGACATCGATTAGTTATTTCATCTCAATTCTTGTTCCCAAGAAAATTTCTCTAACTTCATTTTGTTCTTTGTTATTTTCTTTTCTTCATACGATAATAGAATTAACTAACATAGTTCCAGAAAAGCTGATTGGATTCGACATAAAATACTGAAGAACGATCTGTTCAACTATTCTCTACAATTTTCCGTTCCGTCTCTTGCAGTGGTCGTTGTTCAGCCCAAACTCTTCATAAAATCAACTATTTAACAAGTTTTACTCACAATAGATTAAAGAAGCCGATAAAAGAATGAATCAATTAAGGTTTTCCGAATACAAATAGCAGAGAGATTGTAATGTCCCTTTTTAAGCCATATCTTCTGCACTTAATGATGAAGCAAGGAAAAAAAAAGGAAAAATTGATGGGTTGAAACAATACTCAAATGGATTTCAGATTTTAAATAAAAAAAGCGGTGGAAGAAGTTGCAGAGGTCATCTGATCGTACATGATGTGTGAAAGTATGTGAAAGTAACTGTAGAAGATTTCATATGTTTGCTTCATTCTCAGCTATATCAGTAATATTATGTGAAGTGAGAAACCTTGAGAAGCATGGGACGCATATTTACTTTAACATTGCACCATTTTCGTCCTTCTAGCTGCGGATTCAATAGTGATATTGAGGATTGTAGTGAGTGCGATGGTTTAACAATTGATCTCGATCTGATGCTCAAATTACTTTCAAGAAGAGGAAGTGAACTGTTGAGAGATAAGAGTTAAAAGAGTAATATTTAGAAAGGAAAATCGAAGATCAAATTATGAATTATTATTTGTGCTTTATTGGACTTTAGTAAAAACTTACATTCATAAATGGCTTTTCAAAATTTGTCTTTTAGAAAACAGTACTGTTGTTGTTTGCCATCATGTCTTGACAGTTCAAATTATTTCGAATTTTTATAAACAAAACTTTTCACAGTAGTCTTCAGAGAGCAATTATTTAACTTTTAAACTACTGTTAATAATATTGTCAATAGTTAAAACAGTGTTCAACTATCTAAATTTTTTCTTTATTCTAAATCCTTCAAAGATTAGTTTTTCTAGTTGATTATTTCATAAATATTGTCTTATTAAAAGAACGAAAATTTACTTATGTATTTCTTCTCTCTAAGCTATGTATCAAGCCTAACAAAACAAAAGCATCCCTACTAATGTCAACTCTTCGTGAAGGAATAAGTAATAATGGTTACTCACGAGGAACAAGACTTATGGCTGCCAATTTTTTGATACGTTGAATCATTTGGCTGAAAATCACAAAGCTTAAGAAAAAGATGAAAAATTATAGTTCAGTTCGGAGATAGTCGAAATTCCTTTCAAACGACCACGCATCGGAAAAGAAGGCTGAATGAAGAAACATAACTACTCAAGTGGTGCACGAAGATTAACCAACATATATAATTAAATTATTTCAATTATATATGCGACATTATGTTGTGTCTAAAATTACTGCTGCTGGCAATATTTTCTACGGAACAGCCGATATTGCCTGCAAGATTGTCACCTTTCGTTGACGCAGCTGCATGTAAAGGATGTGTACCGCCCTGTATCTGTCCTGGACGAAAAGGAGAGCGGGTATTGCCTTCCCTTATTTGATAAAATATCGAGAGTTCTGTATTACTTACCTTGATAAAGGTTTCGTGTATATATAAATTTTTCTGTAAATTTTCAAGAAATGTACGAAGGGTTCTGATTATTTCTAATTCTACAATATTTTATTCATTTTAGGGCATACCAGGTTTTCAAGGTGAAAGAGGTCATCCCGGAGCACCTGGTCAGGATGGTGGTGAAGGGCAAGCTGGCGCAGGTGGAATGCAAGGTGCAGAAGGAGATTTCGGTGATCCAGGAATGAAGGGTGCTAGAGTGAGTTATTGCAGGAAGTTTCACTTAGGAAACGATCAGATGTTCTTTTTCAAGGGCAATTTAAATCAATATTTTCCTGTTGATGAAAACATAAAAATTGTTACAGGGCGATCGAGGTTTACCAGGCGCACCGGGTCATGTTGGATATCCCGGACTCGATGGCTTACCTGGTATGAAGGGTGAAATGGGTATACCGGGATGCAATGGTACGGATGTGAGTTCATTTTTTTAATTTTTAATAGATTTCTCTGATACACTTATCTCAATTTTAGTGTCATGTAGTATGCAAAAATTTGATTTTTTCAAATCTACAGAATAAAAAATTGCAGTAAATTTCTCACATTTTCGAATGTCTATTGCTTTATAAAGTGAAAATTTTTAAAGATTAAAATCTAAATTGCTATCCTTAAATATGTTTCTCCGTTTAATTTTTGCCACTTTCATTAATTGGCATCTGTGGAACAATTGCCATCTTACCTGTATTTATTCATCAATAATTTAAGTTGTAATCACATTCAAACTAATAAACTTTTTTCAGTGTCGTTCCCAAAAAGTTAAAATTCTTCAATTCGTTCTTTAATGCAAATAAACAAATAAATTGAATGAAATCAACTTTAATTGCATATTTATAGCCTTGCTTTTGATCTTTTGTAATTACCGATTATTTGGATGGTTAGCTCCAAATTATTAAAGAAAACGTTAACTTAATACACATCATCTCTTCATTACCGTATAGTTTTATAGGGAAGACCAGGATTACCAGGTTTAACGGGTCCTCCAGGTTTAAGAGGTCCTCCTGGCGAACCGGGTCGTTCTGGATATCCTGGACCACCGGGCGAAGGAGGTATCAATTCAATTGGCAGGAAAGGTGAACGAGGAGACTCGGGTCGTGCTGGATTACCTGGTATACCAGGTTTACCCGGATTACCAGGACCGAAAGGTGCGAAAGGAGATCCTGGACCGTATGTAAGTTGCATTTCTCAAATTTTTTTTTTGTCAATAAATTATCTTTAATAAATCTATTTGCAACAATTTTTTTACAGGGACCACCAGGCTTCCCCGGTCCTCAAGGTCCGAAAGGACGCATGGGAATTCGAACACCGGGTATGAAGGGTGAAAAAGGTTTAGCAGGACCACCAGGACCACCCGGGCCACCAGGTAGCTTTGCTGGTGCATCTGCTCCGGAAGAAACGGAAGTAATTCAAGGACCTGTGGGACAACCAGGTACATTATGAAGTATTAACACAAAAATAGAATAACTTTTCAAAATGAACTTCTATTCCTGTTACGTTTGAGTAGGCTTTTTGTTACTATATCTCAAAATTATATTACAGGTTTGAAAGGTGAGAAAGGACGAGTTGGTCCAGTTGGACCTCCTGGATTTGCTGGAAGTGATGGGGTGCATGGATTTCCAGGAATCAAAGGACAAAAAGGAGATCCTGGCGATTTAGGAGCGAGAGTAAGATTATTTGGTAATTACTCCAAAGCTCACATTGAATTCCTGTTTTCTCCACAAAGGTTATTTGGAGAAGATAAAATATCCTCGTCTTAATGAGTATTTTGCCCATCTGAGAAATGTTCTATAATGTTTTGATCGGCAGGACTTTCCTTTTTGCAGGGCAAACGAGGGAAAGATGGTCCTATGGGTTTGATCGGAGAAAAAGGTGAAACAGGCATCCAGGGTGTACCAGGTCTTGATGGCTATTCGGGACAGAAAGGTGCTGCTGGTGAATTGGGTTATGACGGTCGAATCGGCCAAGAGGGTGATCCTGGACCACCGGGTGAATTTGGTGTCGGCAGAGGGCAGCCAGGACCACGCGGTTTACAGGGAATTGATGGAGCACCCGGAAAAAAAGGACAACCAGGTTCGTACCACAATTGTTCGCTAATAAAAACTGTGAATAATAAAGAACACGAAAAATGGAGTGATTTTATGAAGAACTATTACAGGTACCCCAGGTGGATTAGGTCCAGTCGGTGCTCGAGGACCGAATGGTGCTCCCGGTCTACAAGGATCTCCTGGTCTAAGTGGCATACCTGGATATTCAGAGAAAGGTGATCGTGGTGCAGATGGCAATCCAGGTTACGTGGGAGATGCAGGAGCGCCGGGCACTCCTGGTGACTGCGGAGTGCCAGGTGAACAAGGTTTACCAGGCTTCGACATCCAAGGACCACCAGGATTGGAAGGAAGGCCTGGTCGCGACGGTTTTACTGGAGTGCCGGGTGATGTGGGTGATCATGGATTAGCGGGTTTGAAAGGGTTTCCTGGTACTGGTGTTTCGAAAGTGGGTCCGCCAGGTATGATCGGTTTAATAGGGCCGCCTGGAGAGAATGGACGAATCGGTTTAGATGGAATACCGGGTAGTGCTGGTTATCCTGGGGTAAAGGGTGATGACTGTGGATATTGTGCACCGGGTGTACCAGGACAAAAGGGCGACGCTGGTCTTCCCGGTCAGGATGGATATCCAGGTCCAGTGGGTCCAAACGGAAATCAAGGTCTTCCTGGAATGAAAGGTTTAGCTGGAAAACCAGGACATCTGGGTTCTGATGGACAACAGGTATTGATATCATATTGGTGATCCTATGAATTTTAATACTTGTATCTAGTTAGATGTTTGGAAATTTTTGTCAAAAGATGTTCATAAATTTCGGTGTTTCTGCAGGGTTCCGAAGGTTTGCCGGGACTACCGGGTTTCCAGGGAATAAAAGGTGAGGCGGGAGAAATTCTTGGTGGAATGGAGAATCCTCGAGGATTCCCAGGAATCAAAGGAGAAAGAGGGGAATCAGGCATGTTACTTTACTTCAAGCGATTTCAAGACTGTCGGTAACAACAAACTCTACAATCTCGTTACTTTAAAAATTTTTTAATTCTGAGTTCATTTAAATTCAACGAGGAATTATTTGCTTATCTTCTTTACAACACATTGCATCACTTCATGGCAACTTTTCGCAGGTATTCCTGGAGAACGAGGAAATCCTGGAGTTGATGGGTTACCTGGACCACCAGGTCCAGATGGAACACTCGGTTTTCCTGGAGAAAAAGGCTTACCAGGAATTAACGGAAAGCATGGTCGTGATGGAGCTGTAAGTTTATATTTCCAGTACTTCAGTTTTTAGAAAGGAGCATTCGATTCTCAATAAATTGGATTTTCATACCGAATTTAAAAACGAAACTATTTTTAGTGAAAATCTCTCTAAAAAGTTCAAAATAGTTATTTCATTCAACTATTTCGGAAATGCAGATTATTTTAGCCTGGACAGTCTGGAGCGGTTGGACCACCAGGTGACTCATATCCAGGTCCGCCTGGTCTAGATGGGACAAAAGGTGAACGAGGTGCTGATGGTTTGCCAGGTCTTCCTGGACCAATTGGACCACAAGGACCACCATATAGTGGTCTAATTAGAAGTTTGGTTGGTCGTGATGGTTATAATGGAGCACCGGGGTTGAAGGGAATGCGTGGATCCGATGGTCTTCCCGGTTTACCAGGCTCACGTGGTCTGGATGGGTTACCAGGAAGAGTTGGTGAACCTGGCATTATTGGATATCCTGGTAAGCTCGGACAGAGCGGAATTCCCGGACATCCTGGTTTGTTGGGAGACGATGGATACCCAGGAATTCCTGGTGAAAGTGGATTACCGGGAGCAGGAGGTCTTCCTGGCCTTAGTGGCCTATCAGGTTTACGCGGCGAACCAGGTATAGGCTTAATCGGACAAGTTGGTTTTCCCGGAGGAAAAGGTGAGAGCGGTAGACCTGGTTATCGAGGACATGTTGGGAAAGCAGGAGCACAAGGAAAGATAGGAGTTGCTGGTGCGAAAGGTGCAGAAGGTAAGGATAAAACCATTTCGTTGCTTTTTGAACTTTAAGAAAAGAAAGGCTACTACTACTATTACCACAAATGAATTCAATAATGATTTCTAATGTAAGGTGTGAATGTTGAAAATATGTGCCAGTATATTGCAGGTGAAAATGGTTATCCTGGACTAGCTGGGATCCCTGGAAAAAAAGGTGAACGTGGTTTACCGGGAATACCGGGAAAAATAGGACGTCCAGGACGAGCAGGAGAAGCTGGCACCCCAGGAATTCCAGGACTGAAAGGAAGAAATGGTATTCCCGGCAGAGATGGTTTGCCTGGAATTAAAGGAGAAAGAGGTTTTGCTGGACTGCCAGGTTTACCTGGAAAAGTTGGAGCGATCGGCGAGGCAGGAACTCCTGGTGAAAATGGACTGTTTGGTTATCCAGGACTGAAAGGAGAACCAGGTATAGATGGGATGCCAGGACAACCCGGTTTCCCTGGTATGTCAGGAGATCGTGGACTTGATGGATTGCCTGGGTTGCAAGGTGTTGATGGCGAACCAGGTCTACCTGGTGTTCCTGGACTAGAAGGCCTTCCTGGTTTATCTGGAGCTCCAGGTTTTGCTGGCTTGCCTGGCATAAAAGGAATACGTGGTGAACCTGGACGATTTGCTCATCCAGGACCGCCAGGTGACGTCGGATTACCAGGACCACAAGGCCCCATTGGTTTACCAGGACAGGATGGAATACCGGGGACTAAAGGAGAACCTGGTTCATTGGGAAACAGTTATTCCGGTTTACCAGGCTTGCAAGGCACGGAAGGAGAACCTGGTAGAGATGGAATCGATGGACCTGTTGGGTTTCCTGGTTTACCAGGAATGATTGGTTATCCAGGTGCGATCTACATCAAAATTCCACTTATTATTGAAAAAAATATTTTATTAAATAACGTTACACTGTAGTGGTTAACATTTTTAAAAAATTCTTCCTCTTACTGCTTACAAAATAAAGAATAAAGTAATGAATATTTCACAGGAGCCAAAGGTGAGCAGGGCGATATAGGAAGGAGTGGTGGACGTGGATTTGATGGACAACCAGGCATACCTGGTGTCAAGGGTGAATTTGGGTTGCCAGGACTACCAGGTATTCCCGGTATTCAAGGTCCACCTGGATTAGACGGCATGTTGGGTCAAAAAGGTCATGCTGGTCTTCCAGGTGAGCCTGGATTTGATGGTCAGAGAGGAAAATCAGGAGAACACGGTAGAAAAGGAGAAATTGGCCAGTCAGGATCTCCTGGATCAATTGGTCCAGTAGGAGCACCTGGTATACCGGTTAGTTAATAGTAATATTTTTCTGATAAATGACGACTGATTTGAAGATGCTTCTTAACAGAACAACATCTTTCTGGCTGATTTCAGGGTGAAGTGGGCTTATCTGGATTACCAGGTATGCCTGGTGATGAGGGTAGTGCAGGTCTGCCAGGCATACCAGGAATCAAAGGTTTACGTGGTGATGCTGGTGCTGTGGGCTCTGCTGGCTTGAACGGCTTTCCTGGCATTGCTGGTGCTCGAGGTGACGATGGGCTCCCTGGTCTGCCAGGAGCACCTGGATTCGGTAAGTTCCATAAAAAATAACAGAATATTTGCTTTCTTGACAATTACTAGGGTTAGGAAACATATGAAGTTTACCACGTTCAATTTGGTGTTAAATAAAAATACATTTTTTCAGGAGTTCAAGGTCCACCGGGTGATATAGGTTATCCTGGAATTGACGGTAAACTTGGTTTGCCAGGTTTTAAAGGTGGACGTGGTGAAGAGGCCAGGTCAGGTATGGCCGGTGCGTCCGGTATGCCTGGTACTGATGGTCTTCCAGGTTATCGTGGTGAAAAAGGCATTTCTGGAATTCCGGGCAAAAGAGGTAATTATGTTTACCACTTATAAAATTAATGCTGAGCTGCCTGTTGTTATATTGCTCCTTTCATTGCTGCACAGTTATTTTACACGACATATTGTAGGTCGTGATGGAGCTCCTGGATTACCTGGGCCAGCAGGAAAGGATGGCTATCCGGGCGCAAAAGGTGAAAGAGGTCTTTCCGGTTTTCCAGGAATACCAGGAAAAGATGGAATTTCTGGATATTTGGGAGAACGGGGTGTATCCGGTGTTCCAGGTATGCCAGGTTATCCTGGCAATGTTGGATTACCAGGACTATCCGGTATGCCAGGACAGAAAGGTATTCACTTTTCTGTTTGACCATTTTTCTCCAAAAATTGACATAACTATCAGCAGTGTTGTATTTCAAGATTCGATGCCAGTCGGGTACCTTCTAGTGGTATGAAGTTAACTAATGTTTTTTGAAAGCTTATGTGATCGAGATGAAAAATTTTACAGGAACACGTGGTGATGATGGATTGCCAGGTGTACCAGGTTTGCAGGGATCGGTAGGGCCAATAGGAAGACCTGGTCCTCCAGGTAGACCTGCTGTTTATAATCAATACTTGCATTCACCTAAGGGTGAGCAAGGGTATGCTGGAGTGCCTGGACAGAAAGGCTATCCAGGAGAAAATGGAAACCCAGGTAACATTTTTGTATATTTAAGATATTCATTCGGCTTAATCTGTGGAATTTACTGCAGACTGTTATAAATTATGCACAAACCTAAAATAAAGCAAAAGATAACAGCCCAGCATATTTAAGCTAATGTTTAGGCATGCGAGGACCACCAGGAGCAGCAGGATTTCCGGGTTTACCTGGTCCACCAGGTAGTCCCGGACTTCCAGGCATACCAGGTATCAAGGGTGAGATGGGCTCGAACGGGTTCCCAGGATCAACAGGACGTATCGGACAAGTAGGGCAGCCAGGACCACCTGGATTTCCAGGGCCACCAGGTAGCTGGGCACCATCACGTGGTTTCACTTTTGCAAGACATTCGCAAGCAACTGAAATACCACGGTGTCCGGCTGGATCACAAATGTTGTGGAATGGCTATTCGTTGTTATATGTACAGGGAAATGGTCGTTCTAGTGGTCAAGATCTTGGTAAGTTGCTGAAACAGTCTGGAGTATCAGATGACAAATAATAGTATTTTATTGATCCACCTCATGATCTCTTCACTTTTGGAAGTGATTGATGATGTTGCGACATTCTGTTTGGTGTTTCACTCAGAAAGAATTCCACTGCATGTAGCGAGCATTGCTTCAGGTCAACCGGGGTCATGTTTGTCGAAATTCAGTCCGATGCCATTCATGTTCTGTAATTTGAACAGTGTTTGTCATGTTTCTAGCAGGAACGACTACTCATTCTGGCTTTCCACCGCAGAACCAATGACACAGATGATGAATCCGGTGAGTATGCCGTTTTTATGGATCCCTTTTGTTTAGCATTCATTTGCCTGAAAAGAAAAACGCAAAAATTTCCTTTTATAGGTATCCGGCACGGCCATAAGGCCATATATTTCGCGATGTGCGGTATGCGAAGTACCAACACAGATACTAGCAGTCCATTCCCAAGATTCATATGTACCACAATGTCCACACGGATGGTCTCCTCTGTATTCTGGCTATTCATTTGTTATGGTATGTTCCAGTCTTCTGTACTTGGTATTCTTCCATCTCTTGGCTTTTGACACTTAGAGAAGTATATCAGATTTCTTTTACAGCATACTGCTGCTGGTGCCGAGGGAACTGGGCAGAATTTGGAATCGCCAGGAAGTTGTTTGGAAGAATTTCGAGCAGTACCATTTATTGAATGCCATGGCCGAGGAACATGCAATCATTATGCAACTAATCACGGCTTCTGGCTAGCCATTATTGATAAAGTAAGTTCTAGGTAGCCAAGCTTTAAGATATTCTTCCACAAATATCCGCATATGTCTGTCTACTTTTCAGAATAAACAGTGGCAAAAACCTATGTCACAAACGCTTAAAGCGGGTGGTTTGAAAGACCGCGTGAGTAGATGTCAAGTATGTCTCAAAAACAAGTGGTAAGAAATGTTTAATACCCATAATTTTAGCCCTGATAATGTTTTACGTCTGCTTGCTCTTCCTTTTTCTTTCACTACTAAAATTTTCTGATTGATTATAACAGCTGTTTAACTAGTTTACAATATCCTTTCCCATAACTGCTAGTGAATCAAAAACATTGGAAAAATATTCGGAAAAAATGAATAAGGTCCGAACTGGAGTAAGGATTTGGAGGACTTTTATGAATTAAGCATTTGCTATTAATTCCCGTTTATTTCAGAAAATTGAAATTCCCGAAATAACTTATGGAACTGGTGCTATGTGAATGGTGTTCACTCTGTCATTTCATGTAAGGTGAAAGCTCAGAAATTCTTTTCCCTCAAAAGCAATAACTGCCGTTCCATTATACAGCGTACATAAAAATTATTACTATAGTAAACATTGCAATTTGTTTCTTGTTTTACCCTGTATATTGGACTCACTGCCAAGACATTTTAAAATAAAGCATTTCCTATTCAGCCGTGAAAGAACACCGAAGACACGCTTTCAGCGAGGCAGAATTTTGCTGGATATACGACAAAAGTTATATATATATATATATATCAATTACATTAGAATTTCATTTAGGGGTCAACAACAGATAATAACGATAGGAAGTTCGTTCCTCACTTCACAATAAGTTTAGTAACTCCTACAAAACACAACTGCTAATTAAATTCGAGTCCAGGTGACGAGTCTCCTTGCTCATATCTCCTCAAAATTACTGATCACGACAATAATTTAATGGAAGTCCTCGATATAAGTTATTTACTCATCTGACCTGTCTAGATCTCTTGAAGATGAACGAAGAAAAACCAGCAAGATGTAACTTAGCAAGTGGTTTTCCATGAAACCAAAATCGGCTAAAATCTAACAAAATATATTACTAAATTCCAAGCGTCCGGCAAATTCTTCTAAGATCAAATAAGATCGTATTAATCGAGTAATACTTACCCAGTAGCCCAAACTGTAAACGTAATACATTTGATTTGATAGCAAAGCTGCATGACATAATAGTTTAATAGCCATTATATCAATAAAAAAAAAACAAACAAATAAAGAAAAAAAACTGCATGATTTAATTATCAACGATGGTCGTCTTCTCACTGACGTATATCCCATCTAGAAATTTGCGAATATCCTTATTCTTCACTGTTGTTGATTGCTGAATACGTGCCGCTGAAATGAATATTTATATAATCAGTTCACATGAGGAGACGTCCAGTTTGGAATATAACGTCACATTCTGCTTCTAAATATTGGATATTTGCAATGGCAAATATATGTGGAACTAAACATAAAACAAAAGCACCTGATTCCCTTCATTAAATCATGACTGACCTGCTTGCGAAACAAGTTGCAAGTCATTGCCATCTACGATCAATTCATCTTTCTGGGTGGCCGACATGGTTGCTGTAACACCATCTGGCAGAGGCACACGCCTTGTATATTTTTCTCCCAAAAAGTTTCGAATCTGAAACAATAAAAAGCTTAACTGTTGGTTAGCACAAGTCCATAATTTTGCTATTATCTATATATAGTCGAACGCAAATGAACAAATTGACTTTTTTTTTTACTTCCTTTTTCTTAATTTTACAATCAGAGCAGCATTTAATAGCATTCACTTACTATTTGTGAAATACAGGATGATATGAAATCAGCTGAGTGAATGTTATTATATGAAGCAGAAAAATCGTTCAAATTTACCTCAACGATAGTATTCTTTTCCTGAAGTGAGATATTGATGGGGAAATGAGCATACACCGACCGCATCTTATATCGGAATCCTTTAGTAACACCTTTAATCATATTTTCAATGTGAGAACAAACGGTACGAATAGCAGCGACTTCTTTCCGTATTCCAAACCATTTCCTCACACGGATTGTATTGTCGCTAATCTTTTCGATCTCCATATGCAAGTGTCGAAAATCCCTCCTCAGTACACCACGAGGTCCCTTGACAATGACCACTCGTTTGTTAACTGAGAATGTTACACCCTCCGGGAACTTTACTGTGTCATGTGCCTCGATGAGCTTCATCCTTTATCACTGGAATTTTACTAATAGATACAATGATTTTCTTTAATGGAAACCATCCTTGAATGCTTATGAATGAACAAAACAAACAGCAAACAATTTTTGATCGTATTACATGTGAGCCAGTAAAAGTGGCATCTGTCCACTAGTTAAAATTTCACATAATTATTGAGTTCAGTTCGAGTCATCTTCAAATCTCAGTAATCCGATCTATGCCACATTCGCTCGCCAAGAAGTCATAAGCAACTAGATGACACAACGTTCATTAAGTAGTGTGGAAGAATGCGGAAAGACGTTATAACAGAGACTAGCGTGGTTACTTAATAAGCCCAAATGCCCGGAAAGAGACAACTTGAGAAACCCCAGCACCCAATTCCCGAGAACTGGAAGACAACGACACCAGAAAACAACTCGACAACGCCTGTTAGCCGATGGGACCTACAAACCAACTGCGACCAATTCACCGACCAACTTATCAAACCAAGCGAGTCCCAATGAGACATTTCACATATCATAGTGACGTGGTAGTATGGCAATACATTGTTATTATTCTTAGTTCATCGTATTGTTAGAGTAGAGAGGTCCAATGCATAATGCTTACTTATAGGATCAAAGAATACGGCAAAAGGACCTATAAAACGATTTAAAGTGAACAATGCACATCAAAAAAAAAGTAATATCTTCTTAAATTGCTATTTATTTAAACTATCTTACGATGTTTTCTTCATAGTTAGACTAAAAGCTAGCAATGATACGCGACGCAAAGATCTTTTTGTTAACACTAATATCAGGAAATGCGAGTTTTTAGGTTCTCAACATTGAAAGTATCGTTTTCAGTTCGAATCCGGAGCTGCTACCAATTATATCACTCGGGGACGAGCGCTGAAAAAACTGCAGTTGTCATTGAAGGATTTTCGTCGCCTTTGCATCTTAAAAGGAGTTTATCCTCATGAACCGTTGCATAAAAAGAAAGTTAACAAGGGGTCAACAGAAAATCGAGTGTACTATTATGCTAAAGACATCAACTTTCTTGCTTCTGAACCAATTATTAGAAAATTCCGGGAATATAAGGTATGCTATTTCTTTTATCTTTTTAAGTATGTGTGGCAGGATTGAGCGATTGGTTTGATGAATGTCTTCTCAAAGTCCTACTGGCTCGGTGATTGCCGACAATTAAAATCAAAAATGGACGATTTATGGTGAATTTAACTGAAAAACACAGCTTAAATTACATTTTCAGATATTCTTGAGAAAGCTGACTACGGCAAAAGCGAAGCGAGATGAAGAACGTATCAAAACATTATACGAAAATCGTCCTGAATATCAACTGGATCATATTGTGAAAGAAAGGTGTTTTATTTAACAGGTGTTAGGAATTTTTTGACGTTAAGTAGGCTGCTGTACATTATACACACTTTTATGCATGACTATCTGCCTTTTGCAGATATCCGACGTTCGAATCAGCGCTGCGGGATCTGGATGATGCGTTATGTTTGCTGTTTGCTTTTGCAGTTTTGCCTCATACAAAAATTATTACTAGCTCCTTAGTGGCTTCATCTCGAAGGCTAACAGCAGAATTCAATCATTATATCATCGAATCGAATTCGCTGAATAAGGTGAGCCATTTTGCGCAGCATTTGTTTATCTTTTATATGATTCGAAAAATTCATTCTTAGTCTTTTACCGTAGGTAGCTTACTAGTCTCAGTTTTTCCGACTGTTTATCGCTGTTGATAAAATTTCGACTGTTTATTGCTGTTGATTTGATAGATTATGATACTATTTCAAGTGCTAGGCATCATTTCATAACTCCGTGAAGCTGTAGATGGTTAATGGGGATTATTACCAGAAAATGTTGAGAGATATTTCTGTTTCAGGTTTTTGTTTCAATTAAAGGGATTTATTATGAAGCAGAAGTGATGGGTGAACGAGTAACATGGATTGTAGGTCATGATAGAGGCATGGGACATGTGAGTGAGGTAGATTTTTCCGTGATGGCAACATTTGCGGAATTTTATGTTACAATGCTCGAATTCGTCAACTTTCGACTTTATCAGTCAGTTGGACTGTTTTATCCGCCTAAACTTGCTTTTAAATCGGACAAGGTTGTTTTTATATTATGACATTCCTTCTCATTATCTTCTCACGCTTTCTTGTTATGCTTACATTTAAAAAAAAAAAAAATCCTATTCATCTCAGAATTTTTATGTATTCTTCTTTCAGTTTTTATTAAAATTTGGGAACATTTTAGCTTGAAGACGATGATCAAGCTGAAGAAGGAAGAGTATATAGTTTAGCGTGTCCACTGTCGAAATTTGAAAATTATGAGGAACAAATTGATGCCAGTATCGGTGATGAAGTCGATAATGTACTCAACGAAAAGTTATGCGATGTCGAAAAGAGAAAACAGCTGTTTGCAAACTATCGTTTTTGGTTAAATCGTGAAGTCCCAAAGGATGTTCTTGCAATTATTATAAGGTTATTATCGCGGTCCCAGTAAACGTCATGTTCATTTCTTTCATTGGTAATATAATACATAGCACCTAATCCTATTTAAGTCATTTCTTTACAAGCTTTATTTTACAGAAGCTGTGGTGGCTTGGTTTCCTGGGAAAATTGTCCAGCGGCACAGTATTATGAAAATGATGCTCAGATTACCCACCAGATAGTGGACAGACCACTACTTGACAGTCATAAAAATATTAGCAGGTATTTCAGATTTCACCATCTGCCATCTCCTTCGTATAAAATGGAATAATCTATTAACCAACATTTATAGAAGACTATTTTATTCGCTCAACAAACATATCTTTGTAGGGGATAATGTGCTGGTCGTTATTTTTCATACCAAAACTTGTAGATGTTACGTACAACCGCAGTGGGTTTTCGACAGTTTTAATAGACGAAGTTGCCTTTCAATAAAGAAGTATCTTCCCGGTGCAATACTGCCACCTCACTTGTCACCTTTTTCCAGTGATTATGACACTTATGAAGAGCAGCTCAACCAGTTGAGGCTATTAAGCAAAGGTCCTTTTTTCTTTTTCTAGAACTGTTGTTGGGAAGAGTTCCACAAAATAACTTTTTCGAAATACTGATTAAACCACTTTGTTGTTGCATCTAGTAAATCCCAATTTCCAGCATCGGCAAACGTGACCAACAGAATGGAAACTGAGGCAGAAAACAAAGTGCAAGAAAGGAAAAAAATTCAAAAAGAAAAGGAAGTACCAATTATAAACGTCAACAAAGGTCGAATGCATAAAGAAAATTTGCAGAAGAAACTAAACGAAAAGGTAAAAATGACTCTTCGTTGTACTTTTTATCAATGCTAATTTTTTCCTATCTAGAAAGAAAAGAGAAGCTGTGTAGGCAGATTTCAGTCCAGCTTTTTAACTTCAAGTTGTATTTTGATTACATACTACGAAAACTGATTTTTGTACAAGGTCTAAAAATCCCAAATGTTATTTGCAGATATTAATATTTTTTAAGACATAAGGCTTCAGTTACTGGGCGATAACTGCGTAGATTTCGGAAAGATATGTAAATTAATTGAAGTTTCCTTCTGATCTAAGTAGTTATCTTTTTAAGGGACATGAACTCAAACTACGTGAAATGCTCATACCGAAAAAGCGTAGACGAGTGTATTCCAAAATCAAGCGAGGAATTAAACGTCGAGTTCACGAAGAGAAGAAATTAAATGAGAAAAGATTGAAAATGTTGAAAGCAGCGGATTGATATATGCGTTGTATTTGTTAAAATTATGGAATAAATCGTTGTAAAATATTTGGTTATGACGTCTGATATACTATTGATTTGTCAAAAAACAAGTGGATCATACGGGTTCAGTGGATAAAGTGCATATTTAATATAGCGAATTGTGAAAAGGCTTGGAAATGTTAAAGCCTGAGTTATCTGACGAAGAAATCATAGGAATCATGAAGAAATTAAGTGAACCGGAAATTAGAGTGGACTGAGTCGTTCCCATTCAGAAAAAAAAAAAGAATTAGGGGGAGCGAAATTATTAACCATAGTCAAAAAAAAAACCAAACAATAAAACATAAAATTAAAGATGCAGACAAGAGAAAAGGCAGAGGTAATGTTATTTATGTGGTACTAATTTAAATTACCAGTAATTAATTTCAGAACATCTTTGTCAAATAACGGTTGTCATATACGTGCTTCTAGTACTTTTTCAGAATTACTGAAGAAATGAAGCCATGATGACAAGCATCATGATGATGTATATTGACCTGAGAATAGAAGCAAATGTTCCAATGAGAAAAAGAGTAATCCATTTTTGAGAATAAAAGGTTATTCACACAAACAATTTAAGGAATTATATACACTTACAAATAGTATGAAGTTGAATAAACCATAATGTTTATGAGTAAAACAAACAATGACAAAGATATTACTTTTTAAGAAAAGAAGATTTTTGTAACTTCTAGTAAGACACTATACCGGAAAAAGTTCAAATTAATTAGATGAAACTATTGAAAGACAAAGTGACTTTACATTATAGTTTTATTCCCGTAAAATCTTCACTTGTACTGTCTTACTAGGCATTGGTTTTAATAATAGAGGTCTGATAATATACTTTAAAGGCAAGTCCAAATACATCAGTCGAACCAGTGATTCCATTGACAATTTTCACTCCATGACTTCACACACAAAAAACACCAATGCTCACCACACTGCGAACAGTGCATGTGAGCGCAACCGCCATTCCGCTCTGTTGGAGTATCACAAGAGGGACATCTGCGACATATACGCTCGATGGTCTTCTTGGTCGCATCTGTTCCCAAACAAATACATTCTAATTGTCGACATAAGCCACAGAATGAGACATAACATTCCGGACAAATTATCTAAAAAAAATTTTTTTTTTTTTTTGCTTGAAATCTTTGGAGATGAATAAACTGCAAAATTGTAATCATTGAAAGAAAAACAAATATATATCATATACAGTTACATACTTTAGCACATCTGACAGCCCAACTAGTGTATTGACATACCTTTGGATTTGATGGACTAAACTCCCATAGAAAAGAAGCACCGCAGTTTGCTCTTGGACAAAACATTCCTTCTTGTTCCAGCGTAATAAAATGTTCTGCTGCTTGCCGCTGATATTCGTCATAAGTCGATTTGCCCATCAGATAAAAACAATGTGTGTCGACTACACATCCTATAAATTATAAAAATCAGAAGCATTCTATCCTATTAACTTCCTTGATTCAGCTCATTTGCTTACTAAAAACTTCTCAGTTAACCCTAATTACGACAGACAGTGGGAAGAAAATGTAGTGAAAAAAAAAAAAAAAAATGAAAAAAGAAAGAAAAAATTTTTTGCTGAGAACATGAATGAAAGCCTAGCCTTTTAAATTAAAATTTTTTTGACCAAACAGCAATTCATGGAGTTTCAAGAACTAACATTTATAAAATTATACAAAAGAGAAATCCGTATAATCTAAACTTGTGAATATTTCTAAAGTTAAATCACCAATATTACAAACCACGACAGTTGTAAACAGGACAACCAACAGTGTAACCATTTGGCGGCATAAATGCAAACTGATGTTCAACAAAAGCTGTTTTGATATAGGTTGAGAAACAATCCACGCATGTTTGATGATGGCAATTCAACTGCACAACAATCTACAGGAATGAAACACAAAGGATATGAATTTAAACTAACCTTTTAAATTAGTTACATGACTAGAAGTCCCGGATAATACTTTCTAAAATAATGCAACTTTTCTTATTACTCAGTGAGAAATATGAAAATCACTTTCATATGCGAATCACAACATATCGAACAATTGCCTAATCCACGAAAATTTCGAACATGTGTTAGAGGTACTGCCACCTAAAATTGACAATATATAACACTATGAAATAGAAATCTATAACATTTCAAATGGTAATAACGGTGAAAAGGGATCTACAGAAGGCGAAATATAATGAATAATCAAATAACATTGCGAGGACAAGAAACAATGACACACCTGGCCGCAGTCGATGCATTTGAAGCAAAAACGTGCTGCAGTCTCCTTCTCACAATCCTTGCAGTCGGCTTGTATAGTATTTCTACAAAAAAAAAAAAAAAAAACAAAAACTTACGAAACGAAACAGTCTAATCACTTATACTTTTCTTGCTCGATGTCTCGTCTAAACACTACAATTTTTATTATATATAAATGAAGACTTCTAGAATAATCTCATTCCAATGAAATTACCAGTCTCAAATAATTAACACTCTCATTCTCTTCCAAAATTTTTATATTATATAGTGATAAAAAAGTCTATTTGAAAATGACTTTAAAATTAATAGACAAAAACAATATCTTACATTAGAACGTCATTCCAACTGGAAGGCTCTCTAGTGAGAATTAGTGAAGCGGATGAGCACTCAACACAATAGACGCGCAATTTACCGTTCTTTAGTGAACTGCAACTTTTACAAAAGACCTTAAATGATGTGATTTCAGATGACCTGTTATTTGCGGACAATGAGGATCCACTTTTCTGCTTTTCATCTTCTGATGAACAAGGTGCAGTGACTACTGCTGTTAGCGAGCTAAAAATAATAGAAATGAAGTGATAATTTTATCAGAAAAGAAACATAGATGGTAGATGAAAATAGATAACCTGAAACATCACACATTTCACCTAATATTCAAAGCTGAATTTGATCTCACAGTAAAATGGAAAAATGATTAAAAGTTGAGAACACTATGCAGATTGCAGACCAAGTAAGGAAAATGAAAGATTTACGTTTGTGGTCCAAGTAAGAGGGCACTGATCGGTGTATTGTAAGTTAATTTATTTCCACAGAGGATAAGAAGGAAGTTAGAGTGAGGAATACCAAGCGTGGTTGACAACTTCTTTGCCACGTCACCAACAGTTCCATCGCCATCCACTTCGACGATAACGTTTCTGGAGCGACCGATATGACGCATATACCATGGCTCTCGATTCCACACCGTAATCAATAATTGCATTTCATAGTGTAAATACTGGCGGTAACTCCCGACAGATCCAACAACAGGTCACTGCAATACATTCACCAACAGATCACTCATAATCTCACAGCCTTTATTCTCGTTACGAAACAAATAGGTTCATGTTGATTAGATCTTTTGAAGTACTCTTTCAGCGCTGTTCCGAACTCCCGAATCCAGAATCCCACTCCAACTTTGTGTATACATATGAGCTAATCAACATGAACCTAGTTATTTCAGAAACAGATTTGTGTGTGTGTGTGTGTGTGTGTTGTATGTATATATCGATGTATGTAGATATATATGTATGTATGTGTGTGTGTATATATATGTATGTATGTTATTCCACTTGTTAAAAATTAAAAAAACATGTGAAGCATGAGATGACAAATTAAGCTAGATAGAAGACTTAAGAAGATTCTGTCTCAGAGGTCAAACGGTGAAACGGACAACAGATTACATTCGAGATATGTTCGAAGTATTCCTGGGATAATAGGACAAGAGCTTCTGCACTCATTATTGTATATTCTCTACTCAAAATTTGCTTTAGCTCCGTTTATCATTTGTGCATGCATAATGTGTAACCACGGATTATATACTCATTTGACAGTGTTGACTACTAATATGATTTACCTATATTTCAAGTGTCGTGGATTTTCTATGCATCATTAGGAGGAAACTGCTAGATTTTAGATTGATTTTACAGATAACTCAAAAGATTCAGTTCCATTCTACTTAGATATTCATGTTTTCTCGTTATAATACGTGAGAATAAGCTTTACTGAAAGTTAGAGAAATGTGGAAGTTGTAGCGGATTAATTTGATTAAATTTTTCATAATCGTCAAATAAAACTCGGAAGTTACCGGATGGTGTGAAATTTGTATTGCATGCGTGAGAAATTTAAGGGAAAACAGAATTATTATTACCATTTTAAGGAAAATCTCAAAAATAAAATCTTAGAGTCACTCAGAAATTGGTTTTGCTACTATTTTATCAGCATTTTATCAGACAGCGCGATTTTCAGCGAACTTTCCCATCGATAGTAAAGCAAGATCGATTTTAATTTTTCAGAGGAATGTTGATTATATAACGGAGAAGATAAGGATTGAGAAATAGCTTGGCCAATTAGAACTAAGTAGTCAACGAATTTGGATGTCCTCGTAATGCCTTTTTTAAGCGACTTTTTCTGATATGCATTTTGTATGTTTGTAAGTGGATTGTAGTTAAGTAATCAGATGGATTGCTTCCATTAGGAAGGCCAGCAAGACTCACTTGCTATAACTTCACCTAGCCTTTGTTTTAGTAATATTCTCGAATTTAAACTTAGGATTAAATAGCTTCAAAAGATAAGTCTTCAAAAGCTCTGCAAACGAAAACATATTAAACGTGTTTTTCTTTGCTCGCTTAAAGTGAGTTATCTATTCAATAGTGGCCCTAACAGTACCCTTTCAACTGGGTCATTTTCTAGAATTACATAAAGATCACTTTTATAAAACAGCGAGCAATATACTCTGATTTGATAGAGTATTAAAATGCCAGATCGATCGTGCTAATGAAGTGAAGTGTATAAAATTGATTTGTGCAGAGTTTCTTTTTTACTAGTCTTCTATCCAGTGAGAAGGATATAAGAGGATAAATTCTGTTTTAAAATGAAATGTGGCTGGCTTATAGCCTAACAGAGAATGTTTATATTCAAGCAAAATTAAAATGGTTTTCAAGCTGGAGATGATGTCATCGATGAATCCGATAAAGTTGAAAAATAATTCATTACATGAGAGCCATTTTTCCTAACTCTCTATTGATAGGAATAAATTTGCGAAGTGAATATCAAGAAAATTCACTGCACCTGATATTTTATAACCAAGGGCAGCTAACGTCGATATTAAATTTTACGCAATTAGCTTTTCTAGTTTTTATTTCGGAAGAAATACTCATGATTATGTATATTATATTTCCATGATATGTGTAGCAAGTATGTAGTTTTCCTTGCAGAACCATTGGAGTTAAGCCTTTTCAAATTAAAAATTGGGCCTACAGGAATTAGCATCATTATTGTTGTAGGTAGTGTTATTTACACTTCAGAAGATGTCAAATTCTTCATCAAGAAATGAATGAGCATAGTTGATCCTTTTATAATCAAGACACATAAATTTTGGTACGCTTCCTTGGCCATTAAACACATAGACTTCTTGGGAGATAAAAGAAAAAAGGGAGAGAAAAGAATTAAAAAGAATTAATTTGTTTGATGGGATCCAAAAGGAACTTCAAGATATTCAAGGGATTTGATGTGAATACTGAGAGAACATGCGCTTCTCTTGGTCCATTTCCATTGATCGCAATCAGCCTAAGCTCAGCAGCCAAGATGATCAAACAGTATACGGCTGGCTGTCCTCTTTCCTTGTCCTTCTTTCACACTTTCAATTATATTCTGCAAAGAATCACATTCAACAGAATGAAAAGAGGAAAATAAGGAATGGAAGTCCCACCCCTGGGGAGTTTCTTTTTGGTTATCGTAACCCAAGTCCGCCTCCTAATATCATCTAAAGCTCATAGCCAACGAGTATATGTAATGGTACTCGAGTTGGCTTCTTGAAGTTATTATATCAGAAGCCCAATTACCATCACTGTCACCATCACCATCACCATCACCATCACCATCACTATCACTATCACTATCACCGCTAACGTTATCATGAAAGGCCGCCATCACCTCTTCTCGTCCACTCTTATCACTGCATTAATAATTTCCGGTTGTGTACAGTACACAACCGGTCAATTACAAACTTGTTCACAGGTACTAATTCTATTTCTTTCTACATAACAGCGTTAGTCAATATCGTTTAAGTAATCTTATTAATATATATATTTAAAAAAAAAAAAAAGAAAAAAACAGTCATTGTTAAGTGAATGTTTACTTCATATGATAGTATCATCGATCTCATTTTGTCAACGTTTCAAAGCGGTAAGTCTTGTCTGTTGTTGATTAAATAAACAGTTTCAAAAAGGTTTTTCATCAGTCATAAAAGTTTTCAGTCTTTGACAAAATGTTTTACAAATTGTAAAGCATAGAACATAATTCTGCTAACTATTATATATATAATAAAGAATTCTGTCAAAAGTTTATTGAGCAATCTTTCTTCTGATATCAAGTGTTTTCTTGGAAAATAAGGGAAAAAATAAAGAATTCGTTTGGAATAATCTTCAACTAAATTTCAAGTCTGACTTGCGAAAACATTTATATTGCATTAAGTAATTGAATTTTGAACAATTTTTATTGTTAGTGATGAAATTTATGACTCAGCATTTCGCTGTTCCCAAATGAATTTACTGTTTTTCACAGCACATGACTAGATCTTTCTGATTTGAACTATTTCATGTAAAATTGGCCTTAAATGAAGTAATTTTTTCTACTTGCATTTAAGACAAATATACGAAAACTCATTTTATTAGTTTATAATGATAAAAAAAGGGTTGATCTATAAGAAAATGATGTTTGATTTGCTTGAAATTAATGAGTAATTTCTTTATTTTCTTTCATATGGCCGAAATTTTTGAAATATTTTATTTGAAAAATGATTCTTCAGCAATTTTTCGATGATGGGAAATGTTTAGAAAGAATTGAATCGTAGGATTTTCATGCATAAAAGATTTTACATTCAATGCTATGAAAAAAGTGGAAGAAGTAATTCTTCTAAACCTATTAATTTCAGTCGATAAGCCAAAAATTTCCATTCAATCATTTTTCTATAGATTTTACGTTACTCAGACTATTGATTTTTGCAGCATTGACATTCACAGATTCCTGAGATTTAGTTCAGTCGATCATTTTTTTTTCAACTAATCATTTTTTTTCTCTTATTAGTTGATCTTCGCACTCATTTTTTTTTTTTTTTTTTTCATTGTGATATTAATCCTTGAAATAAACCACAGTTTACAGTGCAAAAATTTTGGATGAGTGAACTGCTTACCTAATTAAAGATTGATTATTACACAATTATGCTAAGATTTGCAATTAGATCTGTTCGATCGTCAGACCTCTAAAACTTCTAATTCTTTCTAATTCCTTTCCGCCTCTTATCATTTTGTTATCATTTCATTACCTCTCAATTAAGTTTCAGTTTGTTTCATCTCAGCATTACCAATGATTTTGCAACAATAACAATTGCATGTAGAAAAAGCAAATAATAATAATGGTATTTAATAAACAGGTGTCTGTGCTTTTCGCTTACCTATCTATAATTACTTATTCGAGAATACAAAAGGGACAATTAGACCTCAAATTGACAAGCATATCACATGAAAGAGAATTGTCAAGTAGATAGTAGAAATTAAATCGATTTGATGCAAGAATGGTTTAAATTCAGTCCAGGAAAAAACTTATATCAAGGGGCAATTTCGTGATACCGCAGAATCATCTAATTGCATTACTGAATCTATAAATGCGTAACTGTAAGCATTTATGAGAGACAAAAAAAGCAAATTATGAAATTTAATATTTAGTGGTGATTGGTGCATCCATCCATACTGGAAAAGTAAGCCGGAACCGGTCGGATGTAACTTACATGAGTGTACTCATTGCGATGAAACAAATATGGAATATGCTTGACATTGAAGCACCTATTTTGTTTATCTATTAGCGCTGCTTTTGTATGAAGTTTGCATAAATTTTCGAGAATTATAAAGTCTAGTTATTCTTCTTGTTTTTTAAAGAAAAACCGTCTTCTGACATTTTAATCTTCCTGTTTTCAAATATTGTACCAGACCTTTGACCTCAATTAGCTAAGTATGCTTTTTGATAAAATTGCAAACTGCTTTGTGAGTTATTAATCCGCAGATCTAACGGAGCGAATTTTAAAAATGTAACTATAGATTTTCAAACAGTTCATTTCAATACTTCATAATGAGAGAGATGCAACAGAAAAGTGGTCAATAATTGCCAACTTTTCAAGCATTTTTTTTTTTTTTTTTGTATTTTGAGTTTTCTGATATGCCTGATATGTCTAAGGTTTCGAGAAAACGAACTGTTAATCCTTGAATAAAATAAAAAGACATTCAATTCATTAGAAAGAAACAGATACCTTTTGAAGTTCATAACAGGATAGTTACCCAATTTTGAATTTCAAATTTTCAGATTACTCGATAAGTACGTATATTTACTTGTACACAGTTTCAGAAGAGATGAATAAAAAAAATAAGATCAATTTTGTGGCTTTTTACGAGCAATCGTAAAAAATATAGTATTGTGAACCGTGAATTAGTGAACTGGATTTTGCTATCCATAATAAGCCAAATTGCTTTTCAAACATAAAATCGCTGATCTCAATATTTTTTCTCTACGAAATGTTTGCTTTTCCCTTTCTTTGTTGAAAATTTGTTATAATACATAATAATTCTGATACTTGTCACAACATTGTTGCTAAACAGAAAGCAACCATAAGAGAATCAGGTACCAAAGAACCGGAAAACCATACAATTGAAATCTACCATGCATTTCTAATTCTTCCCAAAATCCAATATAGCATTGGTAATAATAATTTGTGAAGTCTTTGTATTGGATACATTCTAGTATAAGAACTGCTGAAGCAACGAAATCTCAAACTATTGGCTTTCAAATGCATATTTCAATAAAATTAACAAATACTGAGTTTGAATAATGAATAGTTTGGCAATAACAAACACCTGTGTCCTGTGGAGAAAGCAGTAAATACAACAGTGTCGCATATTTACGGCAATATAATATAAAAGACCAAATAAAACGTATAAAACGAAAAGGATACAACTATCAGGGGATACATTTAAATTCAATTCACTGCTTTTCAATTTGAAATATGACAATCTTAATGAAGCAATAGTGATTTCTTACAGCAATCCTTCATTAAGAGGAAACAATAATTTATCGAACATATATTTTTCAAATAAGAAATGATAAGAATTAGTTTGTAATTTGAAACTGCTTTGTTATTTATTTGCACTTTACTTTTCCAAATTATTTCACTATATTCCATGCATTTCATCCAAAAATTTTCTCTAAACTATTCTGTGAATTTAAATGAATTATAAAAATTTGCATTGTATGATTTGCTGTATTCAGGTATTTGCATCAGCTACTGAAGAAAATGGCAAGATGTTATTATGTGAATTGTATGAAAGTTCATCATTATTGGCACAGCTTGGCACTTTTGTTTCCAAGGATGTTGAGAAACTTTTAGCTAATGAAGGTACAATCTCACAATTCTAAAAATTATTTGAAGTAATTTTCTTTTCCTGCCTATTATTATTATTATTATTATTTCAACGCCATGTTGTCATTGTTTTCTGGAAGTAATTAATTTAACAAATAAGGTGAATTAATTCATCGAGTGATTGATTCATTTTACATGATGAAATTTTGCTACTAATGAAATAAGAGTGCTGAAATTTCGATTAAATGAAAAGACTTAAATTTCGTAATATTGAGACAATAAAGATCTGCATATTAATTTAATTTAACTCCCTTTATTTAATCGGCCTATTTTCCACTGGATGAGAACTAGGTTAACAATAAATAAGTCTGAGACCTATTATCTATGTTAGTTGTGATAAATGAAATCTATAGATTTGTCTTTTTTTAAATACTTTTAGGACAGTTAGATGATAAAACTTAAATAATTAACTCAGAATTTTGCGACATTCAAAATTGTGCTTTCAAGATATCAAAAATTTTTGTCTTTTTTTGAATTTGTCTTGCTTTCTCAGCTAGAAACTTTATCATTGGTTGATTTGGATCATAGAGCAAAGTTGCTCGCCGTGCATTTGAATCTTTGTCGTTACAAGCTCAAATGTCCAAAACAGTTTTATCAACTGTTGTTGAAATTTTCTTCATTAGTAATAAAATGCATATGAGAAAATTTATACTAATTAGTTGGACGTTGTAGTAATGATTACAGGTGTGACAATAGACGACGTGCAGGATATTGAAAAAAGGAAACACGAATATCTGCGATTCGGTAAAAGAAAACACGAATATTTGCGTTTTGGGAAGAGGAAGCATGAATACTTAAGATTTGGTCGTAAGTAGTTGAGATCAAAGTTCCCGCTGCATCCATAATTTTCCTGAACTTTATGTATATGTTGTATATCATTGCGGTGTTTTTTCATATATGACATTTATTTCTGAAGCACATCAATAAAGGCGAAACTATGTTTTTGTATCACATATAACTTATCAGTACTTACAAGACAGAATAAATTATATCAATAATATCTAAACCATGAATCAAAAAGAAGTGTCAAAACGTTGTTTCAAAATGAATCCCACCTTCTTAGATTGGCTCTGATCTTTTTAAAAGTAGATTTTTATTATTTAAAAATTAATTAAATAAAATCAACGATGAACAACCATATCTAATATGAACTTCAGCATCATCAACTGACGTATTACATGCACACCAAATATGGTAAATAGAATTTTTAATACTTGGTACTACGCGATTCAATCTTACGTCTTATGAAGGAATTCTTCAAGGGATTGATAGATTCGTGTTACTAGCGAATATAAACGAGGAAAGAAAATAAATATGGCGGCTATGAAATGGAATAAAAAAATTATCAAAATTTTGGAAAATTTTGGAATTTTGGAAAAATGAATCTAGAAGATAAATCGCTAAACTTAAATAAATTTTCTTTTCTAAAGTTCCATTTCTAAACGACAATGGTAATACATCATTTTTCTTGGGAAAATTAACTTATAAAACAAACGACAGGAGAATGGTAGCAGTTAACACGGTTAACAATTAAAATCATTAAAATGAACAACACAGTAATCCAATTAACCCACAGAAATAATAGTTAATAATAATAATAATAAATATATAATGTTTGCATGTATATAAGTGTACATAAGCAATCATAGTTCCAAATAGACATGGCTAAACATCGGAAAGTAAACAATAATCTTGAAACCGAATATACTGATTCCAGAAATACGCAAATGGCATACTGTGGATCTTTTATATCCTCGAATCACGAGGATAATGTGCCCTAATATATTTATTATTCCGTTCCGGACTGAACACTTTTTCCGTTATAAGGTTCAGACAAAAAAGTGCCATTATTGCCAGATACAGCGATACAATGACACCAGCACATGCCTATAATCGCAACAAATATAAATCAGAATATGATTATAAATGAAACTATCAAAAGTTTTAAGATTATTGTTTCTTAAACATAGTAAAAAAACTCCTTAAGCATAGTAAATCATTTAGGAAAAAAGAAAAAGTAAGGAGTAGAAATATTTTTAAACTCTCATAGAAGTTTAGAAATCTAAACATAGTAAAAAAAAAAAAGAAAGATAATTTATTAATATATACCGGTCAATCTTAAAGTTCAATTAAATCTAGAAAACATATGGGAAAAAGAGAAAACTTACAGCAATCCATCCGAAACGTTCTCCAGTTTCAATGATAGTTCGTTGAGAAATAGTCCCACCGATACCGCATACCAGAATCCATGCAATCATTCCCGCACCGGCGAATACCACTTCCTGAATCATAAGTTATTGATAATTATATTGATCCCCAGACACTAAATATCATATTTTTCTTCAGTCCGAAATGTACATCAAAGGGAACGACAGAATTCATTCCTTTTGATATGCAAAAGTAAATCATCAATTAAAAAGACTACTTTTAATGACCGAATAGTCAAAAATTTAACAATCCCGAGAAAATAAACATATAACTTGCAGTGATAGAGCAGTTTGTAAGGGATATCACTCTTCTTTCGCCCATTTTTTGATGATGTGCAATAACATACATAATAATGGAAACGGTACAGTGAAGCAGAGTAAGTGATGAAATGATATAAATGAGGACAATTTCATAGTTTACGGAAATATACGCTACTGCATATTCCGGGTCGAGTAGAATCAGCACTACTATTGTCAAGACCTGAAATTAGTGCAGTGGATTACGCAACGGTAAAACTGTTTGAAATAACGCAGGGAAGAAATTTGAAAATCACAAATTTTTTGACTTTAAAATTATTGCAAGCAAGCTTATTTCATTTTTTATCAGTTAGACATTTTTTATTTTATTAGTTTAAATTCCATTAAAAAATTAGGATAGAATTTCCAGATTAATCATATTTAACTATAGTGGGATAAAGCTGCACATTATTGCATACGTCAATATGTGTTATTTCTAAATCAGTTATTCCTATTCAGCATTGATGCAAAATGGTTCCGGAGATTGCGGAAGAGTTGAAATTTAAGCTTGATATACAATTCATGGATTTTAACGTGACAACCGAAAGATGTAATCACTTCTTCATTACGAATAATTGAAATGCGACACCGAATCGCATCTTCTCAGATCAAATTATAATGCAAAACTGTAATTAATTAATTGTAGAAACTGATATAAAATTAATATCTCTTAGCCAACCACACATCTCACATATAGAAAGTACTAAGAACCAGATAAATTTATTCACTAATTCATTCCTCATCTATATTTGATTAATAAAAAAAAAAAAAAAAAAAAAAAAAACTTACAACAATTAGAATTTTGATGGTTGCACAAATAATTAACTGCATGGGCATAATCATTTCAATTGAAAGGAGAGGAATGAAATAACTAGAATGACAGCGAAGAAGAAATGCGCTCCAATGCTTTCAATGTGATGCATTTGCTTTACTACCTGAGTCATTGTGTCAATATTTGTAAAAGTGAAATGCACTGAATGGGTGCTGTAGGACGCATAACAATTAGCCCACTCTTCGCTGTCTCACCTGCAGTGATTCTTCTTTAAAGATGTAATACAACAGTGAAGTATGATTGCTGCACATGGAAGATATTTAAAAATCAATTACCAAAGTATTACCAGATCCCTATGCTTAAATATCTTTCCAATTAATTGACTTGTTAATGGTTAACTACCAATCATTTTCTTATAGATCATTCTCTGAACCATGAATTGGTAATGAGCTTTACGGACCACTACACCCCGTTTTGAAAACATTTCAAATCATTATTAGTCTTTGCTTCCCACTTCCCATTTGCCGGAATGCTCTGCCAGCTGCTGACTCAATTCCACATGAATCGCTTATTGTATATAGCAATAAGGTAGTAACTAGTCATACTTCTGTAGCTTTTTCACAAACCTTATAGTAACGAGATGTAATGTTAGTCATACTGCGATTACTGCTTTAAAATAAATTACTGACTGATTTCAGATTGAATCGACAATTCCATCTCAACTAAGACTTCAAATTGCGATGAACAGCTCTCCCTGAATGGCAAACTACCATAAAAGTTTTTTTCATTTAAAGACATAGCATTTAAATACAAAATTTTTCTGCCTAATAAATTTTATTGATCGATTACAATACGGTAAAAAATCTAACTTAAAAATAGAAAAGTTAGGAAGGGCTATAAAATGATGGAAAAGTTTACCAACACAAAATACGAACAAAGCAACGGATAAAGTCAACGCAAAACAACATTTACGATAACGAAGAGATCAAGCTTGATCCATAAAACTACTAAACTCTAACAGTAAAAACCGTGAAAAAGTTGGAAATGGAAATTCTTCGGTATGAAAACCACACTCTTTTTATTGAACTGATGTAGGACATAGTCGGCAAGCTATACTGATAATGGAATGAACTGTATTACGGATCATCTGTGGACAATTAGGACTCGACACAGCTTGCTCAAGAGAAGCACGAAGCTGGTAGAAAACCAATCTGAAAACTATAATCAGTAAATTTTCGAATAGCAATTCCTATCGATTAATTCCGAATGGCTCACACATCTATAGCAAAAGACTGGAAAAAAAGGCAGAAAAAAACACTATGAAATATTTATTATATCATCAAAAAAAAAAATGTCTAATGCTTCAAATAACTTAGTTTATATAAATGTTATGAATTCAATAAAAATTAGGTTAATAGAAGCATCTAACGTCTATTTATGATTGTGTACAGCACTCGCAACAAGTTCTGTGTCCCATTATTTAAATATAACAGTGCCAACTTTTTTATAAATTGTGTAAAAAAAATTACTTTGTAGAATGATTCCTGCGAGATACATAACGCAACATTATAAATCGGTAATATATGAATGGCAGAAAGAACGAAGTCTTACCCCTGAAAACATTAAATGCATTAAGTTAAGAACATGTTTCTTATTGTTGGTTTTTGGATTACAAAGTTATGCTGTATATCTCAGGATGATCTGTGATTACCAATTCAATTAATATACATTTGTTAAATTTGAATATAATTGTATAAATAAATAGGCTGAGAGATTAAGTGTTCCACCGCTAGTAAATCAAAATGATCGATAAGTTTCAATGCATTATCTTTAGTTGGGATTTATAAATGACTAGCAGATTACAGCAGCGATATATGTGCGGAATTAAATCACGGAAAAAAAACCAAACCGATTAACAAAAACTTACATGAATACCATGGCAACAAGCATTGGCATTAAAAAGATTTCAGAACATGCAATAATTCCCAAAAGATTCTGCGTATGTTGCCGTGTTAGCTCAGACATTTTGTCAGCCACATTCGTTGCTTTTCCTAGTGCATAACATATCTGAGTGATGAAATTGACGGCATGCAACAATCCATATAAAAATATTGGCATAAGTGCCACTGAAATGAAAGATTTCATTATATAAAATTATCTTATTGTTTTCATCTATTGTTTGCGTATTCTAAATGTTGTCAGTTAGATGTCTACTGCTATATACCATAACTAATTGGAGTACAACTGACGAATTACATCAGTGCTTATAGCGATTGACACTGATTGCAGAGCAGCTGATTGTTTTCAAATATTTCTGTAAAACAAAATAATTTTTTCGCTTATTTTATCAAACTTATAAAAATGTACAACAGATGATAAACATACTAGTAACTGGAACTGAAGTTATAAACAAGACGGAGTAAATAAGATAGTGGCACGAATCTTCCAGAAGTACCATGGACAAGAACTCCCGAGTGAAACGCAGTCCTCCAACACGCTGATGTACGCGAAGAGCATTTGTAGCAGCAGCTAAAATAACGTCAAACTATAGGCATATATATAAAACAACTTCCACAATGTTGTTTTCCTGATTTTATTCTAAACGTATTTCTTCATGCTGTATCTTTATTTACACATTTGTCTCTAATATATTTTATATTTCATTCATATTTGCAGCTGAAGTGATGACAACCACAAATAAAAAATAAATCATGCCATGTAATCCTTTTGAAAACAAAATACGTACCCGCTGCGAACGCTTTTGAATAAGCTGAGTATTGAGAACTTCGAGCACCGAACGGTAAAATAAAATATGACGCACATAAGACAGTTATAATTCTTGTCAAGAAAAGAATAACATCTGTTTGACGGGATTTCAAGAAATCCTGAAACATGAATACATATACACCTTAGAGGAAGTTGAGAATAATTTCTATTGCTTTCAAATGACAGTATTTAGAAAATGTTGCACCCACTCGAAGGAAGTACGAAATTTTTAGTATCGTGAATATAAATTATAAAGTACGAATAAATGAATCCTGAAATAAGGTTTATTCCTTATAGTTACACTACTATTTAAATATTCTATTTAAATGATCAAAAATGTTCAGTGATTTATCTTTCCTGCTGGTTACAATCCCATGACTTAACACCTTTTGACCACATTAAATTAATCAATATGCGGAGTCAGTGTATTTCTGGGGATGTGCTAGCCTTTTATTGGGCATGATGTAAGAAATTTCAATTCTTACTTTGTTGTTCCAAGACTATTTAAAACTCGACCCAAAGTTTCTGGTGGTTTCAAATTCAAATCTCCTGTATATTAAGCAAATATTTTCAGTTGGAATCCATCCACATTACGGTTGGATTACTTAAGCTTCTATCGCTTGCAAGAACGAAAATAATGTGAGCTGTATTGGGAACGTACTGCTAATGTTGACTGTCCTCGCACGTAAGAATGCGTCGTTGATGGACTGTCGCCAGAAGGTGAACTACTGGATGGTGGTGAGGAACCATCATGACGAGTAGTACTTTCCTCATGAATCTCAACCATAATAAAACAACAGCGATCTGAAACAAGTATGTAAAGATACTTTGCAAGGGTCAATGTCACCAAAGCTACTTTCATCAGGAAGCAATCTACAAATTAACGCACAGGTCAACAGGTGAACATATTTCTTTTTACTAAGCTGCTGTGAACACTCATCTCACTCTCGTGCAATTCAAAACCACTCAAACCAGTTGTCAAGATTGTGCACTGCTTACTGGAAATGATTCGAATGAAAGACAGAAATGGAATGATTCAAGTGAAAGGAGAGGAACTGTATTAACTACAGATGATCGACACGCAGGTCACACTGGTTCTCATACCACAAGGGCACATGAAAGGATGCGTGACTCACGTGACTCGTGCAGTTCACCCTAAACATTCGCACAATCCGAACAATTCGAGCGATTGACTCTAAACCAAAGAAGGAGGCGGGATCAACAAAAATTTCGATTTTGCCCTCCTGCCTGCTTCTCCACATATATCACACACTTTTCATGTTTCCTTCTCTCAGCCTAATGACAAACGTTTCATATTTATTGGATGTCTCATTGTGACATGCTTTGCCCCATTAACAATGCCGAGACGCAGAGGATGGTACTGTTAGAGGTCACAACGTGAGGTAGGTTAGATTGGCGGGTGTCACGTTGTGAAGAGCTGTAAGGTTACAAGATCAGTTAGAGATTAGTTTTGGTATATATGTCTTGTCTGTCAACTTTTTTATCTTGACTAGTAATTTGTATAAGTTTTGGAATATACTCTTTTCTTTATTTTATTTACATGAATACATATACATTTTTGAGATTAAACTCGGATATTCTCACTGCCATCATCATGCCGAAAATGAAATTCTATGGTGATCGACCGCAGTCATTTTCTATTGATGATTCGGGGGAGCGTTACTACATCGGTGCTGAGGTTGGTAAAATAGCTACACACTTTACACATACAATACTGCAGTTAAAATCGCAAAAGAGGTTACTATACATATAATACTTTGTATCCAGATTTCTTCGCGGAAAAATTTTACTTTTCTTAGCACTTTATTAAACATTTTTGTATGACGCTTTGGCATAAATTCTAGGTGGGACAGTACATGCGATATCACCGTGGTTCGTTATACAAAAGGTTTCCACAATTATGGAAACGTATGGCAACTTTGGAAGAGAAACGGAAGATGCAAGAAATGGCTTGTCCATCATCTTTCTTAAATACTAATATTATGCTGGTGAAGGCTTGTGAGGTGTGACTTCGTCTCTCAATTTTTATAGAAAGGATTACATCATTATCTTTTAAATACGTCAAGTTTCATCTCCCCAAGTAGATGCTAAATTATTAGTCAATTTTTTCTTTACTTGGAAAACCTGCATTTTGTAAAGAAATTCTGTATCATACTCAGTTGCTGTTGTCAACAGCAGCAATAAAATGTTGATTTAAGGTTGATGAAATCTTGATGGGAAATGAAGAGAAGTACCGTGCGGGAGGCACTGGTACAGCAAATAGTGGTATGTCATCAGGGAGTACCACTGCTCTTAATGGTACTCCAATGAAATCAACGCGGTCTGGAACAGGACCATGGCTTGGACAGCAAGTATGTTTTAGTAATTGGCAGCGTTTAGATTTGTGTAGTTATAGTTTATTTGTTTTGTCAAGTTAAGTTCAAGTTGCTTTATGTTCTGGATACTCCAGAATTTATTAAATAAATAATCTGGATCGAGAAGTCAAAGTAGGTATGATAGTCCTAAATCAGCACTGAAAGTGAACCTGTGTGGCATTACAAGGACTGATATTTATTTACCGTGTTTTAGTAATTTTTTTAGTAATGTCCTAGTTATGGCAAACACTGAAAAACACTGAATAGATAAATCAGATTTTCTCATACCTTATATTTAACTTTTTGTAATACCTACTCAAAAAGTTTTTTTCTTGAAATAGAAAAGTAGGTAACTTGTGAAAAGAAGACTGGTATCTAGTTGCACTGTAAAAACTTTCAACTAATTGCATTTTGAAGGTAAGCAGCGGTTCACATCATCTAGAAAGTGTTCCTTGTTCTACACCAGTGGCACATGCACGTGGGCATATGAAAACGCGTGATTTCGCTTCGTCACCAGATGATCTGGAGATGTATAAAAGAATTTTGGACAATGCTGACCAATCTGAGGAGCTAATACCTATAAGGCATTACCTTTTTTAAGAATGTTTGATAATATGGTACAGTTCATTATTTCCTTTCTTTTTTTTTTATTGTTCCTTTTTGATTTCTTTTGTGATTCTTTTTTCAGGTTGGATATGGAATTGGAGGGTGTGAAGCTTCGCGATACATTTTGTTATAATCGCAACGAAAAACTGATAACGCCAGAAATTTTGGCTGAAACAATGTGTGATGACCTCGATTTACCCACAGGGACTTTTCAGAATGCCATTGCGCAAGCTATACATCAGCAAATTGAGGTTAGATTGTGATTTTATTTTTAGTAATTTTCTATTGCCATATTTTTCAGCTGTCGGGAACCGGATTAGTAGTTAATTCATCCTGTTGTTCAACAGACGACATTGTGGGTTTGCTTGAATGGTTGAATAGGATCGATGATTTTATTTGAAAGTCTTAAGTACTGCACACAAGAGTCAGAAACTCTTCGGTATTTCAGGCGGCAGGCGAAGCGGCTCCTGTCGATACGGCATTAAGTGATCAGCGAGCATTATTAAAGTTGAATATTCATGTCGGTAATCAGTCTTTGGTTGATCAATTTGAGTGGGACATGAGTGAAGAGATGAACAATCCGGAATGGTTCGCTTCAAAATTAGCTTCTGAATTGGGCCTTGGAGGAGAATTTGTTGCTGCAATAAGTTATTCTATCCGCGGGCAGTTATCATGGAATCAAAAAACCTATGCCTATAGGTATTTTTTTCAACTTTCTTAAAGGAACTTATTTACGATGCTATGTATCGGACACTATTTTGGACTTGGCTCAGTAAGCATCTCTTTTGTTACGAAGTAGATTACTATTACGGTTGGATTTTTACATTTGTTAGCATATATATGACTCCTATTTTCATCCTAAGGAAGTTTTAAGCAGGTTTTAATGTTTAGTGAGTCTCCTTTGCCAACGGTAGATTGCCCGTTTCGGAATCCTGCAGATGCTGATGTTTGGGGACCATTCTTGGAAACACTTACGGATGCTGAAATCGAAAAGAAAATGCGTGATCAAGATCGTAATACACGTCGTATGAGGCGACTCGTGAATGCAAATCCTTATGGCGGTCTTTAATTTGCATTAGTCACTTTTTTAGCGAATTGAAATCCTTTTGATGTGTTCATAAAATTGTATTCTATTATTGAATGGTGATGAAAAGATGAATATTTTAGGGCGGAAACTTTCCGAATGAAGTTAGGTCAAGTGTTTTAATCCAGTATAGTTTTTTATGCGTTATCTTGATAATATCGAAAATGGTACTGATAACATTTGCGTGATTTCAATTATTATTTGTTGAATTATTTCTTTGTTCATGTTATATTAAAAACAGCGAATGAAGTGTATTTTGTTACGATCAGTAAATTTATTTTATCATTGAATTGTGTTCTTGTCTGGTTGTTTTCAGTCATATTCGTATTTAGCTATGAAAATCACATAATATTGGTGGAAAATAAAAAACTTTAAATCTTGATAGGGATTTTTTTCTACACTCTTTATTTTTTCAGATTTTTGAAATGGCTGCTGTGACAGGAGATAGTATTGAGGTTGACGACGACATGGAGCTTGAACATACAGACCAAAGTTAGTTTAGAAACTTAGTATCTGTTTTTACGAATTGCCGTTTTGTATTTCTGAACTTAATTGCAAACTTTATGTGTAGTTGCGAGTGTCATTCTGTGAGGTTCCTTTATTCCGCAAATTATTTTTAACCGTTATTGGTCAAATTGATAGGATCAGCAGCAAATTGATACGATTTTCTAATCATAGTTTGTAGATTTTGAAATCTGTAATCTCATATTTCAAATATTGCGGGCCAAAATGGACATTGGAATGAAGAATTCTCTTGATTTTTAAAACTAGCAATATAATTTCAATTAATTAAGCTGGATTTTGATGTGATCGAGTGCCTCTAATATAGCATATTTTCCTACCAGAATTTGACGCGAGATTTTTTTAATAACTTCATAGTAAATAACCAATGTGTATTGCATATACGATATCGTCATGTTAAGGAATTCTTTTTTTTTGTTCTGGAATATTCAAACAAGTATTAACGCGTAATGTGCAGTAAGGTTTGCCTAAAATGTTAGAAATGCTTAAGAAGAAAGATTAGAAGCATTTTTATAACGCTTTTTAGAAAATGCTTTCATTTAATTTTCCAGCTTCATTTGTATTTGTGACTGCATTTATATGTGTCCGATGTGTGCTGTTGCAGATATTTTCTACCTTCTATGATTTGCAGATATTTTGGTGACTTCAGATTCCTGATTTGTTATCTAGATATATGAAACGTACTTCTCAAAAATTCTATATATATGATTGAGATATTATAGTTGACGATTTAAAAAGTCGAGTGACAAAGAAGAAGGGACGTGGTTTCGGCGGTGAAACACATGCTGATGTAACGGAGTATGAAGGTCTGGAGAGTGCAGGAGGTGCAAATAATCCAAATGCTCCTCAAAGGTTTGGGAATACCTATTTATCATATTTCTTGTTTCAGTTAATAAGATTTGATAGTACTGCTTTTTATAAACTCTTTACATTTGCATCTTGTTTTTCTAAAAAAAAAAGTTCCATGTTGTGTTTAGATCAGTGGAAGGCTGGATAGTATTTGTGACAAATGTTCATGAAGAAGCCCATGAGGATGACGTATATGAACGATTCAGCGAATATGGTGAAATTAAAAATATGAATTTGAATATTGATCGCAGAACGGGCTTTCTAAAGGTTATTTTCTGTTGTTTTTGTCACTTCTTTTCAAAAATTGAAAAGAATGTATTTGTATTGGAAATTCTTCATTGGTCTGTAAACTGGGTTTACTGAATATTAACTGGTAGTGAAGCCAGATTTCGCAAATAAATGAATTTCTTATCACTTATTTGGAACTTATTCTAGTAATATCAAAGCTAAATGATGGATTTCCAAAATATGTATTGGAAATTTTTTCATTCCAGTGATCAATATACTGTTTCTGGATTTTTCACTGTTTTATTGAAATTGGATTTGTTTTGTTTCTTATTTAGGGGTACGCACTGGTGGAATATGAAACGCAGAAAGAAGCTTTTGCTGCAATCGAAGGTTTAAATGGCGCAGAGTTGCTTGGGCAAACAATAAACGTTAGTTGGTGTTTTGTTCGGGGCAGTGCACAGAAGAAGAGGCGACGATGAATTAATCTCAGTTCCATTTAGAGTGAACCTGCAATTCATTTCGGTAGAACTCCTCATTGAACTTCTCATTGTTGATCTTGCTGGATTTTACATTTTTTCCCTTCTAAAATTGTTTCATATTTTTTTAAGGTTAAATTTTTACTTGATTCAGATCTACTGGATGTCTTAATTTCGTTACCGCTAATAATGTGAAGTCGACATAATTTTTTTTTCTTTTTTTGTATGCGGAATTGTTTGTTGTTGTATAAAACTCATTCACAATATGTTTGGATTTGAAACTACAGCACTCATTAATGCCCTTGATAAACTATGCCTGCATTAGAGTGATTTAATGTGTAGTAATCAGTCAAATCATCTGTTGCCGTAGGGAAATTTGTGATGAGAAATGAAAAAAAAATTCTTATTACTGAGGATCGTCGTTGCAGTTTACGCACTTCCTTCTTGAACTACGAATCCAGCAAGGATTGCAGAACTCGGATTGGAAAGTGAATAAAGCCTGTTTATTGACTCTTTATTTTTGTTTCATTAGCTAACAGAAAGGCACGATGACAAATTGGGTGATATATGGTACAGAGTTGGAGGAACTTAGCGATGGGACGAGTTCGTTTGTTTTAAAAACATTTGATTCTCTTGTGAGCTAGGTCTGCTTCATTAAGAAATTGCAAGCCTGTAATTTCGAAGTGGTTCCTTACTCGCTTGTTAATTTTTAATATAATCTAGTTTCGGAGTTTATTTGCCAATATTTTTTTTAATTTCGGATTATTATCTTTTCATCCGTTTTTAAACGAAGTTTTTCGTGTGAAGTTTCGGTTATTTCAGGTAGTGTGAATACTATAAGACCTCTTGCAATTGAGGAGCAAGTGGTAAAAGATGAAAAGGGACGAAAACGTTTCCATGGAGCATTTACTGGTGGCTTTTCTGCTGGGTACTTTAATACTGTTGGTTCTAAGGAAGGTAATTTATCTGTTGTCCATAATTGTTTAGGAATAATTCCAATATTTCCGTTACTTAATAATATATAAAGATGTTTAAGGTTGGATACCAAAAAAGTTCAAATCCACTCGCGATGAAAGGGGCGAAAGAATTGATTCTAAACCAGAGGATTTCATGGATGAAGAGGTCCCAATTATGTTATACTGTGTCATAAAATCCTGGGGCAACTTCATTAGCGACTCTCATCTTATGGATAAAGTTAAATGTTTATGAGATAATATATAGGTCTACTGGTAACGGGTAAGTTGAACAATATCTGTTATTATTAATCAGTGCTGAAGATTGGTAATTTTTAGGACTTGAGCGAATTTGGAATAGCAAGCAGACGAATAAAAACTTCGGCGAATGTTGGTGGAAATAATAATGATAGACATTTGTTAGCATGGGAACGAAATATGCAGTCTTCACTCGAATCATCACTCTCAGTTCATCTTCAAAAAATTATTAAACCAACTAAGTAGGAAACCAGTGTCTTCTTACTTCGAAATGTTTTTATGTTCAAAAGTTCAACTCCATGCAGATACAGTCAGCTATCACCATTTTACAGGGACTCAGTGGGCATACAACTGTTGAAAAAGATGGGATGGAGAGAAGGGCATGGAATTGGATTGAAAATGTCACGAAAGGCATTGGAGAAACAGAAGTGTATGTAAAATCTTCATTTTGCTTATAGTACTTATATTATTAGTTCTCCACGCTGCCTTAATAAGGGGATGTTAATAATGGTGTACACTTTTAATAAGTGGGATATTGTGGAACACAATCGACATATATATATATATATACCCTGCACTCTTTCATGCTTTTCCTCTTCAGTTTGTTTATTGTGTTGTTATTCCAGTTAATGATAATAGAATTCATGGTGAAAAAGGGTTTTACAATGAAGAAGCAGTAAGAGAAGCGGATGAAATGGCACCAAATTTTTTATTTGCACCAAGCGATTTTGATCCAGCTATTCTGAAGCCCTCTGAAGGTAGTCATGGTTTGGGATATCGCGGAATGCGACATATGTCTGTGTTGTCTGAAAAATACGGCATCCTAGAGGCAGCACTAAAAATAGAGAAAAAAGGAAAAGGTATTTCGGGACAAGTATGTTTCATGTATATTTACAAATACAAGATTTCTTCATTTTGATTGATCAGAACATAATTCTGTATCGTTTTATTGCAAGTTCTTCCTTCCAAGGTTTGGATAATCTTTGGCTTATGTCCAATAATTCATCTTCTAAAAAAGTTAAGAGGCTTCGAAGCTTTCTTGCTGTTTCTAATACTATAGGCGAGAAATCTAATATTTTCGAACGAACGCAACTGTTGCATGTTTTCGTTAACTTATTTATATATATGTATATTTCAAGGCATTTGGTGTTGGTGCTTTTGAAAATGACGATATGAACATATATACGAATTATGATCTTTCTCAGTATGATTTTGCGATTGATAGTAATGGGATGGCACCCAGTGCATCATGCAGTGCAAGTAATTCTTTTTATGATCCTGCTGTTTTTGTTTCAAACAGAATATTATTGCCTACAACTGAAACTGGCACTGCAATTAATAAGGACGAGTTCAGAAATCGTCATTAGGTTTCTAGTGTTTCAGTAAAATTATTGCAGGTGACACAAGTTTTGTAATGGCATCCAAACGCCAAGTTGTAAGACAGTTTTTCGAACCGCCGCGAATTCCATCGAATTTTCTTTCGCGGCACACTCCCATCCACCCAGATATTTCTCAAATGCCCTTAAATATTAAACAGTTCAGTGAAAGAATGAATCATCTGCAACGCGCAAAGTTTTTGGGAGAGGTTTTTTTTTTTTTTTGCTATTAAGGGCTTGCTTTCTTCCGGTATTCATTTTGAATAATTTTGTTTCTATAGATTGATTTAAAATCAGTTTTTGAACTGGTGCATGATGAAGATCGAAAAAGATTAAGTGTTTCGCAAAATGAAGATGTGATACAAAATGCATTTGAAGAAGAGCCCATAAAACAAGCACGATTTAAACAGTATATGAATCATTTGAAGCGAGGTTTGTAAATTCCAAATAAATTGTTTATTAATTTGAAGATTATCATGGGGAGCTAGTTCTTATTTAATTACAAACTAAGTTCTGATTGGATACAACTTAGTTTGTGGTGATAATCAAAATTTCGCATTGCAGTAAGGCAGTTTGTTTACCAAATCCGAATTATTTTTATATTAATGAAGTTAGAGAACTGTTGGAAAAATTAATCAGTAAAAAATCAGTATAGTTGACTGTGTCTTTAATCGAACTCTCAATTTTTTTAACAGGATTGCACTATCCCCAGCCGCCTGATGTGACAAGATTGGAATGGGAGCAGGAACTACGTGATTTTCAAAATATGCTTTCTCCTGAACTACGATCACGTATATCAGAAATTGACGGACAGCAGAAACCACTAGCACGCCCAGATGTAGCGGCTCCCCTAGCCGATGTTTTAAAGTCGAAGTTTATTTCTAGTTCAAGCTTTTATTCTGGCAAGGTGAGAGTTACTTACGAATGCAGCATCTTCTGTTTTTTAATATTTTATTTAACACTTCCTTTTTAGTAGTATGATTTTATTTATGTTATTTAACAGAACTATAATGGGTGAACTAATTTATATTTTCAATATACTCGTTAACATGAAGGAAGTAGAAAGTAACGAACGACTGGCAGCTGTAAAGATGAAAATGTTTGGTGTAAAGACTCGTTTGGTTCATGAATGGCATCCTGCTAAACAGTTGACAAAACGTTTCAACGTTCCGGATCCATATTCTTCATCTAATCTCCTCGGTGTTCCTCGGTTGCAGGTTTTATCCTTATTAGGCCTTTTAAAAAATTGTACTAGGTATTTGTTTGCTCTTGACTTAATATTTTTTTTCAGAAAACAAGAAAGACCGAAACACTAGCAAATCTCGGTGCCGATATACTATCATTTGACTCAACTGCACAGGAGCTGAAGTATCGTTCAGGCATAGAAAACATCAATACGGAAGAAAAAGAGGTATTTTTTCATTTTATAAACACAGAGAAAATGCTTGCATCGCTTCAAATTTATTTCTATTTAGTAGACCGATCAGGTCGCAGTGTTCATTGAATCTTATCTGATTATCAGTACAAATTTATGTACTCGAAGACAAGTCGGTCCTAGCAATTATTCTAGTAACTTTATTACATAAAATTAAATTTTGGGTATTGCTGCACTATAGCTTAGCTTTCACTTTTTTGAATCCTATATGTCTTTCCAAAACTTTTTTATAAAATAATACCAAAGTTATATTGGGATCAAACGTGTAAAAATTACGTGACAGTGTCATAAAAATTGACTTGTTTATACATTGATGAGATTAAATATCACCTCTCTTGTTCATGATAGAAAAAATGTGATGAGAATGTTGTAAATAAAAAGGATCGCAAAGCAATATGTTTCACATGAAAATCGGTTCGCAGTTTGAATTCTTTTCCTTTTATTGAAGATTCCGGAAACAGTAGTTCATGAAGACAAAACTAGTTCGGATCAGAAGCCATCAGAAGAATTTCTGAAAGCTATATTTGGTGACAGTGATGAGTCTAGTAATATGGATGAAGAATTACAAAGCGGTGAGAAGGCTGCAATGGTTTCATCAATATATGAAGACTTCTTTGATAAAAAGACTGAAGGGGATAAAAAATCTGTGATATCAGCAAAAGTACTCACAGTAATGGATATGGATTTGTCGTTTGACAGGGATAATGACGATGAAGAGTTCGGACCCGTACCTCCACCTCCCACGTCTTTATCAACCACTGATTTAAAAGCTGACATTGTCCATTCAGATAAAAAAGGTAAGTTCTGCTTCATGAATGCGGCTAGAATATGTAAGTCTTTAAGCATTCCGGAGTTTGGGCTGTTTCTATAAACCTTTATTGAAAGATGTTTATCAGAGTCACAAAAATTTGTGTTTAAGGTATTTCAGAAAAAAGACATCATAAACATTCGAGGAGTAAACGAAAAAGAAAAAGGAAAAGTAGCGAAAAAAGAAAAGTAAGTGTTTAAAACTTAGAGTGCTAATAAAAAGGTAAGTTCTGCTTCATGAATTCGGACAGAACATACAATTCATCAGCCGCTTGCTCACTCCAAAACACTAATTTTAGTACAAAAGAAAATTACATCGCCGTCAAGAGTTACAAGAATAACGTACCCTCATGTGTACAGTTTTCGCCTAATTCATGATCTCAAGATGGATGAGTGCAGCATTTATGAAATGAAATCCTTTTCAAGTCAGATTTTGGACCTATTAACTGATACCGATTTCATGTTCTATTATATATATGCTAGTTTCATCACTTTTGAACACGAGTTTCTATCCAAATTGCAGTGCTGTATACCAAATCCTTTGTGCTGTTTATTAGCAATTAAATAAAAGATACTGGTTTTGTGATTCTGATTTTTTCCTTCCAGAACAGTAAGTCATTCTCACAATGAAAAGTTTAAAAAGTTAGAAAGTGTGTAGCCAATGACATTTTTATCATTTTTACAAAGAAGTGTAACATAAAATGGAGAGAGGAGTAAAAGACATCATAACTATGTTGACAAATCATTTCTACAGAATTTAGATTTCATAAAGTTGGAATAAGTTTAATCAAGATCCGGTTCAGGGGCCTTGTTTGGTGGTGCCATGTTTGTCGTGGTCCCACCATTTGCTGTTTCTTTCATCTAAAGTTTGGAACAAGTAAATGTTTAAAATAATGTAAGCATTTAATGCGTTTCAGTTCAAATCTCAACCTATACAACAATCTCATGCTGTAAGCAGCCTGCATGATTCACCAAGGACTATCTCAATCTCTAACATACTGTATTCGATTGCTAAAAACTTCAGCTTTTTCCAACATAACTCACCTTTTATAGCCTCGCCTTATGTAGATTCATAATGATTAAACTATTAAAATGAAGTGTCCATAAGAAGTAGAACTGTATACCTCTGGAGTGTTCATGCCAAAGCCGCCACTAGCACTACCAATTTTGCTGAACAGTTTCATAACTTTCGGATTTGACATATGTTTTGCGATGTTAGCTGGATTATTGATAATGTCCATGTAGGCTTTAAGGACGCTTTCATCTTGCAACAGACTCATAACCTCCGAGTCTTGAAAGATTTTTTCGAACCCTTTTGGCATATTTGGCATACCAAAACCACCAAAGCCTTCTGTACTGTCGGCATGCTGTAAATAATGCTTCATTTCGAATGTGTCTCTGAATTCAAAACGAAAATTGCGCAAGCTTCATTATTTTGACATAACTTTTCACTAGAAGTTACAATTTATTCTGAAACAAACCTTTTTTTCCTGTTCGTCTCGCTTTCGTGTTTCTTGTGCTTGTCTAATCCGCTCCTGACGCGTTTTCAATTCCCTTTCTTCTTTGCGTCTCTGTTTATTTCGATTGTGTTCGAGAATCTTCTTGGCCTGAAATTTAGAAATCAAGTAAAATACAAGTGATAAGTAAAAACGATACATGAAGCAAGAAATTGGTACAAAAGAGGTAGGTTATAACCGCTCCTGCAGGACGTTCTACAATTTATACATCATGTAAAAGTTCCGTTTTATCAGTCTTTTGTTTCTTTTTTGTAAAATTATTAAATGTTTAAATTCCTCGTGATAATGACCACAAGTATTTGGCTACAAGTAACGATCTAATTACAATTTAATGAAGAAAGATGATATTTTCTAATTTGATTTTCACGCACGATTTTTACTCTTCCAACGGACTCAAGAAGGCAAGTTACAAAGTATTTACTAGAGATTTCTATATTTATACTACACTTTGGTACTCTAAAACGTGAAAAAGCATTAATGCTCTTAAAAATATAGCTTGTTACTTCCACATTCATTCGAATGGCAAGGGATGCATCTGGAGGAGAGAGAGTTTAAAAATGAAATAAAGGATGAAATAATATCACATTGAGTAATTAAGCGAATGTCAGCTGTTTGCATCCTCACAAATGCTGGAAACTACGTTTATCATTCTGTATGTACTTATTTTTTCTTACTCTATATACTGATCCATTTTGTTACACTTTCCAATTTACTTTACATGCATTGTAATGAGTATACAGATTTGCCATAATTGCAAGAAGAGAAAAAAACTGAAAATCACATTAACTGTGAAAAGGAAAACAGGGAGAGATAAACAGAAACTTGAAGATTCTACCTAGTAGAACAAAAAATACTAGAAGGAAATTTTTTGAATTTTAAAAATTCCGTCTGGTATTTTTCACAAAAAAATATGTGAAAATTAATAAAGCAGACATGACCTTTCATACTGTTGTTTTCATATGGATTATTCAACCTATATTAAATTCAAATACAATAGATATCACCAATGCTTGAATTTAGAAAAATTAAGGGTCTTCTCAAATTTTAATTCGACAATTGTAAATATGAAGTTTTCGAAGTAAGACTCTTGACTAGTAACTGACACACAAATCAAACAATGGGAAATGCAGCATTGAAGACAGCTGCATCTTAGAGTCAGGCAATGGGGAAATGAAAATAAAAAAAAAAAAACCTAGCTTTCTCAGTATTTCTTAGAAAAAATAAAGCGAGCAGGTGTGTTACTAGTAACTCAAGAGAAAACAGGACAGAAGTGCACAAGAAAATGTAACAGAGAAAACATAAGCGAAAATTGGGTAGAACTTGTAAAAATAAGAGGCGGTCCAATTCCCATCCAACAGCAGGAGCTTATATCTCAAAACAGATATCGAGTGGTGCAATACGGAAGCCTCCACACTTGAGTACCACCAAGGTCCTTCATCATAAGGCACAGATGACACCGGTTCAAGTGATTTATTACATCATTTTTCCAATTGTTTTACCAATCAGTGGAGCTAAAACCTCTAGAACTGCTAAGGACGGTCAGTCTTTTTTATTCCCTACGAGAAGTATATTAAAACAATATCAGCATGAATTTATAAATCAGAGTTCTATGCAAATGTGTCGATAACTTCTGAAACATTAAGATGTTTTATGAATTGACAACTTGTTATAAGGTGTTGAAGACTATAAATTTTTGGATTATGAAATACTTAAGGCATGATGACTATGTTTGGTTGCTTCCCAACCTTCATTGTATGGCCATTTTCTAAAAAGACCTCAAATTCGAATGTGTTCAACAAATGATGTAATGGAAAAACGTACTGATACTGTTTTCTTTCTTCTTTCTTCAGTAACTCACTTTGGCGAAGCAAAAATTTCTTACTTCGAATTTCAGAATTAAATTCCTGGAGAAAAACACTGAAGATAATTTTAAAACTTTCAGCTCATACCGACCTCATTACTATTGGATATTTATGGCAGTATGCTACAAATAACGAGCCTTTTATCAAATTTCTTAACCAATTTGGATTATCTCCCGAAAGTAAAACCTTTAAATTTCTTTGCTTGCTAGCAACAATCCAGCTGCATATAAGATTAGTAAAAAGATAAAGTCTTATAAAATAAGGCAGTCTGATGGGAAAAAACATGCTATAGCGTTCTACTTACGTTAACAGAACGACTAGAATCACTTGATTTCAATTTCTCTTAGAAATATTAACCCGCGGATCCCTTTTTCTGTTAATTTAATTTGAAATATAAATGTCACCTTGGAAAACTGATTTAGAGAGTAGTCCAATTTTCACCATGGTTCTACATTTAAATTAATCTATATACATAATAGAAGGTGGAAATACTTCTAACAATTCAGAGGATGAGACTCATATAATTCGGATTATGACGCATAAAACGAAGAAATGGAAAGACCTGCTAGAAAGTCGCACTGATGTAGATGTGGAACTGATACCCTGGTCACAGGAACAAACAATAATAAATATTCATAAAAGATGTGACGAAATGAATTTAGCCGAATTTACACTGCTCCATGACATTGTTAATACGACACGCAACAACCTACTTATTATTGACTCTGGTAAAATCATTTTACTTTTTTCTCAAAACATAATAGCCAAAAACACATCCTGAAGTACTTATTTCATAAATGAAAAATTATAAGGCTTTGACCGGTTCATACTATTCTATAAACTGTAATAGTTTTGCCAAACTCAAATATTTTGAATTTTAATTTTTCAGATAGAAAGTCAAGCGATAGAATTAGCATTTTGGTACGGACCGCAACTAAATGCAATCACTGCGCTCAATCAGCTGGGAAAGTTTTTCCAACCATTTATTTTTGTAATAATATAGTTGGCTATAACTGGATAAACAAACTAGGAATAACGTGCGACACAGCAATGCTTTTACTACCTAATGATTTAAGACATAAGAGTAATGTCTATTCTTTGATGCCTCAAATTTTCGTATCCGCTACCGAGCACAAGTATCATAATCATTTTTATCACAGCACACAACAGTTACGTGCAGCACACAAGACACACCAGGATGCACGAGGTCATCACGTGCTCAGCAAACACCGAAGAAAACATCGTATTTATACGAAAAAATATAAACTTTTGAAGTTATATCGGGAACAGCAAACTAAGCGGAAGACCCGAAAAGAAGCATCTGATGTTTTAGAAGTACCAATTGGAAGACGGAAGTTGCTCTGCAAATACCGAAAATCATGCTATAATACGGGCATTATTCCGAAAACATGGAATATACACAATATTCTACCACGATTTATGACGGGTTCATATGAACAGGAAAATTGCTCTGAAAAAGGAAGCACGACCGAAATGCATACGAGGAATGAAAATGAAGAGAGAGAAGAGATTAGCGAAGCAGAACTAAAACTTCTGTGTCGTTACCGCAAATCGTGTTATGAAGAAATAGGTGCTGAGATCGAGAAAAGTGCTCTGAAAGTTCAAACAGGACCAATTTTTTCTCGTGATATTACCATTTTACCAGCAACAAAACAAAAGTCAACCAAAGAAATTGCCAGAATAGCACTGGCAAAAATAGAAGAAAAAGAAAGAAATGCAGCACTGAGACCTATCCCCACGAAAGTGATTATTGAAAAGAATCTCAACAAAGTCACAGAAAAAATGAAGAAACGTCTGTCTTGCAAATATCGGAAATCCTGTTATGAAACTGGTATCCTTCCGGAAATCGATATCTCATCCGACAACTTATTACAAAAAATTTACCATTTTCTAATACGACGAAATCGTCAGGAACGCATGCAAGAAACTATTCACAAGGAATTTACTGATTTTAATAACAATGAAAAAAGAATTTATTGTAAATATCGAAAGTCTTGCCTCAGTACTGGCCAAAAGATTGCAATAAACCATGGCCAAAATTTCAAATATCTAAATATTTTTAATAAGTATGATAAAGTGATTCCTTTAAAGATACGTTGCAAATACCGGAAATCGTGCTATGATACTGGAACTTTACCTAATCTAAAGGAAAAAATTGCCAAAGAAGAAATACCGTCAAGAGTACCAATGCAAACAGTTATATCGCTATACCACTTGAAAACACTCTGCAAATACAGAAAAAGTTGCTACAAACGAAAAGCCGAAGAGCAACAGAATTTAAATACTGGGTTACTTGATGAGGCTGAAACACATGCTAAGGATGAAATACAACAAAAAGAAGAGGAAAAGAGAGAAAAAAAGAAAATTACTAAATCATTCCAAAAAGAACCAGTACTCAAATCTGAGAAAACTGAGGAAACAAGTGTATCCAAAAAAATGGAGCGCACTTTCGAAACAAAACTTGTGAAGGAAACTAGTAACAAAAAGCTAATCAAAAAATCAAAAGTCTTTGTTCCCATGTTGGAGGAGAAAAGGATGGCAGCAGCAACAGGAAATGAGAAATTTGAAGGAACTGTATATAAACCAAGAAAAAAGAGAACCAAAGAACATACTGAAGAAACATCAATAAAACCGACAAAGAAGATTCAGAAAACAGTTACATCGACAGCAATTATGAAAGAACCGATAACTGAGGAAATAGTTCCAGAACATGCAGGATCTAAGGAAGAGAAATCAAAAATTGAAAAAATAGAGAAGGAAATGAGAATTAAGAATGAAAACATCATGAAGGAAAAGAAAATTTTTGTAGATAAAAAAGATTTTGAACAAGAACTGTTATCAACAGTGACGGATGTGCAACCATCACGTGTCAAGGAAGTACAATCAATATCCTTACAAAATGAGAACATAACAGTTCCTAGGGAAGTAAACATTTATGACAAAAACTTAAGCCCATTAAATATTAAGCTCTTATGCAAATACCGTAAGTCATGTTATGAAAACGGCAAACTGCAATCAGTCCAAATCATAAAGGCACCACAAGATTTCCAAGAAAAGAAAGACCATAGACAGCTTGAAATACGATGCAAATATCGAAAATCGTGCTATGAAACGGGTAAGTTGCCAGAAAACCTTCAAGAAAACTTCAAGATGACACATTTCACCAAAAAGGAGGAAGAACATATTCCAAAAAAACATAGCTTAGAAGAAAATATCCCACTCACATTAAGATGCAAGTATCGAAAATCATGTTACGAAACCGGAAAACTGCCACCAATTAAAATAAGTATATTTGGATTCTCAGAAATTCCAATTTCGAACGAATATAAAAATAAGGAATCTGCTGAAGAGGAACTAAGTACCGAACAATTAAAATTACGTTGCAAATACCGAAAATCATGCTATGAAACTGGCATACTTCCATCATATTTAAATCATACATCATACGTAGTTATTGCTTCTATTAAAGAGTACGACAGCCCACAACTAAAATGTAAGTATCGCAAATCCTGTTATGAAAGCATAGAACTGGATATACAATTAGACAAAGTGCGTAAAAAGGAAGCGCAGAAAAAAATGCAGGAAGGAATAGTAAAATCGCCCCACCAAACAGAACCGGTTATCAAACATAAGGAAAAAGAACAGAAGGACAAGGTACAAGAGAAAGTTACGGATGAGGCAAGCAAGCGAACTCAGAAAAAGAAAAATAAAGAGCTTCAATTTGACGCTAAAGAACATGAGTATATGCAGAGAGAGCTGCTCGATTATTCACAACCACGACAAAAAGCAACCAAACTACGATCGCTAAATAGTGCGCAAAAGCTTAAATGCAAATATAGGCTAAAATGCTACAGTAGTGTTCCGCTGCATCAGGTTGCTGAAGAAAAAAGAATCGAAAAGCTGCGACAATTAAATATTAAAGATTTTCGTCGTGCAAATGGCGCCATTTGTAATATCTATTATATATCATGTCGGAAACAGGCTGGCTTGCCCATTCTTGAGCGTGCACCAATAGGACCGAATGGGCGACGTCTCTGCCGGAAGAAGAAAAAAGAGAAAATTAGTGACTAAATATAAATATATATGTATAATTATGTTACCCACTCTCTTTTCTATCAAATTTCCTATAATTTTTAATAGTCTTTGCTTTCTCTTTGCACACTTTAATATGAAAAATACATTTTATCATTTTAACACTGTCATCTGCATACCATATTTAGGTAGAACAGAAAAATAAGACTCTTCATTATGAAAACGAACTTGACGAAAAGCCAGTCACATGCATTACAGGTAAAACTTAGATTACTTAGTAAATCTGGTAATAATGACACAACTTAAACTGAAGAATAGCAACTTCCTTTCAAATAGATGTAAGTATATGATACAACAAACCATTTGTTTGCTTCATTCTTTGATTAGATGTTTGATAGCTTCATATTAGTTCCCGCCATATCACAGACCAATCGTATATGGAAGTACTCAAATCTACTCTTGTAGTATGAAATTTGAAGCTAAAATATTTAATGTGTAAAAGGTTTCAAGAATTTACGTTTGATTCGACTTCTTTAAGCCATACATTCGCCTCATCATCATAATCCAATTTACACGCCATGGCTAAATCACGATGAGCTTCCACAAAATTGCCAAGTAACCTATAAATAAAATAATTGAGCATAGTGCAACAACAAAAAGAGAGACAAAACAATAATTCTGAATGTCAAGATATAAACAAAAAAAGAAACAATTCTGAATGTCAAGGCACATCAAGATATAAACTAATAAGACCTATGAGCTCGTCCACGAAACTTATAGCCTTGTGCTGAGTCTGCATTTAATGAAATTGCTTTATCACAATCGCGAATTGCACCATTTGGTTTGTTCAACTTCAGGAGCGCACTGCAAAAAACTAAAATGAAACTAAAAAAATTCCATTGAGAAATTACAGTAAAACAGTTAATTACTTCGCCCTCTTTGCGTGCAAAACTGCCAATCCTGGGTTTAGTTCGATGGCACTAGTAAAATGCAGCACAGCTTTCTCATAGTTTCCTAAAAAAATTTATCTTCATTCAAAATTCATTCAAAAAGAATATATAGAATCTAAAATAGAAACCAAATTCAATGGAAAATATTTGGTCGCGCCAAGCTAATTTTTTGATGTCGGTCCTTCTCCTTCGTATCTAATTATCGTTTTAAATACCCAAAAGGAATTAAGAACTAATACAATACTTAGGATCACAGTAAACTTTAAATAATTGCAAGATACCTTCATTAAATGCCTTTACAGCAAGCACTCGTTGATCAGTTGCTTTTTCCATATCCTCCTCAGTTATCTGCAATTAACAATTTCAAAGCGAACATTACGTATGCGACTGATTACTCAACAATTTAACAAGATCATAACCTCTTTATTATGATCACCCATTGGAAGCAGTTCATCTTCTTCGCCCTTTATTACTCCTGACATGTCCAGTTCCAGCTCATCTTCTGATTCCGCTTGTTGCTCATTTATTTGTGTTTCCTCATTATGACCAGTTGGTTCGGATGATTTCGTTTCACTTGGTGAGGGTGGGAGCTTTGCACCAAGACTGTGAAGTAATATATTTTACGAAATACTTTCCTAATAAATCAATATATCCGTCAAAACTAATAAATTCACTGAAATTGCTGTGCGAGAGAGAAAAAAAATTCCCTTTTTTAAATGAAAAAAGACACTACTCAAGTTCCACCATTTAACTTCTTATTTTAACAGAATACAGTACATCTACGTTCCTTACTCAATACTCAGAACAATGTAATATTAAGCAAAAGAACACCAATAAAATGCAAGCTGAAAGATAACCTTTCAAGATAATCCCTGTAGAATTTGAATCTTGGCTCATGCAAAATCGCTGGATTGCTTTTGCAAATGTTCACGAACTGACGCAACAATTCAACTTGAGCATCCATTTTCTTTAGTTTTTTGTTTGATTTTACGATATACTTACTCCTATAAGCAAGACAGTTTATCGCAGAATTTTTCGCGCCGATTTCATTCATACTATCATTCTGATTAAACCGAATGATTTAGTCCTTCGTGGTAGTACACGTGGATAAGCCATCAGAAGTATGTCCTACACGTAGGTGTACATAACTAGAACCATTAGAGGACAAACTGTTGACAGTCTAACAAATAAGAACCTTTGGCCTACACCAGCTATGGAGAGCCAATTCCCATGTAACGCACACAACATCACATCATAAACAACGGCCAACCACGAAGTAGCATTTCGCCGAACACCTGCTGAGATGGCGAAGAGTGTCTGTGAAGTGCTCATTTAGATCGAAGTTGATGTCGGTGTTGTGGTCAGCTCCTTGTTGCTGTAAGGATATGGGGAGGAAGGAAGGTACAGGTAGATATATGACGAGAGTAAAGTAAATCGATCTTGTTTTTCAGGAATGGATTACGTTAACTATAAACGTTTCATTAGAAATGCTTTAAGAAACAAAACTTAGTAAGTTATTTTTTGTTGCTAGCAGAAACAAATAAACACTGCAGGACGTAGCCACTCCATATATTGGGTGTCGGAGTGTCGGTGAGCACGATTGATAATATTGCATATTGATTTATTTCCGTCCAGCTCTTCTTGATTGTCAGATGGGAAAGCCTTGTGAATACCACTTCTCAGTGTTTTATCACTAGAGATCTTGAAGTCAAAAGTGAATCTGATGATCTTTTTAGCTTACCGACATACAGTGGTTTTGGTGCAGGAGCGGTACTTATGTTAATCTACATGACTAATTGGGAAACTGTTGGACGTCGTATACCTATTTGGAAATATCACTTCGAACCAATATCTATCGAGAATAATAATCCCACGAATGCTACGTCGACGTAACTACTTGCTAAAAAATTATCTGTATTAGTCTGTTAGAAATTTCCCCCAGAACTAGTTTCTGTGGTTAAAGTAGATCTTTTTCGCTTCTGTTAACGAAGATTTTTCATTGTTATTTTGATGAATTTCTTCCACTATGTTTTAAGGAGTTTGAAGTCTTTTTCATAGCAAAATTCTTATAATTTTAAGAAGGAATGTTTTATAAAATCATTCTCGGAAAATAAAGGTCCAGCATTGCTTTGCAGAAAGATAATGCAACTTATTTCATCCTTCTACATTTACTGGCAGGTTTATTTAAAATGATTTCGCATTGTTCATATCGATAGCTACTTTTTCTTTATCTGTTTTATGCATTTAATTGAACATGTTGCGGTTATGTTTCTTTTCTTTCTAATTATCTGAAGTGTTTGTCTGACTTTTTAAATTAAATCCTTTTCCGAAATTACGCAATTATAAAGTAGAAATTTTCTACCAGAACCTTGTGCCGTTCATTTGATGTCGACTTGCTGTGTATCGATCATTCTATTTCAGTACAGTTTAAGAAGTAAAACAATAAATTTCACATTTGATTATTAGAGATTAGGAAACTTAAAGCTGACTTATGCTACAGTAGCAGTTAAATCGTTTTGTCACACTGCTAAAAAAAAGCGATTGGAAGGTACTGCCTTGAGCATTTCATAAATTCAGTTGTTTTTAGGTGTCTGAACGAATTTTTTAATTTGTCCCAATAAAGTAAAATTGGCAGTATTTGCCAATTTAACCATTTCGCGGAATTCTGAAGCAGTCCCGTAAACAAATTTATAGGTAATATCAATGAAATACATCATGTTTGGGAAATAGGGGGCAGCCGTTCCACTGGTGGAGTAAGAATACATTCGGCCAGTGTTCGTCCAACGCATGCGAAGCGATGATAAACTGTTGTTTTGTCAACTCTATAACAGCGATGTACGATGTTACGCATCAAGACATCCCTTCCGAGTTCAACGAATAGACCATTATCATCCACACAACCTCAAGCATTATTTGAAAAGTCTTTGAAAATTAAGGTAAGTTCGTACAGGAATGTGAAATGCAGTTCCTCAAATCTAAAGCTTCCAGCTAATATTTCCTGAAATTTCTTGTAATTATAAATCGATGTTGAACTATTTCTAATAAGATAATATTTTTAAAAATCACCGAGCACTCGGACGATTCCATATGATGTGCACTGATATCGAATATGCTCTGATGTCCATATTTGTCCTTCATTGAAAAATTCGTTATCTTTTTTGCATCCAATCACTACAAGTTCCCCGAATACAAAGACGCATTCATTTACTTTAGTACTTCATGCAAATAATTGTCAAACTGTTGGAAATAACTGTAAAATAATTTTTTTTTTTTTTTTTTAGTTAAGCTGTTCGTCGTCAGGTAAATTAATTTTTTGTCAGTTAAAATTGAAATAGGTAAAGAGAGATTCCTACAACCCTATGATAAAGATTTAAATAATACGATTAGCAGTATATCGTACTCGTCCTTGGTCGAGCAGCTCGCACTTATGCAAATAATGTTCCACGATTCGTTCGGTACCTACAGGAATTGTGATATCTGTATTTCGAGCATAACAACCTGCAACCCAACACAAATTTTAATTTTGATTTCCTTTCTTATACGAAGATGATGAGAGGCATGTATTCCCTTACTGTTAGGTATCCATCATGAGGTTGACCAGCATAGCATAATGATCATTTCCAAAGCATTTCTTAATAGGTTATGTTCAGACTTCTGCAATCCCACTTATTCAAAATAGTATATTTTTTAATTCAGATATATGTAACGTTACATGCATTACAACTATAGGATTACACAAAGATACGTTGATGGCACAAACCTTCAATGGTAATACCATCTTTTTGGCAAACTAGCACGAAAGATCCATTGCGAAAATGTTCACCAACATCGTAATGAATCCCATTATCATAACAGGTTGATTCTGAAGGATACTTTTAATTCTATTCCAAATATAAACTATTATTATAATTGTTTTTGACAAAGTAAAATGACATTTATCGATTTTTTTTCACTTTCAGCTTATTAGCTATAACAAATAGCTGGCCTCTAAGATTGGCAAGCAACAAAGTATTTGTTGATTTCTTGTTTGTAATCCATTATGAATCATAACTCTCTGACAATCCACTACAATTTCATATAAGTAATTTAAATAAAGACATGTAGCCTATTTTAAAAGATAATAAAATCCTATTAAAGTTGCGCGACTTGCCCCTTCCATTACTACGATATCGGGCTCTTTTCATATGCAGCTATTATTTTCATAAATACTAATTTCAAACCCAATCATCACGAAATGCAAGACATCGTATGTTTGCCTAGAGTGTAATACAGAGGAAATATTATTTCTACTGCTTTCTTCTTATGGATTTCTCCAGTTCATTTTTTTTTTTTTTTTTGGAAGATATTGCTTTAATAACAAAATTTTAGCTAACTTTTTATTCAGAACTTTGATGAGATAACCGCAGACTTTATGCTCAAATAATCGTCAATGATTTATAGATCTATAGAAAAGTTTGGTTGATTTGATTAACCTTTTTTTTCTCACAAATCATTGCCATGAAAGACAGATTAAAGAGAAAGAAAATAGGTGAAGGAAAAAAACTAGGAGAAAGCCAATGTTATTAATGATTTCAATTCTTAAATCAAAAAATTGATGCATAGATTAAGATCGGAATTTGAGCACTGTCAAAGCCATTAAAAATCTTTCGTGTTGAATAAGTTGAAATTCCGATCAAATTCACGATAAATGGTTACCTTGCTCGTAAGTGACCGTGTCTCCCTTCACGTCACATTTATGCCTTACTCCGCTTCGTATAAACATTCGACCGATATGTATTACTGATTTGTCGTCTGCTACACATGCTGAAAGGTAATGGAATTGTAATAATTAACGTAATGGCTATCTGGAAAGTCCTCTGTCATACCGGAGGTATGATCTTCACTGCTAACAGACATGCTATATAAAAAAAAAATCAAATAGCTGTGAAAATTAAATTTACCAATAACTTCAGCGGTACCATTGTTGCATTTGTAATGGAAATGTTCCTTGGTGAATGTCTGACCATGTTCATACGTGCCCATCCCAGCAACCAGGCATGGAAATGGAGGTTGAGGCCCCGAACTTACTGAAATATACAGTCCATATACTTGGAATTATTTCAGTCTATATATTTGGAATATTTCGATTAGAACAATATGAACTTGACGAAAGTTACCTGCTGGAATGATTACTCTTTCAGTATAATCGGGACTGAAACCATGAGGAACAAGAATGAATGAAGCACCGTCTTCTTCGAGTGTTACTGCTACCGATATCGTGAATTTAAATATACTCAAAGGCAGTATGTAAGCTACGATCATAATTGTTTATTGAGAGCGCTGAAAAATTAACTGCAATCAAAGAATTAATAAAAAATCTCGATTATTTCCTCACAAATTGTTTATCATAAATCAATTAGATAGCAATCAGGAAACGGACTGTAGTTGCCCTTGGGTAAATTTCTGACATTCATTTCAATGATTGCTTCAATGACCACCAAACCAAGCAGTTGTTCATCGCAGTTTTCCTTTTTAACAATTCATGCTCCTTTGGCCCACTTACAATCTCTTCTGAACTTGTAATGATTGTGCAGTGATTTCGGTTTTGATTCAAACTGCTTACTACAGTCACTTTATAAGTCATTTAACAATTCAGGCAATGCAATTATCCCTTCTTTGACACTATCCACCATCGCTTTACTATTATGAAATTATTAAAGTAGGATCCTGTAGAAGTAAGGAGGAAAAATAACAACAACTGATTCAGTGAAAGGGACTTGGTAAATCAAACAATGTAAAGGTAAATAATATCAAAAAATAAAAATGGATTAAGATGATTTGCAGGATTAAAATAACTGTCCCCATGAAAAGACATGAATTTCAATCTTTCATTAAGAGAATAAAACTAGAAGCTGGTGGAGAAACTTGGTACTGTCATAGAGACACAACATTAGAGAGAAATTCACCCAAATGCCAACCGATGAAAGAAACACAACTGGGTCTGACCTTGCATGTCATCGAAGCAAACATCGCCGACTAATTCTTTCATTTTATCAAAATGAACCGCAATAACATGGAAAAATGAAGGTAGGAAAGGTATTTTTCATTTTAAAAAAATTAAAAAAGAGAAAAACGCAGATCCATCGTACGGTAAAATGAATGCAAGAAATGGGACTTAAGTTTTTCTTTTTCTTTCTCTCTTTTTTCCTTTTCATTTCTTGTACCTTATTTCCTTAGAAAAATTGAGGAAATTCATCCCCGCTTTTGTGTTTATCTTATTAATTCCCTGACGACAATACATTCTTCCATTTCGGCATCTTTTGATTAATGTTGTATTATCAGTTGAAACTGTCTAAAATGAACACCTGTCGCAGTAAACATGCATTACTCTCATACTTTCTCTCTGTTACTTAAATAAGAACTCATTGTTGTGAAAGAGAGTAATAGTTAACAATTCAATCTTTATCCTCTGTGAACTCCTTCTTGTGTGTCTTGTCGTTCCGGGTGTCTTTCATCTGTACCGCCATGGTCATCCACAGTCCGCTGTTTTCTCCCTCACCACACTTCATACTCCTTCCCATGGGATCTGTATTGCATTTCGGGAGTCACGTAAGGACGATCGGGAGGGGTGACAGTTGACCTTTTTGCCGTAACTTTCCATCCATTCCGTTTGATGGTGTACACTTGAACGTACTTTTGTGGTTGCAAGGTAAGAACCGATTAGCCTTCTCTTTCATTTCCTGATACTAATGATTTTTGAGATATTTTTAGTTTGCAGTATATGTGGTGGCTGTTGAGGAATACTGTGAGGCACTGTGAGAGTCGCGGTTGTTTGTTTCCATTTTCGATATCGTTTTTCCAGAATTGTGCTTCGAGGAGCGATCCCGATACCATTTCCTCGTATGGCTTTTCTTTCGGTTCTTCTAGCATAGTATGTTTTTGTGTTGAGTTGTTGTCAAGAAATTTTACGACTCCATGTCATCATTCAGTCCAGCTATTAATGGTCAACTGTCTGTTCAAAGAAATCGTTTTTTCCGATCGCTTTACCTGACCAGATTTGTTTTAAAAAAATAGTTGCAGAGTGATGAAAAGACGGCTTCGACGAAATGTCTCTTACATTGCTAAATATCCAGAAAATGTCATTATGATGTGGGTCGGGAGTGTTCCACGAATTGCTCGTAAAAAAATCTCGTGTGCAGATGGAATGGAGTAAGTAATCTCTTTGCAGTTAATATTTTCCAGATTTCGTTTTTTTAACTTATAAATTTCACTAAGTTTCAGGGAACAATCCCTACACATTTGTTTCGTGTACTGTGTACCGCATTCTAAGACTTTGGTTGAAATTAATCTTGTTCGTCCCTTGAATGAATTATTTTTGCAAACATGTGACAAGATAAAAGAAAAAATCAGCAAATTTATTCATAAACAGTCAAGCAAAGTGGCTTGTGATGAGAGCGACACCTCTGGATTTTTATTTTCTTCACCAGGTCATCCTAATTTGGTTTGTTTTTACTGAGTTTACTATATCTGTGTGAGATATTTTGTTAATTAATTTATTCGTTGTTTATATAGAAAAAAAGCTTCCAACATCCTCTGGCGCTTATCCTGATAGAAAATATTTAACGACTTAGATTCTACCACTTTTCATTGAACAGTTACGACACTGTTTCACTATTCAGTTTGAAATTATTGGAAATGTTGTAGTATCCCTTTGAAGTGGTCATTACATCTTGAGTAGCATGTACTGCTCATCCTTCTGTTCAGCTTCTTTCCACAAACGAACAAGTATATAAGGATGAGAATGTACTTGATATGTGTATCAATAACAAAGCGTACCGTTTACTGCGGAACCCTCCTCGATGTACAAAGCTAGTTATAAAGCTGAAACCACTAGTTGGATGTCCTCTCATGGCTAGTTTCTTATTAGCGGAGAGTAAGTTTAATCTTTCCTAGTTTCCACATCAAATTCCTTTGATAATTTGATTTTAATGATTGACATTTCGAGTTTTCTAAATTATAGAAGATTTCCAGACTTACGAAAAGTAGAGCCATTATTTCATTGGTATGTTGGAGAACCCGATACATGTTTAATTTCACCAGTTCTGAATAATATTCCAGGAGGTGAACTTCTTATTTTGAGTCGGATTCTTCTTTAATATATTAAAAAAAAGTCTCTGTTAAGATTTAAGAGAGCATTCTCATATATTTCTATCTATGAATTAATATGGACATATTGTTTTGACTGTAAATAACGGCGTTTTTGGATTGTGCTAAGAACACAGCGCTCCAAGAACACTTCTAAAACTCTCGTAGCAAAGATGATTTTTCATCGATTCTCTTGATGATTCACTTGATTAATAATGACGTAATAACAAATTAGAAAAAAATCATTGTTAATATCAAGCTGAACTTAACAACGATGAATCGGCTATGATTTACCTTTATGTTATTGAGCTACGAGAGTTTTAGAGATTTGCAACTAAATGTCCAATTCAGGAAGATAATTAGTCAGTATCTATCGATATGAACTCATATTTTTACCAAAAAATGAAGAAATGAGAGTCTTAATGTTAAAGATCAAAAAATCATGATGACATTTATTGTTTTAAACTAATAATTGACTCTATTCATGGTATAACCGTAAATAACCTTCATATTATTTTCAGGAAAATTGAAGTACACGATGGATGGTTGGATCTATCGTTCCACGGGCAAATACTTTTGTCCTTCTGTTGAAGATATTGGAAAACGTATCTGCGTATTGCTCGATATGGGAGCAGATACGATCGTATATTGCGCTGATAGTGATAGCGAGGTTTCTGAAGTCGGTGAAACATTGATTTTTGAAGAAAGACAAGCTACTTTTTGTCAAGAACATGCAAATAGTGGGTAAAAATTTCACTTCAGCTGATCTACCACATTTTTATGAACTGTATCTTTACAGTTTTCATGAACTCTTGCTTATAGCCTTGTTGCATATTTCCACATTTAACACATTTCTATTTTAATTGCTTGAAGTTTTATTGGATATATTTCGTCATTACGTATTACTCAATCTTAGCAAAGTTATCTTAGATGTCATCTTTTATCATCTTTTAACGCAAATGTTTCTTACATAAGACATAGTGTTAATAACTTTATACTTTTACTATGCTTTTTTATAAACATTTTTTATAACCTTTTCAGAAATATACGGGTGATTTCATATAATGTTCTTGCTAACTTATATTTGGATTTAAAGCTCAGACAAGAAGATCTGCATTTCCCATATTGTGCAAAGGAGTATCAGAATTACGATTATCGGTACCCTATTTTACTTCGAGAAATTCCTGGTATGATTTTGGTTTTTGACGAAAATCAACAGGGTAGTAATTCATGGAGCAAGAGATTTCTTTAATCCTTCTTTTTTATAGGTTACCAAGCAGATATCATATTTTTGCAAGAAGTAGATGAACGATTTTGGTTACGCTTCTTGCCTGATGTGATGAGCAGCCATGGATATGATTGCTACTTTAAAAAGAAAGGAATGAAAGTAAATGAAGGATTGGTCGTTTGTTTTCGTAGGAAACAGTTCAGGTACATATAGGACTTGTAAAAAGAATGCATCTTTTTACTGACAAATAGTTCATGCAAAAAATATGAATGGTGATTTAATTTTACGATATATTGTTATGTGTTTAGTTTCCTCTAAAAGTTTTTGACCATTCCTTATATGTGTTTCTTCGTTTTTAAGATTTTTAGGTGTCTTGAAAGCCATAACATGTGGTTGCCGGACCTTCTAAATACTGGAACATATCCTGAAAACACTGATATAATTAGATTACTTAAAAGTAATGATGAATTAAATGCCATGTTTGTATCAAAACCTGCAGTTATACAGGTAACTTTTAATTAGAATATGGCATATTTATATGCTTATATGACTTAGCTCACCTATGTTTCACTCTTTCGTTTCTCACCTTTTTAGAGATCCATAAGACGCAAAAACAAGAAATTCTTAACTGCTAACATTTGAAATAATAGCCTCAAATATGATGTATTTCAAAATATGTTATTCATCCGATCATTAAAAGTTGGAGATAGTAGTATATATTAGTTTGTATATTTCTCATTAAAAAAAAAGAGAAGGAGGAAATCGAATATTTCAACATCTTTCATCTTTCTAAATTTCATGCTTCAATTTTTGTCTTCTAAAAGGGTGATTCCCAGGTGTTAGTCTTGGATAGCAGTAGTCTATTCGCAAAAGAAAGTGGTATTTTATTGCTAGCAAATACTCATTTGTATTTCGATCCTCGCTTTGAAATCATCAAAATATTGCAAGCATTACTATGTGCTCGATGGATTGTACGTGTTGCTACAAACTATGCAAATCGTAACCCTAAAGCAAAATTACATATCTTGTTTGCTGGAGATTTTAACAGTACACCAGATGGAGCTGTTTATCATTTGCTCAGCACAGGTACATTTGCTCAGTTCAAAAAAATTTTTTTTTGTTGTGAGGTGTATAATTTTAAATCCAAAGCAAGGACGAAACATAAAACATAAGAGACAAAAGGTGTAATGAAACAGTGGATAAAGTTTAATATGAATCACTAATTATTAAATTGGATGTCAAACAGAATATGTTGATAAGTGGTTTTGTTTAGATGTTTTTATACAGTTTTTATGTTAGAAAAAGTGGTTTAACAGAAAATAGTAGTATAAGACGTTTCTCGAATATGTGAATCATCTTTAAAGTAATTTACAAAATACTGGTAGTAATTTCTTCTTTAATGTTTAGCAGTTATGATGGCTATTGAGCTGTTAAACTTTCAGGAAATATATCAGTTAAAAGTGACTGCCTTGCGTACAGTCAATATCCTAAAATTTATGGTGATGTAAATTTTACCATTCAGCCGTCTTTTCCATCGTTCAACTTAAACTTGATAAATTTGGGTGACGAAACGCAGTTCACAAATTATACGCGTCATTATCGATATAATGGACAAATTGCTGGTTTCGAAGGATGTTTGGACTACATTTGGGGAAGTGCTAATGTCAAAGTTAGTTGTTCAGCTGAATCATACACAAGTTTCTATCGTTGCAGTATTATGCAATACTTATGCGTGACAAACATTTGTTTCAAAATTTCAATCCTGTATTTCAACTGGTCACTCAGACATTAGTTATTCAAAACTGAAATTAAATGTTAAAGTACAAATGAACAAATGAATAGAATTTCTTCTTATGTTTGAATGATTCGATGACAAGTTAATTTCTCTGTAACTTATTGGAAACTGGAAGGTAGAAGTTAGAATGTGCAGTAAAGTTAGAACTCTTTTCCTATGAATTTTTTCAGATACAGAAAGTTATTCCAGTACCACCAAAAGAACTTGCTAAGAAGTATGTTGCATTACCGTCTAAGATATCTCCCAGTGATCACTTACCATTAGTTTGTGATATACGGCTTCAGTAACAACCATTTTTACCTTACAGTCTGCATTCCTTTTGTTATATAAAATTCTGTGAAATAAAAACCTCACTTGTTTTCCAAATTTTCGGAATCTCATTGATATATGCCATAAAATCCTCAGAGTGTATGATTTTTGCAAATTATCCTTCATCTCATAAATGAAGATATCTTTATCCAAATTTGACTTTTAATAACCTTCCTTCTGATTAAATTTAGAGCATCTTGACTTTTACTGTACTTAATTGATTTTTATGTAATTTAATTAAGAGAAAACTTTACAAGGTGTGTTTATGTATGATTTCTCATTCTGATACGGATTTAACGTGATTTTTAGAAATACTAGATGCTTAACTAAGTGATCCTGAGGAATTTCATTTTTTGCTCTACCTATATGAATTCTTTGACATTTGGTTGCAGCTTATTTGATATTCTGTGATCCGTTTTGATATAAAGAACAAGAAGTATTCCTTCGTCTTGCACCAATTTTTCAGTTCTTCTGTTTTGTCGGAAAGTACGTTTGTTTTCTTTCGCAATTTTTGGATATTCCCATTTGTTCGATGACCATATTCTTTTCATATGTCATTTCCCAATGTCAGTTAATAATCTTCCTCAACACACAGTCGATTTGTTATACCTCGCCTGTAATTATTACAGAATACATGTCATTAAGTAATATAACAAAAACTATTACGATTTTCTGCTATAGATTGTATGGCAGAAAGATCTGAAGAAAACTTCTAGGAGATTCTTGGGAGATTTTAAAAGAACCGAAAGCCTTTCATTCTTAAAAGTACCTCCATAACAGGTATTAGGCTCACTTATATTTTCATTTAATCCTCTCATAATAAAATTAGCTTAAAATCCTGCAAATCACTATATATTTGGGTTATCTCAGGAGAATGTATACGCAACCTTTATTCTTCAGTTTCAGAGTACGATCTGCGAGGCACTTACTTTGTGCAATCAGGCCATCTAAGCGCGACTCCTCTAGTGAGTTTACATGGTAGCAATAGTCCTTGATGATCAGCATAATACTTAATCAAGTCTATCAGATTGGGAAATTGATGAAGTGTTTCAATGAAAAATGTTGTTTTATGTCCTTCAACTTTCTGCAATTACCTGCATATTTTATCATTAGTACTGCGAGAATTTTATCATTCTAATTGCAGATCATTTAAAAACAAAGTACGAAATTAAAATGTACTGTCTAATTAGAACTACGAAATCATTAAAGACAGCAAGCTTTCTGCTGACTTAAAATCATCACAGCAATTCTCTTAAGAACGAAATGATAGTGAGGTACTTACAACATTGATATAAATGTTATAAATCTTTTGGTGATGACACATGGTGAGTATCAAGCAGTTCCGCTGATTGACGCGTACCAAAAAAGAGCTGGAATTATTCTAGAAAGAAGTGAAATCCTTATTGTATTTTTTAAGAGCTAGTGGTTTTTTATCTTGACACTACTAAGATAAGTTTTTTCAATTATCAACAGTTAATTGTTTCGAATGAAGTTCAATGAAAAAAGAATAACAGAAGGTTAGTGGCTTTCTGTTTCTTTATCAGTTTTCTGTTGTAAACCAATAATCTCTTTGTTGGTAAAGACACTGTTTTACAACATTTTAAGATAAGTTTAGAACTCTATATTAACAACTGATTATCTGAGATTAGCCAAAGTTATTCACTTCTCGAAAACAGATTATTCCATTTCTCACTTCTCACCTTTTACCCGAAATAGCTGAGGATGCAAATCTTCTACAAAACACGCAATCATCTCCTTAAGCAAATTAATTTGAAGGTGATATATTAGAACTTGCCTGATACAAATAATTACTCACCCATCCTCTCCTCCAGTCCTTTGCAACATTCGCTCCACTTTACTCTTATCAGCACTGTGATGGAACCAACGTTCAGCGCGATAGACGGAATAAGATGCAAGGCCGTAAATTTTGGAATGGACCTTATAAATCGCCCTAGATTCGCCGCACTTTAATATCTCCCTTAAATAGTAAACTGTTTATGTCATATCATTAACATACCAATGGGTTCATGTGAATGCTCCGATGTTTAATCCTACATTAACTTAAATTTCGCATAATTTTCTAGTATTTCCACTGAAAATTGAAATCGAAATTGGCTGTCCCATAAATTTTAAATTATTTGCAAATTATCAAATTAGGTTTTCTCGCTGTTCTGTGCGATGTTTATTCCTGGGATTTGAAAGCAGCGGTATTCCTAAATTTAAAAACAAAAATATTTGCGGTAAACTCACTCAACTTCTTCCGGATCAGTTATAATTGTTGGACCTGATGGGGCGGAAAAATCAACTGGTACTCGATCTAGTTGATCAATGTTTCCTTCATGAGGACGTTTTTCCATATCAACGCTCTAAAATAACGAAATATGATAAATATGCATCTTGGTCCAGTCAAAACATAACATAAAAAAAAATTATACCTTGCATAACCTTTGGTTGATATCCACTAGCATGTATTCATTATCATAAGATCCTTCACAGAAGGTATAATCATTTGAAGTTTTTTCCTTTCTGAAAAATAGCAAATAAGTCTACGATTAACAACAAAAAGCCTGGATGTGAAGAGTAACTTGTCGTGTGTATGAAAGTGACATTGAATGATAATTGAGAATCACCTGGGTTTAGGTATGCGTATGGGATCAGTGTGTCGGTTCAGGGATGTGTTTTGAATAATTTGCTGCTGTTTTCTTTCATCGTCTTTGTCCTCCTTTAATTGATGGTACTCAGTGGAGGAGGATGATGGCGCAGTGGTCGTTGTTGATGAACGGAAGAATTTGAACAATGGTCGTCCCAGAATATCCCTCATTAGACTACTACGGTAGTGTTTTAATTAATAAAGTGTAAATTGCCCTTCCCTAAAACATCTTATTCCTTGAAATTGAAATTTTATAAATGTTACAATTCATTTAAAATATAATGTGGAAGACATAGAGAAACGCAAGGAGTTTTATGATCTTTATGACGTCCATTTATGTATAATTTTGAAACTTAAATAAAATCATCGAATAGAAAGCCGGAAAATTACTATAATCTGATGACTGAAAACCAAATATTGAGGAAAACAGAAATGAATATGACTATATTTGGCATGTTGTAACAAAGAGCACGAGATAGTGCCAAGATGAAGAGGAGCGGTCATTCATAGATGCGGAAGGGATGGTTCTACGATGAAGAGGACTGGTCATTCATAGAAGCGTAAAGGATGGTTCTATGATACTGGGCAAACCATCAAAAGTCAATGTAATTAGGGCAAAGAAGGGAAACTCATAAGTTTACTTATCGGAAAGTCCTGCTAATTGCAAATTTCAAGTCGGTAATATAAAATTCCCCAGCTTCTCATTGTACAGCACATGTCATCCCTAAGGGTAGAAATTTTGGGACACGTCATTCCGTGTAATATATATAGTGCTTAGAGTTCGAATTCATCAGTTATCAATTAAATATCATCAGACTTCTCGCATTTCAAAAGATCGTGAAATGAGAAATAATTCAAAGTTAAATTTTATTTCTAAAAGTATATTTCTGAAGAGCAGAAGAATTGAAGAGAAAAAGAAAAATTTCCAAAGATACCAACAAATTATGTAGTAAGTTTAGTTAATTCTACTCTTTCTCTTTCTGCTTTTATCAAAAAAGCTAAAGTTATAAAGATAGTGATGATTAAAGGAAAGAGTTATTCAGATTTAACATTGACTTAATCTAAAATTAAAACATCTAATCCTGACCAACTAATTCCGTCATTAAAAGCCGTTTAATATCAATTTTTTAATTTGTAAAACTTGCCTGTGAACAGAAATCTCTCCCAGCATTTACAAATGTAACCGATTATCAATAAATAATAACTTCATCATCAAATACAGGGATTCCTTTCAAAGTTCAGCAAGATTCTTATGGACTTTTTGGTTTGTCAGATTTAACCAGTAAAAAATGAAATGCAATTTCAGAACAATGTTGAAGTAGCAGTAAATTCAGCGTGCTGTTACAGCAATTTTATATTGCTATCCAACTTCATTTATTTATTTGTGATAGAATTTCACGGGATAGATTGAGTACATCGCGTTCTTGACCTCGTATGAATCATCGAACAGTGAGAAAACAAAAAAACAAATTGAGAATCATCGGATATTAGTTTAAGCAGTTAAATGTATTGACATAAAAATGTGAGTCACGTGGAGGAGTTTCATTTATTTTATTTGTCTGTTACCTTTATTTATTTCATTTATCAGTAAATGATAACGCCTGTTGGGGAATAGAAATTTATAATTTTGAAATAATTTAGTATTTAAATCCATAAAATAGAAATTTATAGATTAAAAATTGTCTTTGAATATTCCTTGTACAAATATAAAACTGTTTCAAATTTGCTCACAACTAAGAAATCATTTATTCAAGATTATTTTGCAACTGTATTTCAGCGTCTAAAATGTTACAGTCTGTTAACAAAGAACTACCAATTTTAATGTCATAAACCAAAGGGTACTGATCATCGTAGAGGGACAACTTTTTACTTACACTAATTATGCGCTTTTTTATAAGCCAATTCTTGTATAAGCAGTTAAAATCATTGGCTTGGCTCAGTTTTTGAGTATTTCAAGCTTCGATTCAGTTCATCTCATCGCTCATTCATACTCAATTCATTTTCAATAAAAGGTGATACGACAGCAAAGTACGACAGTTTTCGAACGTTTGTGGATTGTCGGTACAATTTAATATTCATTTTGTTCATTCTTTCCTATTATTGAATAAACGCGATATTGTGCGATGTTGTAGAAGGACAACAAAGCTATTGCTAACGTTATGGATAAAAACACGTACTACTAAGATCTCCGACATTACCCAACACAAATTTACAATTAAAAAGAATTTAAAATGATGCATAAGTGCAAATAATCGATGATATTAACAAGAATGACGTGATGAAGTGAAACTGGCCAAAGGTCTTGACAAACAGCATTAGTGCGGACTGTGTTTGAATGAGAATTACTGAGAAGGCGGAAAATTCTCGAGATCTTCATCTTTCATAGTAAATGCATCTATTCTGGATCTAAAGTTTTACACTGAAAGTGATGTCTGATCCGATACTGTATGTGTAATAACTTCTATCATTATAACATTAGGAGGAGAACTATGGCTCCCATATATCACCTGGACATCATTTGTTCCAAATGATAAGAGACGAGTACGCCAGTAGCGCCAAAACAGATGTAGCTTATGGTCTAGGACAACAGTTCATACTGCTCTTATACTGAAATTTACAAGAAACTTGTCCAGATTCCAAATTACATCGAAACCCATTCCCATGAGGTAAATCAAGATAAGCTGAAGTAAATCCTTTTCCCCCGCCTATGAGTAAATACATATTTTTATACTTGTTTGGTTGCAATGAAAAACTATATGAGAATAGTCAACATATGCCACTCTGCTTATCAGTTATTACTTGTTCATATTTCTCATCATATACCGTTAATATAATGAATAGAAATGCACACGATGATGTCGAAATGATTATCACCTTTTTCTTTTGCTTCTTCCACTCAGTCCTTATCTATTTTCAATCCATCATCTTGTCCTATTATCATTCCTTGCTAGGCTAGAATATAAAGCCACTACAGATTATCAGAAGTACACTAGTGAATATTGTAACTGAATTGCTTGAAATAAAGACATTTTCGGAGATTAGGCTTCAATTTCAAGAAGCTTTTAGTGATTAAAGTCCCACCCCCACACAAAACAGCTGGCACTGATTATTAGGATACACTCTTTAACTGCTGTTCTGCATTTTTTTTCAAACTGTTAAACAAAGTAATAAAACAAAGAACAAAAAATTGCTAAGCAAACAAAGAACAATGGCTAAAATGGCTAGACTGTGATTAGTGCAATAATTGAACTGGTTGTCATTTTCAATGCAAAATCTTCCGAATTCTTTCTTCTAATTATAGAACATTATAAGTGTCAGACTCTTCAGATGCATTCCTCAGCTTCTCGCCACCTTTTTACCTATTTCAAGCCTAGCACGTTTTGATCTCTGATTCACTTTCACGTTATTATTTGATGACCGATCATAATGCATAAATGTAGGTTTGTCAATTTATGCTTTAAAAAGTCATTCAGTAGCTAACTCAGTTTATTTCATTTATTTGTTTCATGCTAATGACTATACGAAAACATTTCGTAAGCCAAGTAAGCAGTAAGAATGGTTGAAGAAATAGTTACTGAAATAAGAAAGATGATAGTAGTTCCCGATCTCATCAACATAAAACAGTTCTCGAACATGATGTGAAGTTCGAAGCTGATAGGAGGGATAACAAAATGTATTTGGATTTATTGATGGACCCAAGAGCCTTCTGATATTTTCTTTCAATAATTATTTTGGCAATTTGTATAATCATTGTATTTCAGTAAAGACCAATGATCTCTTGCAAACTCTGAATGCGAAAAAATTCTCCTGAAATGACTTAAATTTGAGTAACTATCATAAATTCAGTGTCCTCTATTCATATGATTTGAGTAGCTGACATTGGACTACAAAATCAGTAAAGATTTAAATTAGAGCCTAACATGAATCAATTCGAATCCGTTTCATTTATAATTCATACCACTAGTCCGAGAAAGGATATATGAAAAAATTGCCTCAAACACTGGTTACAAAATATTTGATCGATTCTTCTACAACATTTCTTATTTAATTCAGCAACACACTATCTTGAATTTTTATTACAACAAATTTGTAAAATCATGAATACCAGAGCTAGAAGGTTGAAACTCATAAAATCAGCACTTTGTCAATTTAAATTATCAATCGGTTTTTCAGAACAATGAGAATAACACGTATGACTTCGGAGAATGTATGGATAAATAAATATGGGTAAAGGACCTGTCATCAGCATCTACGGTCTTTCCCAGTTGCGGTATACATTGTATTTAAAAAATTACATTACTATAGTAAGATGTAAAATGTGGTTTAGATCTTTCTTATACTTATAAATAAGCCATTCTTTATCAAATGGCAATTAACATTTTCTAGCCAATCATGTAGAAAAATGAATACTAAGATAATATTTATTCAGCTGGAAACGAAATATGCCAGCTGGATATGGCAAATTCTGGGAGCAACTGAATAAAGCAACAAATTTTCGACAGCAAAAACAAAACTTGTAAACATGAAAAAATAGAGCGAGCCTACAATAAAACTATACAATACAAAAAACAGATCAAACAAGAGGATGAACAAAAGTAATATGAAAAAAACATGATTGACAAATTAGCTATCAAGACTTTACACCCAAAGAATATCAATAAAAACAATTATACTACCCTCCGATATAAACAAGGTGTCACTTCAGAATACCATTTCATGTAAGATTTCTTTGGATAAATATTAAGTGAGGGACAAAAAGAAAAGCAAGAACATATTATGGTCAGCTAATAGAAATATATTTCAAATCTTGTTAAATTTTTCCGAAAATTATTAACAGTTCCGGGAAAATTAAATGGTTAAAACGAGTATCAATAGCGGACTCAAATACCACGTGTAGCTCGCAATGATTGGAGAGTAGCGATGGTATGTTGTAGCTTCTTTTTGGCATCACACTCTGGAAATGTTGTCATATCGTAATATTGAGGAGCCATTTGAACAAGCCTGGAATGTGCGGCTTCCTCAGAAGTTCTTGTTATTTTTCGCAGAAATATTACACATAAATATTATGAAATTGCTATAACGAAGCAACTGAATAAGCGGCTGTGTATAAAATTCGACAGTTGACACTGCAAGCTTCTGTGAATATGCCAACATATATGTCCATTATGAAT